CATGTGGAAAATATAGTGAGACTTTAGGCCCGTATCGTCAGTCGTCCCTACAATTGCAGGGCGCCTTTATTGGCCTCCTTGATTGTCATAGTTTTCTACTTCTCCGTGTCAGCGCTCTATTTTGAGGTTATGTCACAAACATCTATTTGCATCAAATTGTGCTTGCTTTTGAGTTATATCATGTTTTATCAGCCTAAAATTTCCTACAATTTAAAAAGAAAACATATCTTTACAATAGGAGAGCGCTGACGCAGACACGGGACAAGTGTAATCTAGAAATTTTTGAAGGAGAGAAAGGAGTATGACAATCAAGGAGGCCATAAACGCGCCCTACAATTGTAGGGACGACTGACTATACGGGCCTTAGGCACATTCCACTTTTTTATTTTGTAGGCCTGTGTTATGTTTTATGAAATCAATGTTACGGAACGGGGTTTACTCAAACAATTTTTTTTCCAATAATGTACGACATGCTGTACCTAATATTTAGAATACCAAAATGGCATACATAGGAAAAATCAAAGTTGAGACGGGGGAGAAGAGATGAAAAATTATACAGGGTGTTTCAGTTTATTGTTGCATGACTTTAAGATTCGATAGAACTTTTAAAATTATATTTTAAAATTATAGTATATAAACATGGGTCGAAAAATGCGTGGCTTCCGAAATACAGGGTGTTTAAATTTACTTTTTAAAATAGTTTTTTTTAAATATTTCGAACAGTATTTGATGTATAACAGTGAAAATTGGTATACAAGGGTTTTTTGGTACGACAAAACGAACCATGGGCATAGTTTTACTGTAGCCGCTAGAGGGCGTTCTCTACTGTACCTGTAGTGTATTAAAATGACCGAAAAAATTTTCTTAGTGCAATTTTTTGCTTTTTGAATAAAAAAGCTGATTCTTCGCACTTTTCTGCATAAAAAAGCTCTCCTGTGAGTTTTCGTTATAGTTAGCCGTTTTTGAGATATTTCGGTTTTTTAGGTTTGATGCATTTTTAATTATTTATGGGAAAATAATATTTTTTTTTTACATTTTCGATTTGGGCATTACAAGTAATTAAGATGATCGTTTAGATTGTTTAGAATGCTATTGGATAGTTAGTCCAAACATACAAAATCTAAAGTAGTTGCTCGAAATGTAAACCCAATTGTTCAGTACACTATTCACATCTACGAATGATCGAACGTGTTATAGCATTATTCAAATAAGGCCTTATTTCATCACATGCATTCCTGATTCTGTCTATTAGCATATCTCTTGTGGTTACGGGAATCTGGTACACTTTTTCTTTTAGAAATCCCCACACAAAGAAATCTAATGGATTTAGGTCAGGGCATCGTGGAGGGCAGGCGACTGGTCCTCCACGGCCGATCCATCTTTCTGGATAATTTTCGTCCAGCCAGTTTCTAACTATTCTCGAATAATGAACTGGACAACCATCAAGCTGGAACCCTTCTTAAATCTAACATAACATCATCCCACATATTTGCATGTTCAGCCTTTAAAAATTCCAAAAAGGTCGCAGCATTTAACCTTGCAGGCAAAAGGTAGGGTCCTAATAGTCGAATACGGTAGCTACCAATCCACACGTTCACACTAAATTCATGCTGAAAATTACTTTCCCGAACTGCATGCGAATTTTCATGCGACCAAATATGTTGATTATGAAAATTTACCACTCCACGTCTAGTGAAGCATGACTCATCGGTCCATAAAACGTTACTTAAAAACTCCCTATTATTATCAGTTCTATCAAGGATCCACTGACAAAATGTGATTCTTCGTTCTCCATCCCCTGGCTGTAGTCCTTGCACAGGTTGCAAATGGTAAGGACGTCTATGGTCATTTCTAAGAACACGGTGAACATGGCTTGCTGAAATTCCCAAGGCACCAGAAACTCTCCTAACACTTGTGGTCGGATCTCTATCAAACTCACGCAGAGTCATACGGGTAAATCTGCGCTGACGAACATTTGTTTTGATCCCTTTGGAGATTTCCAAAACCATTTTCAATTATTTGGCGATGCACTTTTACAAATACTGAGCGAGTTGGATGTCGTCTGTTTGGAAATCTTCGTGCGTATTCTCTGTCTGCTTCTGCTGCGTTTCCATTTACAAAGCCATACACAAAATGAATATCCGCTAACTCTTGATGATATAAAACTTACAAAAAAAAACAGGTAGAAGAAACTAAATTTCGTGCATTCACAATTGCAAAAAAACGATTCAGGTTTCAACAGACAACAAAACTAACTGTCAACTAATTGACGTTTAACCTTATTCTGCTTTCAATTTCAAATATATTTGCAGGCACGGCCTACTTCTAAAAATTATCGATATACTGACTTTTTAACGTTATTTTATCATAAATAATTAAAAATGCATCGAACCTTAAAAATCGAAATATCTCAAAAACGGCTAACTATAACGAAAATTCACAAGAGAGCTTTTTGATGTTGAAAAGTGCGAAGAATAAGTTTTTTTATTCAAAAAGGAAAAAATAGCACTAAGAAAATTTTTTCGGTCATTTTAATACACTACAGGTACAGTAAAGAGCGCCCTCTAGCGGCTACAGTAAAACTATGTCCATGGTTCGTTTTGTCGTACCAAAAAACCTTTGTATAAAAATTTTCACTGTTATACATCACATATTGTTCGAAATATTTAAAAAAAACTATTTTAGAAAGTAAATTTAAACACTCTGTATTTCGTAAGCCACGCATTTTTCGATCCATGTTTATATAGACTTTATGCATTAATTTTAAAAGTTCTATCGAATATTAAAGTTATTAAATAATAAACTGAAACACCCTGTATTAATCTTCTATTTATGCCACCTTGCAGAGATAAAAAATTGACGTCAATGTGCAGTTTATTTGAAATCTCAAATGAATTCAGGAAAGTTCGTTCCCTTTGCTCCATTTTCTGTGTACCGCTGCAGATACTAGAAGCGTCAAAACTTTTGAAGTGCTTATTCTAAAATCTATAAATGGGCAACTTTGTCTCCATTTCACCGACCTGTATCCCTTATTGTTTCGGAATCATAATGGTGGAAATATGACAAATTTGTTTTTCAAATCATTATTGAATCAACTACCTACACATTCTATAAAACCAGTTTTTATTTTTTTAATATGCTATATCGCCAGCTCTATCAAAAGTTATTATAGTATTAGACTAGACTAAAAGATATACATTTGAAAAAAAAAATCGTTTATGTTATGTCGGCATGAATCCCCTGTAGGGAGCGGTATATTCGAAGTAAGAGGCGTATAGTCCACAATTTTTGTAAATAACATTTTTGAGTATGTTTTACCGTAATGGAGATATTGTCCAATTAGATACTAGAAACTCACGTCGCGGGACAGCTTGAGCATTTTTGCAGATTGCTAATCACTTTTGGCTACTATATATATATATATATATATATACATACTACTGACGTCGTAAAGTGTACGAGAGAGAGGCGCGAGGAGCGTAAAATACGTATGTTAGAAAGAGACATAAGCACAACGTTGCCTATCAACCTGAGTGACTAGGCAACGGATGCAGCTGCAGCTCGCCATCGTCGCACTCTTTCTAACATACGTATTGCACGCCTCTCGCGCTTCTCTCTCGTACACATTACCCCGTCAGTGCTTTTGGATTTCTCTGTATAAATGCGTTCGCCCAGTATATTTAACTAAGAGATGATACGCCAGCTTTTGATATATTGATATCGGCGGATTATAATCAGATAATTATCTGAATCGGCGAAAATCTTATATCGGTCTATCTCTAGTGGATATGCCTTAAAATCAGTGGCATAGCAAGGGGGCGGCGGGGGAGGGCCGCACCGGGTGTCACCTTTTCTGGGGTGACACCTACCCGCTGGCTCAACCGTAAGAACAATGTACAAAGATAAAAAAAACTGCACCGATTGCATTGAAAAGTAAAGGTTTAACTGTTGACGAAACTGCTGTAAAAATAGAGGCACATCTTTATATCGAAGAAAAACGGAGTCACATTGTGGAAGAGGCAATAGATATTGCTAAAAAGAAACACTACGATATTCTAACGGAAAGACGACTTCGTCGTAAAAAACGGGTGGTTGGTGAGATGGCCAGTGATGCCTGACTCACACGGAAAGAAGAACTTCAAAAGATATGTTTGAATGTGTTGACCGATTCAGAGTTGAACTCGAGATAAGATCGAAGTCTCTCCAAGACCTAGCTCTATGTTCGAGATCGTACAAACAAATACTTGGCTTTTGGCGAATATTGAAGAACTGAAATTAGCTACATCTAAATTTACTGATTTTTATGAAGCCTCACAAACAGAATTACTATTCGAGATACCAACACTATGAAGAGACTTAAAAGCCGCTAATGTTATAGTTTCTGATTGGGTATCTCTAGATTTTTTAAAGTTTATTGTACAATCTCTTCCAAATCTGATTGCTAAAATTATTCATGACGGTTTGCGTGTCCGTAGCTTCATGTGAAAGGAGTTTCAGTGAACTAAAATGTCAAAAAACTATTTGCGGGCAACAATGACCCAATCGCGGCTCAACAATCTTGGCATATTAGCCATCGGACACGAGGCAATACAAAATATAAATTTTGATGAAGTTATTTCTGAGTTTGCAGCTGCCAAAGCTAGAAAGAACAGATTTTAATTGTAAGATAAAAGTATGTTTTCTGTCTTAGTTTTTATTGTGTTTGTTCAATATTTTAGATATAAATAGTAAATGATCCATGACGTTTATAAAGCTAGCTACGCCACTGCTCAAATAAATAGAAAATGCAGTGCTCAACTTGTGGCGGGCACTAGAGGTTTTGGTGCTCTCCACCAGATGCCAAATAAATTATAATAATAAAAGTAAGGGATTCTTTGACCTATGTTCAGCGAATACTTTGTTTTTATTTGTTTCCAGAAGCTGTTATCTCTATGCATTCGTAACAACCAGAAAACCTGAATTCGCACGAATTATAAATATTTCTATACTAAAATGTTCACCTTGAATTGGATGCTACTTATCTTGCTTCTAGCACCATGTGAAATAAGTTGTTTGGAAAATTTAGCACGAAATTAGAACCGGTCAAATACATAAGCATACTTCTACTTCGAAATATATGTATGTAGGTAATCTCAGTATTTAGATTAGACCAAACTCCCCAAAAAATAATTTTTACTATCAAATTATATGTAAATTTATTTTTCATACGGAATTGCTTAGGCGAAATAGATATGCAAAATTGATAAACAAATTAGTTGTTTATAAATACGGTGTTCTGATTTGTAGAATAAGCATTTGAAATCGATAAAATGAAACATATTATACCAGCAGTTATTCTAGCGTTGTCCTTTTTCTTTGGGAAAAATAACGCTTTCAAGGTAATATGGGATAATGATGCCATTGTTGATTTAAATGAAATTTTGAATCATACTCGATCTGCAGAAGTTCGAATGCCAAATTGGTACTTCATCTATCCAGGTAAGTGGTAATTTGTTCTACATAAAAAACGCAAAAAAATTACTATAAATCTGTTGAACGATGTGATCATAAATTGTTCATATATAGCAACGCATCAAACATTTATATATTAATTAAAAATCCAAAAACTTCAAAATAACGAAGTTTGAGTACATTTTTTTATACCGAAGTAGCCGCGCAGGCAGAAGCCTGAATGCCGGCACACCGCGGCTGCTATAATGAACCCAAAGAAATATTAATCCGATTTTTGAACTGCCTAAGGTTAGTAGAACTGGGAAAAGTTTCCTCTTCTTTTTTACAAATACTTGCAGGGTCAAGCGATTAAAATAAAACCACAGTTGAAAATTTTATTTGAAACTGAACACATTTAACATTTAAAACGTAAAGGAACTAGGAGATTTTTTTAAAAAACATCAAAAAATATAAAATAGTACGTCTGGGACGTTACCTTATGCTTGTGCTTGATAATCATTTTCTTTGAACATTACCCTCTGGAACATAGTGTGGACCTTTAGTTGGATAGGTGGATAAAAGTGGCATTTATCAGCTGGCAGATAGAAGCGCAGGTCTCTTTTGACATTCACCACCTCTCCAACAAACGTTTTGATTATATCACTGCAAAAAAAGAAATAAGCTGTAAAATGTTTCAAGTTTAGGTGAAACGCAGGTGCTCTCTTCATTAAATCATATTTTTCCTGTTAAAAAAATAACGCCAAACACGTTTCGTGGGAGAATAAATTTTAACGATGTCGTAACACGCTGTACTTCTGCAAGTAAGCACGTTTATACAGGGTGTCCAGTGGAAATGTTCACTTTTTGTTTTCAGAAAAAATAATACAAACTTAATGCAAAGAAAATATTTATTACTATCAGCATATTCGTAAATTCGGCGGGTTTTATTTCTTAAATACCGTCCAAATGTTTGCCATCCCTTCGGACACACTCTTTTGATCGCTCGCGCAAATTCTGAAACACTCTCTTGCAGAGTTCCGGAGTGATGGATTGGATTGGAATACACTTTTGACTTTAAATAAGCCCACAAAAAATAGTCGCATGGCGTGAGGTCGGGTGACCTAGGAGGCCTATGAATGTCTCCAAACTTCGGTATAACTTTTTGAGGAAAAATTGCGTTCGCCGAGTCCATCGATTCTCTGGAAGTATGGGCAGTGGCACCATCGGGTTGAAACCATGTGTTTCTGTTAAATAGACGTTCTGTTCTTACAATAGGAGCAAAAAAGATCCTTGTATCGCTCGGAATTGACTGTCAATGCATGACCGTTTTCATCTTCAAAGAAACACGGCCCAATAATACCGCTAGAGGTTATGGCGCACCACACAGTCACCTTTGGACTATGAAGCTGTTTTTTTTCTTTTGGGTTCGCTGGTGCCCAATATCTGCAAGATTTCGGTAATACGTAATTACTTTCCTTTTAAAGCATAGACTTATTGGATTTTTTTCTTCATTGTACCATGCAGTGTCGAGCTAGGGATTCTCAATGAAGCGGAATGCTTCCGTATAGGACGCAGAGGATTTGCACTGACCAAATCACTTACTCGACACATATTTCCTTCGGTTGATACAGTAGGTGTGGGGCCAGGAATGTGTTGACTAAGAGTAGAGCCTGTTTCACGGAACCTCTTAATCCACTTTTTCAATAGGTTCTTACTTGGAGCATCTCTTGGTCGCCATTGTATCGTGTCGTGTACAACATTTCCGAAGGGCAGCTGCGTATGAATCACCACTCGTAAAGTAAGCCTCGATAGCGAAAGCACGTTGCGCTCCGGTTCAACGTTCCATTGTGACTGTTTAACCCGCACGCCGAACGCGTCGAACAAGGCCTCTCCCCACTTCCTCGAGTATACGGTTGCCGCGTAAATCAAATTTGAAACGTAAACTTTCCCGCTGGACACCTTGATATGCGTTTAGGTTATTACTTTAGGATGTAGTTTCTACTAAGAACATGGCGAATGTTTTTGAATCCTCTGTACGGTGGTTAAATCCATAAAAACCATCGCAAAATATCTCGTTCCATTTTAGAAAAATTTGTTTGTTTTAGGGACTAAATGGTGCGGAGCTGGCAATATAGCAGAAAACGAGGACGATTTTGGAGTTTACAGAGATACAGATAAATGTTGCAGAAACCATGACTTTTGCCCGGAAATTATAGAAGGATATCAAACTAAATATAATCTCACAAATCCTTCGTTTTATACAAGGTTTGTGTACACATAACAACTAACTTTTGTGAATACTACATCTATTTTTTTGCAGACTACACTGTAACTGTGACCAAGCATTTTACGAATGTTTGAAAACTGTGAATACCAGAACCTCCAATCAGATAGGGACACTATATTTCACAGGACTTGGTACAAAATGCTATAAAGAAGAACATCCTATAACAGGCTGCAAAAAACACACATATTTTCCGTAAGTACACACCAGACTACTTTCTACATTGTTTCCTAATTGACTTTTGTGTTCTTCTTTTACCATGTTCCACATTTTATTTTTAGGAGGCAAAAATGTCTTGAATACGACCACAACACAGACGAACCCAAACAATGGCAATGGTTTGATGTGCCAAACTACTAGAACTTACATTTCTTCATCATTCAAGTCTTTGATTTCAGTAAACTTCTTCATTCCAATAACATGACTGAAAAACTTGACCTTGGCCATCAAAATAGGCAGGTACAATCTTGAGATGTTATATTCTAGTATACGGAAGAGAAGTAGGCCGTATTTCACTACCTCTACTGGTTTCTCTAAAAGAAAATATGGATAAAACTTAAGAATGTTACTGTGACGAAGTATTATACCTCCCCAATGATAGTGTTTTTCGTACAATAATCTGTAGACATCAAGTAAAGGCAACGAATTTTCATGGAATATTACTTTGTAGCATTCAGCTATTCTTGCCAAGTGTTCTATAGAATAAGTGACATTATCTAAAAACAAAGTTAATTCAACAATCAAGATTTATTTAAGCAATAACTTGAATGAATTTTATAGCTTTGTAATATGTGGAATTTTGGACCCCTGTGAGAGTGAATAGCAGCTGTCTACTGGAACTGTAACGGTATTTTAGTTCGCATCGAAAGCAATATGACCGCTAGGTTCCGCCGATTCTAGCGATATAGTACACGATAGTCTAGTCGATATTGCAAACTAATAACTGATGGCACCAAGCTGTCACACTAAGGACTCTCGATGCAACCCGAGCTACCATTACAGTTCCAACAAGTAGCAGCTATTCGCTCTCTCAATTGTGGATTCTGGTAATAGATGGCGATCTATGTGGGTAGACATTATACGTTCAATAGAGGATACTTTGCTCTGCTTTTGTCCGTTGGTATAGCTTAGACTGTGCTGATGATAGCCAATAAGCATGAAACAGATGTACAAGGTTGGCCGTACAGACTATACAGTGTACGAGGGATGTCTTTTAAGTTTTGCATATGGAAATAAAACAACACGGTAGGTAGTTTTAAATGACTTTATTGTTTTTCGAAGTATTCTCCACGAAGATTAATGCACATTTGCATGCGCTCGAACCAATTTTCGAAGCACTTATTCCACTCGTCTGCTGGCGGATCCAAAACGGCATTTTTGAATGCGTCAACTGCTTCTTCTGGTGACTGGAACCTTTGACCACGCAGTCTGTTTTTAATTTTCGGGAAAGTAAAGAAATCGTTAGGACTTAGATCGGGACTATATGGACGATGGTCTAATAATTCCACGTTTTCTTCCGTTAAATACTGCCCTGTTTTTGGGCTGTGTGCGAGCTTGCATTGTCTTGGTGGAGGATGATACTTCTTTCGGGGTTGATTTTTCGAAACTCGGTGATTGCTTTTGGCATACAAATGGTGGTATACCAATCCGCAGTAACGGTTCTTTGCTCATTAAGAGGAATTGTTGCAATATGACCCGCTTTTGACACAAATGTCGCGAACATCTTTTTCGAAACACTTCGAGAACGGATGACTTTTGTTGGCTTTTCTTCACCTTGGAACACCCAAACAGCCGACGGTCGTTTATTTTCTGGTGCATAACAGTAAATCCACGATTCATCACCACTAACAATGCTGTACACATTTTTTGAGTTTCCGGAATTGAAACGGTCAAGCGTTTTTTGACACCAATTAACCATGGCTGCTTTCTGCTCTTCAGTCAACAGGAGGGGTATCCAACGAGAAACTAATTTTTTTACTCCTAATTCTTCATGTAATTTTTTTTGAATTGATGTCTTTGAGATTTTCAAGGACGCCTCAATCTCGCGATATGTCACATGTCTAACTTCAATGATGAGTTTGCGCACAGCATCGATGTTTTCCTGGGTGACTGCCGTTTTTGGTGCACCCACCCTGGGATCGGCGCTAAGACTCACCCGTCCACGTTTGAATTCTCCATACCAACGGGAAATTGTCGACTGATGTGGCGCTTCGTTACCAAAAACAGACAGTAACTCAGCAAGGCATTCTTGTTGCGATAATTGTCTCTGAAAGTTGTAATAAATTATGGCGCGAAATTGTTCTCGGTTGAGTTCCATTTTTCTAATGATTTGGTGACAGTTAAAAATTCACTGTAGTGAGAACACTGCAAGTATTGTGATACTTTGAATTTATGTTTACTAAAGAGTGAGGTTAAGATTCAGTACTGACGTTCGATCCGCGCGGCCTACTATGTTTCTATATGCAAAACTTAAAAGACATCCCTCGTATAATGTATAGAGTATGCAACCATTTCATGAAACGTTCGATCACATCATGAATTGGTCAATTTTACAATATGGCCACGACAAATATTGTTTTCGATAGGAAAGGGAGTTTTTCCTCTACACAATATTAGCAACACAGAAATAAACTGAAATATCCACCACAAAAATGTAGGCTTATTAAACCCTTGACTTCGCCACTGCAGTGTCCAGTACTTGTTGTACATATAGCATGTTTGACCAGGACGGTATTTTTATCGCTCTCCAGATTCTTCGAGTAAATTATACTATTCGAATTTTGTACTTACAAACGTTCCTGCATATCGTCGCTATTTTAAAGGTTTCAGCAATATCATCTAAGGGAAAACTACGTAGGCATTTAAAACAATACCCAACTGTTTTGCCCTCCTTTGATTCCACTTGTTGAGCATTCCCTACCGCGCATTGTGGACATTTGTAGGGTGCAATCGCCTATAAGCAAAATTGAACGAGTTATGTTTTGTATTCTGGATAAACTGAATATCAGAGAAAAACATATTTATGTCTTACCAAGTGTTTTTCATACATACAAAATGAACAGGAACAAGTGAAATGGAATATTTCTTCAGTAATGATATGTCTTTCATCAACTCCTAATAAAGCATCTACTTCTCTGTAACATATTGTAATCTCTTCACCTTTCCTTATGACCCTAATACTTTTCACAACCACAAAGTCAGAATATATACTGAAAATGAGATTGCAGGAGATAGAGAACGGAAAATGGAATAATCATAATGCAAGAATATCACTAATAATGCTACTTGAGATTCTATATTTTATCTATCAGTACCAAAAATGCTGTTGACGGTTCGACTCCCATCAACATCAGATTCTTCCACAGCATATACAGGGTCCGGCACTGAAACTTTCTTTTTTCAATGATACAAGGTGGCGCGACTGGAGCTAGTTGCAGCGCGTAAGCGCGCTTAGCAGAGAGAGTTGGTGGAGAGGTTTGCTTGTTAATCGTCGTCAGTCGTAAAAATGCTTTGGGCGAGAGAGCAACGCGCGTTCGCCGTTGAGACCTACTTTTCACAAGGCCGGTCGATCATCGCGGTGCAGCGTGCGTTCCGTTTACGGTACAATATTCCCCCTAGAGATGCTGTTCCGGCCCGGGGATCCATTTTATCATGGGTGGAGGCTTTTAGAGCAGTTGGAAATGTGTCCCGCAAGAGACCAGGAGCAACATGGACAGTTAGAACACCCGCAAAATCGAGGCAGTCCGACAGTCGGTTTTGCGATCTCCTAGACGATCTTCTTCGAAACGTGCCGCTGTCCTGAGGTTAACGGACCGCTCAACTCGCCGAATTCTTCACGACGATCTTCACTGTCATCCATACAAAATGGTAGTCACCCAACAACTTTCCGAGTCTGATTTTGTTTCACGACAAAGGGCATGCGAAACGATTGTTGATGATTTGCCTCCGGACGCGGTTGTCTTTTTCAGTGATGAGGCACACTTTCACATCACAGGTTGTGTTAACAAACAAAATATGCACTACTGGAGCGGCAATAATCCCAGAGAAATTCATGAAACGCCTCTTCATGCGGATAAAATCACAGTTTGGGCTGCGATATCAAGAGTGGGGATCATTGGGCCATATTTTTTTGAGGAAGATAATCGCACAGTTACTGTAAACTCTGAGCGTTATGTGGCAATGATTAACAATTTCTTTCTGCCAGCTCTTGACAATATGGCCTTAGGCGATGTATGGTTCCAGCAAGATGGGGCCACAGCCCATACATCACGACTTTCAATGCCTGTTTTGAGACAAAATTTTCCAGGGCGACTTATCTCCAACCGAGGTGACATTCCATGGCCCGCACGCTCGCCAGATCTAGCTCCATGTGATTATTTTCTATGGTGCTACCTCAAATCAAAAGTGTATAACAACCTTGCTGAAACCCTGGAAGAATTGAAAAACAATATTCGTTACGAGATGGCCAACATACCGAATGCTAGAAAGGGTCCACGCACACTTCAGAAATCGGTTACAGCAATGTATCGACAGTAATGGTAGACACTTGTCAAATATTCTGTTTAAAACAACTTGATTTCAACTTCCCATATTACTGTCTAATGCTAATACAAAAATGAATAAAAATGTGCAATATATATTTTTATTTTTTACCTATGAAAAAAGAAAGTTTCAATGCCGCACCCTGTACAACACAGTAGTGCAACTTTTTGATAACCACGCTAAATTTTTAGTCGGATTTCTATGACAATAAGAGCTCGGCACACGTGTAGATTAGTAAGATAATAATAATAACAAATTTCTCTAGACCACCCAAGTAAAGGAGTGAGTTGCTGGGATGCTCTGCATAAGACGTTAGACAGTGAACAAATTACATATTCACATCTTTGGGACTTGCATTACTGTGTGCACTGGCATAATATGCGCTTTAAGTTTTTGGAGGGGGTTCGGTAGTGTCCACGGATTACATTTTCCTTGAACTCATTTTTCTCAATTCAGTGAGCCCCCCACTCAACACGCTAAGGTGTCCCAATAAATCGAATAATCGATATATGGTGCAACTTTTTTTTTTAATTTTCCAAACTACTCATGTTTTACTCATTTTCCTTCCAAAATAGTAATTTCTTACTAAATTTTCCTTCCAAAGAAATAATGCCACCATGGAAAAGTTCTACAAAGACGGATCGCTTGAATTTAATGGCAGCCAGAACACAAAAACTTTACTCAAAAATTAGTGGAAAAATCCCAGTCAACAACCTGATTTATAAATAAATGCTTCGATTTAGCGCCAATCATGTTACCTTCCGTTTGATGACCGCACCTTTTTCAGTTACTAGAGAGACATGCTATTCCAAAATCGCGCCTAAGTGGCAACATAGCCTACACCAACAAATTGACGAAATATGGCTCTCAAATATTCATTTTGTGGTGCCATCAGGTCACCATTAATTTTTTCTGGACAAGATTAAATATTTTTAAATTAAGAAAAACAGTATTGCTGTTTTATATGAGAAGTGAGGAACTCGGGAGGGGGGATCAGGACTCAATTTTTATTGGATGTGTCTTTATCAAAAAAACAATTTATACATACATAATAGCAGCATTTGGTGAGCAGGAATGATTCAGCAAAGCAATGGTTGGACATATAGCCTTTCCAGTACCACCAGCAACATTCAGTGCAAAATCTAATGTCAAATTTGGGTATTTCAAAAGAACATTATTATTTTGTGCCTGGCAGTAATGTTTTACCATAAGCCCTCCAACATATAGATGTAAATCTTTTACATTGCAGCTTTTGTCTTCATTCAAATGATGGAAAAAATTGGTTTTTCTTATCAAGTAAACCAAATTCCTAGCAGTACTCTGAAAGATAATAAAAACAGATTTCAATTGTAATACTATTTCAAAAAGCGTTTTCATGTGTCAACTTTGCTCTATGTTAGATTTGCAGTAAATTACTTACGTATAATATTTTGTTAACAGTTGGTAACAACAATTGCTTGAAATTGGTCTCAAGAGCATATATAAAGGGATAATTATTTTCAAAATTCCCATACATTCCGCCCTCCTCTGGTTGAGTATCAAACTTCTTGGAAGCACCATAGAGCATCATTCTTAATGCAACATAACTATAATCTATGTCATCCATTGACCAAAAATGCCTTTGGAGGCCATAACATTCATACCTATGATAGTTTTTGTATGCTTGAAACAAGCAACTTCTTGTGCAAAATATGCATATATTACAACCATCACAGCTAAAACAATGTTTCTTTAATAACATAAATATTACTCGGCGCCTTCTACCCAGTACTCGGTGTTAAATTACTCGCCGGGTAATTACTCGGTCGGCAGGGGTATTAAGTATCTTGGAAAGTGACATTGTTGTTTTTTGACATTATATCGGTTTTTCTACAAGGTGCCAACTTGGAACTAGCTGTTGTTTACTTGATGTGACTCGTTCTGTAAGCTGTACGTGTTGCCTAAACGTCATGAAGCTTGAGCCATCAATTATGGCTCTGATGTGACGTAACATCTGCTTCGGAGATGGCATTATTGTTGGTCTAAGCTATAAGATGTATACATCAGCTGGAAAGAAACGACAATGCATAGAGTTTTGAAAACTCAACAAAAACCGGGGAACATCGTAGTTTATGTATTTGAACATAACATCTCTTCAGAAACGACAACACAAATAACTCGCCTGGTACAGCTAATAGATATACTTCATGGATAGCATATTCAGTAATAATTTTATACACGTGCAGACCAATACACACAATCATCCAGATGCGATCAACCATGAGACCACAACAGGTAAAGGTTGGCAGATCAGTATCAAACCAATACATAGCATCATCTGGGGTGCCGCGAGGTAGTAACCTTGGTCCTTTGCTATTCTGTGTTTTCATTAACGACTTACCAAACTGCATAAACAATTCAGAATGCCTCCTCTATGCTGATGACTTTAAAATGTTTAAGCCCATAACATCATCTAAGGATTGTCATGAACTACAGAAGGATTTAGATTTGGTATCCAATTGGCTTCACGAAAATAAGATGTCGTTAGATATCGACAAATCCCATGTTTTAACTTTTACATGTAAAAAACAATACATAAATGTTACATACACGATTGAAAATGTACAACTAGGCAGAGAAAGCACATGCAAGGATCTTGGCGTCTACTTCCAAACAAACTTAACATTTGTCCAGCATTATGAAAACATTGTGAATAAATCTTATATACTCCTTGGATTCATAATTAGGCATACAACACTCTAGTGAGACCCAATTTAGAATATGCATCAACTATTTGGTCACCACAAACAATGAACCATATCGAAATGATTGAGAGAGTGCAAAAGAGATTTCTCAGATATTTGTATTCCAAAAAACATAATATATACCCTTTCATGATCTCATACAAGAATATGTTAAATGAATTTAAAATGGTCAAATTAAGCGATAGACGACGTTTGAGTGATGTGTTATTCCTCTACAATGTCACTAACAACCTAAAGTATGAGAAATGTGATTTATATAAATATGTATTATTTGTAGTTCCTAAAGTTAAACTAAGAATAAGAAAAAACAAATTGTTCCAGTTAAGTAGCTCTCCTATAAATAGGATGATGTATGAATGTAACAGTGTGATTTAGACCTTTTTTGTACATCAGTAGGACAAATCAAGGCTGTGTTTCTAAACAGCACATTGCCTTGGTGCCATTAGTATTATATACTATTTTATATATTTTATCTCTGTTTTGCATTTTAAAATGTTGTTTTGTCTTTGTAATTTATTTTTTAGTAGGGGCTCTTACATTTAAATACATTAGTATGTGTTTGTAGGAGGATAAATAAATAAATAAATTTTCTTTGTCACATCTTCTCAAAGATATACTCTGCAGACTACAGACTATCTCGGTATTCTGCAACCAACAAAGCATGCTGGGGAACTGACGTGCAGCTGGTCATTGAAACGTGTCGTTAAGTCATTCCTTGACAGATGACACTTTTGGAAACGCTCATAGCAAGCAATAGTAGAATGAACTATTCGTACACTAGGAACTATCTAGTCAGCAAATTGACATTTTGTTAGTTTTTTGACATTATATATGTTTTTTACGTAATAACCCTGCCGAACGCAATGCACACAAACAAGTTGTGTAAGTGAAGGAACTGCAGATGTGATGTGTCTAGTTTGTGCCCACATGTCCTTATCAAACCTTACATGTATGCTCTCCAATAAATTAATGCACCATCAAAAAAATAGCTAAGATTACAGATTATTTTTGCTGGACTTAGGGAACTAATTTTGATGATTTTAGTCAATGTCACCCGTCTTCATTTTCTTCAGTAAAAAAAAAACAAGAATCACAAAACAGAAAACATAGTGAAGGTCTAAAAGTAATGTGGATAACGAAAATGTTGTGTCTTGCAAAACCTCTACTCATATGCAAGGATAATCATCCAGGTTTAGTCATCAAATTTTTGTAACCTCCTTTCAAAAGTTCAGGTGTTAATTGGGGCCTACTAAAATAAATATGTAGTAGGTTTCTGTATGTGTTACAAATGTGCTTTATTATGACAAAAAGGACTGAAAAGTAAATCAAAAAGATATGTTTTAAACGTGTGATGTCAAAATATGGCTTGGATGTTAACTCAAAATTGTAGCTACTAAAACTGTTGCAAGACTCTTTTTCAATGTAAAATTTTTAGGTGCTAAAGATTTTGTACTTACACATAAAAGAGTTTAATAGCTGCTCCACAGTTGTGGCATCTATATAAAGAGTATCTTTCACCAACACATTTGCAAAGAGGTGTGACTTGTAATACTGTTGGAATCTCATTTATCAAAATCCTCCCCTTCCCAATGGTTTTTTTAGCTACAAGCTTCCGACCTCTATCAGATGACTTACTGGATATAAAAAAAATTAAATGCAATTAAAACATTTCTTAAATTCAGATGGTTTATGTGAATACCGTAGATCTAGTGAATTAGAAGCATACAAAATGTTTTCACTTCTTTCTGAGGCTGCTAGAGGTTCAAAAAAGAGATTTACTTGGTCTGCTTGACAATTTTTGGAAACTCCTGGGTATAAGTCGCAGAAATCGCTCATATTATCAACTTCATCGATAATATTTTGAATAAATCCATTTTTTCTGCAAAAAAATCTGTTGAAACATTCAAAAGAAAGGGGCACATGTAACATACTGTATAGCATCAAAATATTTACAAAAAGCATTGCTTTCATTAATATATTCTTCTTTGAAGAAATACTTCAGAGTTCTCACTCGTATTTTCCCCTTTACAACTTGTTCAGATTCTAAAAAAAGTGGACAATGATTCATTTTTCAAATATTTTATCAGATAACATTACCTCCATTCATACTGCAGTTTCTGAAATTGAAAAAATATATAATAAACATATGACAACAGCAGAGCTATTCATACTCACTTTTCTTTCCCATCCAGCATGATCTTTTTAACTAAAACTATACTATGTAAATATAATACTGTGATATGAAAAAATAAAATAAAGCTCACAACATAAATACACTTATCGCATCGTTGCGGTTGTAGTTCCAGATTTGTCGTTGGGTTGCAGGTTGATTTTTGTTTATGCGGCTTTATATGCTAGATGCAGTGCTGCCAGATCTAAATTGCTATTTTCAGCAAAAACGGTCTATAAGGCAAGCACTGAATTGGACGGTAGAATCTCAAAATTTGGTTCTGGGAAGTAATGTAATTGTGTAACATTGTGGGGTGCACTTGCCTAGCCAGCCCGTTGGTGTTTGGCGATAATTGATGACCAAGGGGGTGTCCAGAGACTGGGGTAGGTGAGAGGGATGAGGGCGATGGCGTGCAGACCTGAGATATTTTTCCTAGATATCGAGTTTTACTAATCGATTTCCTCGATCTTAATCGATTTTTATTAAAAAATGCCATACATCATGGAAAAAATTAAATTCAAGATGGCCACCGCAACCAAAAATAGAGATTTAAATACTTTTTCAATCTCCTCAATATGAGTATAGAATAGAACATTTTTGAATTTTGAAAGCAATAACTAATTTCAATTTCAACGGGCTTATTATAGAGAAACATAATATGATACTGCATTTTCTTCATAATTCCAAGGGTTTTGAAACCAGAAGATTGTTGTTTTAGTGATTTTTTTTATCATCTTATTTGTTTTTTTTTGTTCTAATCTATTAAAGCATATAGTTTGTCGATCTTGATCTATTATTTCAAAAAAATCGATTATTTTCCGCCTCCTAAATATGCTCCTTAGCTCCTTTTTATTGAAAAAATAGTAGGCCTACACGTTTAGTTAACGCGAAAAAAATCGATAGAAATTGAGCGCTTTGCGGTAGAAGGTTCGCCGCGGGGTTATTACGTAAAAAAAATATATACTGTCAAAAAACGACATTACGGTATGTCAATTTTCAAGTTACAAAATACTCCTGCCGCACGGGTATTATGTAAACAACCTAAAAACGTCGAAAAAACGCCGAATGTTATCCTGCTGAGTCGTTAGTTTTTAGCGTGCAAATAGCTCATTCCACGTTTGTTCGCTATGTTCGCGGACGTTTAAGCAACAGGTACAGCTACAAAACGAATCCACAACAGAGTGAACAGCAGCTTGTGCTAAGTTAAAATCTTGTAGAAAAACCTATGTTATGTCACATAAAACCTATGAAATGTCAAAAAAAACGTAATGTCACTTTTCAAGATACGTAATACGGTAGATCTACCGTAGAAATGGTAGACCTGGCACCGCTGGCTTGATGTAAAAATCGAGATGGTATCATCGGCTAACGCCGGCTCCACACGTTGGCCCCAACGTTGGTCGGTTAAGTTGGTGAAGCGTCCACACGTTGGTTATTATAATAGTTCCTTTCTGTCAGAGCCAATGTGAAGATGTCCGACACCGAAACCGAAATTGCTCTAAGCGCTTTTACAGTACTGATGAGTGCGTATAATTTATATTTGTTATTGAAAAAAAAGAAAAAGCCACGTCGAAGGAGATGGTGGATGACAACGCATCATAAAACTCGGTACCAGTAAGTACAGACCATACACTCCATTCTAGCAGCTTTTTACAAGGCAATTTAATATTAAATTATCTAATAATGTGTATACAGTGTGTCCAAGATAAGGATGTCTATCATGAGGATTTTGGAAAACAAAAGTGATACGAAGATGGTTAAATTTCAAGCCTAACAATATGCCGTTTAGAAAGTTTTAAAATTCCGAGTTGTTCCGGAGGTATGCCTAAAAAACCGAAATTTGCCGATTTCGTTTTTATTTTTTTCTGACGTTATTTAAAGAGATATGGAAAAACAAAAGACACTTTCTTATGGCTACTTTTTAAGCTCTACAAAACAGCGTTGAGAGATTTTCCGCACGACGTTTCGTTTCGGAGAAACCGTCATCAACTTTATTTTTTATATGGCGCGTAAACAAGTATGCCCTGTATTAAACAGCATTTTTTAGGCATACCTCCGAACAACTCGGAATTTTAAAGCTTTCTAAACGGCATATTGTTAGGCTTGAAATTTAACCATCTTCGTATCACTTTTGTTGTCCAAGATCCTCATGATAGACATCCTTATCTTAGACACACTGTATACACATTATTAGATAATTTAATATTAAATTGCCTTGTAAAAACTTACTGGTACCGAGTTTTATGATGCGTTGCCATCCACCATCTCCTTTAGACGTGGCTTTTTCTTTTTTTTCAATAACAAATATAAATTATACGCACTCATCAGTACTGTAAAAGCGCTTAGAGCAATTTCGGTTTCTTTTTTAATTCCTCAATAGAATAAATCATTTTCATATTCTGTTGAATATTGCGCCATGCATCGGCTACTAAATTTCTATTTTTATTGTCCTTGCGAGAGGCGTTCCATATTATTGGATGTGCCTGGTATAACTCTAAAAATTCTACAACTTTTTCGTTTGTCCACGCGAGCAGCGATGTTGTTGATGACATATCTCCACATACGCACTCGACGCGTGTTACAACGAGACTGAGCCAGTGAGCCAATATGTGGACGGATTGCCAACGTTGGCGCAGATTCCTTTGATAAAACCGACAATCGACAGCCAACTACCAACGGTCGCTCCAACGTTGGGGCCAACGCTATTTTCTAGATACACACGTTGGGCGAGTGGCGTTGGGGCCAACGTGTGGAGCCGGCGTAATGTGAAGGATTCGAAATTTAGGGAATCATATGAATCTGATGCGCTGTCCCATATTCCATATTTCGATTACAGACGTCGCTTAAGGTAATTGGATGCGTAGTTGTACGAGCTGCTAGTCGTGCGTATTGTCCGTAAACGAACGACTAATCGCTTTAAATGAAATTATTAGAACCGCCGCCCAATGCACACGATATAATTTTATTCGACCAACGACTGAACCTACTGGAAAAGGATTTTTCGGACGTATCCAAACAACTTTGATTTTGTTTGTATACAATTTATTAGCCAGATCAGGTTTTTACCATTCTAAATCTTCAAATAAATGATGAAACTCGACTAATATATGTCTTTTCGACAATACAACACTATCCCAATATCTCAGCCTTATCTCCGGCGTCGCAACAGGTAAGAGTTTTCCAAAATATATTCGGCGAGGTTCAAATTTGGTTGTCGTAATGTGTACGAGAAAAAAGCGCGAGAAGCATGCTATATGTATGTTAGAAAGAGTGCTCCGATGGCATCCGTGACCTCGTACTCGGGTTGCTAGGCAGCGATGTGCTTCTATCTCTTTCAACCTCACATATTGCACATTACGATGTCAGTGGTAGAGGCTTCCGTTAATACCGGCTTACCCCAAAAAATTTGTTGTGGCTTGATTTTACCCCTCAATTTAAAATTTTTTTAAATGGTCGCGTGCGACCCCTGATCGTAAAAGATATGACTGACGATTCGACAAACGCGAATGCGGGTCTCACAAGATGCTTCCAACGTTGTTTACAACGTTCGCCACATCTCATTTGGCAAGTGTCTCCTACACGATGGGATGAACTTTTTAGTCTCGGACGTTCGACGCATGGTGGTGCCAACGTCTATTATCGGTGAGAGTGTCGCGCTTGAACCTTTACAACTGAAGGAAAAATTATATAAAATAAACGAAGAAACAATTTTTCTTTGAGCGCCGAAAAATAATTTCAGATCTGTCCTTAGCGACCAAAACATAAGTCTGTCAGAAGCCTCAAAAATGTCGAAAAACGGTTTAACCTCTTTTTTGTTTGTTTTTCGACTATAGCTCCACCGCCAGTGTACCAATTTTCAAAAACTGCAGAGCTTTTTCGTTATTTTCATAGTAGTAACCTAGGGTCAAAATTTTATCAAAATCGTGAAAGTACTTTCAGATTTATCGTTTATTTAATCTTTTTCGTTAGTTATGAAATGGAAGTCAATATATTTCTCAACTAATTTCGCATTGCAACAGGACATTATAATGAAACAACTGTAAGCACTTGATAATTTATAATTTACTAAAATACAAATCCTTAGACCAGCCATAACTCACCTGCGAAACGTACAAAATATCAGTAATATGAAAAAAAGTGTTGTTGTGGGAGCCTATGGTTTGTATGTACATATACTGATTTAATCCATTCTCCTCAAAAGTTAGTTAAGGAACATTATTATGAAGAGGAGGGTATTCAAATCAAAATACTGCCCACATACCACTACTTCACCACAATCACAGCAAAGAAATAAATAATAATCAAATTCAAGCGGATAACCAAATGAAAATGGTATTTACCATTTTGGGTTGGTATTTACCGATTCGTTCAAGCGAGTGTAGTTATCATTTTGGTTATAAGGTCCGTGACGTCACGAATCAGCTGTTATATGTCATAGTTATCACCGCAAAATTGTGGTATTTACCCAACTCAAGAGTAGTTTTATATTTCTGGTTATTATTTGAAATGTGACAAGTTAGAATTTTGCCGGGTATTGGATATTGTTATTGTACTTCAGCTTCATTTTTGGGAAACTTGATACAGGCTGACTTCAGTTTTACCATAAAGATGATGTCCACCTGTATACAGTTTTGCTTATATCTTTTTTCATCGCTTTTTCATCATTTCTGCTGAATCAATAAATGTTTTCTTTGACATGCGGAAAACTTTAGAGAATTGAAAGTTGTCATAGCTACAAAGCCATGGTTCCATCATTAAAAAATAATTTCTGAAAAGAAATACATTTCTCCCATGAATTATATGGAAGGTGTCTTTTTAAACTTTCCATACACCGTTGTAGGTTGTACACGAAAAAGCACCGATTATTAAGTGATGATAAAAATAATCAGAAATTATATACGGGCTTTTCTAAAATAAACAACTTGCAACAAAACCGCGGTTAAAACCAACGCGTTCAAGCGATTCGAGCAACTGACGTCATCAATCCGTGTGTCATCTTGAACCATATTATAACCGCAGTACATAACACAGAAATTTTGGTTATTCGCTTGGATTTGATTAATGTTTGTCGCCGCTCTTGCTTCTAACCTAAAACCATCAAACACATGACATCTCGTATGGGAGTGGGAGCATAACGAACCATGCTTCCAACGTTGTAACGTCCTTTGACGCGGGTCAAATTTACCGACAAGAGCCCGAACGTGCAATGTGGCAAACGTTGGACACATGCAATCCCTCAGCGCTCTCCCACACGATGTGGCGAACGTTGGACATATTCGCCTTATCGTGTGGGAACGGTTAAACAAATTATTTTTATGAAAAAGACGTCTGTAGTCTCTGTAGCATGCTTTAGGTTCACATTACGCTGTCAGTGATGACATTGTCAATGTCAAATTGCCGTGGAAAGCAAACCTAACCTAAATCCCAGCCTGGTTTCTAAGCTAAAATTCGTTTTATATTTTTATACTTTACCCCATTTATCTTTTTTATGACATGCAGTGTTTTCCAATTGAAAAACGCTCTTTTGTATGCGGCAGTCCATTAGTTGAATAGAGATTGGTTGAACAAATAACTACAAAAATGGACAGTTTACTGGGTTATTACTCGGAAAAGTTCGCATCAATTGAAGGAAATATTTTTGAAATATTCTCACAGTTCTACAATTTAGATCTGTAAGTACTATATAAAAAATATTGTACCTAATTTAGGTAGAAGTAAAGATTTCTTGATTAGACTACTTGCACTGTTTTCAGATTTGTTATCCTAGTTCGAAAAAACGGGTAACAACATCAATACCATCCATTAAATCTTATTTACAGGTCTCCAATCGACTCATGGCTTGAATCGCACTTTATAAATATAATAGAAAAGGATGATAAAACATCTACACATTACAGAAAGGAGGGAAACAAATGCTATGCCCGCAAAGATCTTGTAAAGAGTTTAAAATACTATACGAAAAGTGTATGCAATGCCACTCCTGGTAATCGAGAGTATGCCTTAGCATTAGCCAATAGATCTGCAGTCATACTTGAGATGGGAGCTTATGAGGTTTGTTATGATACCTTATAAAATATTCAGGTATCAGACTCTAGATTTTAAAAAAATATTTTACTTTTCAGAATTGTTTGAGGGATATAGAACATTGTTTAAAAGCAGATTATCCAAATGAATTGAAACCAAAAATACATTTCAGGAAGGCCGAGTGTTACTTAGCTTCAAATCAAAAAGAATATTTTGAAAAGTGTGTCGCAGAGCTGGATGACTTGCTGGGTACTAATGCTCAAATTGAAAACAAGGGTATATCTGCTATTACTTGGTAAGTTGTGCAAGGGGTCATGTTTGTTAATCATTATTTTTCAGATAAATATGTAGCGAGACTTAATAATTTGAAAAAAGGTAAAATGAAAAATAAAATTCCAGAAGTATCACAAGAACATCCTATTGAACTGCCCACATTTAGTGAAGGTGAAAATATAAATTTTGCCTATGCTTCTTCTAAAATTAGGATCAGGTAAATATTTTACAACCGTTTTATTTTGACTTCTCACATTTTTGTGTTTTGCTTTATAGTTATGAAAAATCTAAAGGCAGGCATGTAATAGCAAGTAAAAAAATCCACAAAGGAGAGCTGCTTTTTATAGAAAAAGCCTTCATATTTGCACCAGTTTTTAAGGAGGATAAATGTTTCTATCCATTCAAATGTTACAACTGTTTGAATGATGTGATAAGTAGTATACCGTAAGTAATTTATTTAAAATATACAGGGTGTCCCATAAGTTGACATCAAGCCAGAATTGCGGGATATGCCAAGTCATAATAGTTATCAGAAAAATATATAAAAAAAATCTGAGTCAGGTGTAGATTTTTCCGATTTTTTTAATACTATAAGTTGAAAAGTACACAACTTAGATTTATTTATATTTTTTTGATAACTTATTTGGCATATCCCTAGTTTCTGACTTGGGGTCGACTTCTAGGACACCCTGTATAATTTTGTACTATTCTGACATGGTTTTAGGTGCAAGTCATGTACTTTGTGCATTTACTGTAGTGAAAAGTGTTTAGCTTCATCTTGGAATGAGTGTCATAGATGGGAATGTGTTGGAATGAAAGGTAGCATTTGGTATGACTTAGGGATTGCCTTTCCCGCATTTAAAGCAGTACTTAAGGGAGTCAAGTCAGGATTCAAAACAATAAAAGGGGACCACTCTGAGGATTTAAAGAAATTTGGTGACAAACAAGACAACTATCCATATTTCAACAGGCTAATATCACATATTTATAAGACAAAAAATGCAGCACCCTATGTTGTGGTAACAATTATTTAATATTATATTTATTGCATACCAAATTTTACAGCTAACGTACATCTTAATGTGTTATTCTGGTTTTCGTAATTCAGTATTTCAAAATAGTCTCAGAGAATTGTGAAGTAGTTTTTAATGTGTTCCCAAGTGGAACTCAAAAAATATAATAATAAAAAAGGAAACAAGGATGTATAAAGTGTAGTAGTTACCAGGGCATACCCAGCTCAAAACAAAAGGGGGGGCATCCAAGAAAATGTTTGTTGGAAGTTCCAGAAATTATATCTGCATATTCATGCTTGATATTTACCTTTCTATTTGCATTTCATTTATACAGGGAGTCCCGCGAGGTAAGGGACAAAATTTTTCTGTGTGTTCTTCAGGTCAATTCGAGTCGAAAAAGTCATATGAACATGGGTCCACAAATTCTTCCTTATCGAGATATGATTTTTTTATTTTTAGTGGGCGAAAACCACAATATTGTTGGAAATTTGCTTTTATTTAACAAAAAATTTAATACTGTTCGTCTGAAAACAACTGTTTACATTTTTTAATGCCCTGATGTTTGTTTGTTTGTTGACGGAGTAGTTGTGTCAGTTTGTTGAACTTTGCAAAAATTACTGTCATGTTTGTTTTTACAAGTGAGGAATACAGTGACATGATGTTTGCCTACGGATATTGCAACGGAAATGGCAGAGCATCAGTGAACGAATACCGCCCCCGGTATCCAAATCGAAGAATACCTGACTGAAGCGTATTTGGAAGAATTCTTGTACATGTGAAAGCAACAGGATCGGTTCCAAATGGTACTGTAACACGTCCATCAGAAGCTGCCCATGACTCAATACTGGATAGTGTTGAACAGTCACCATCAACCAGCATCCGCAGAATATTACGTCGCACTGGTCTTAGCCGAATGACTGTGTGGAGAACAATACATAACTTTGGTTTGTACCCATTTCATCTGCAACCTGTCCATGCTCTGCTGCTCACTGATCCGGACCCTCGTATGCAGTTTGGTAACTGGCTCGTCGCAAATCGTAGTCTTGTTAAAAAGATTTTGTTCACCGACGAGTCTACTTTTACTCGAGTCAGCGTCAATAATTTGAGGACTTCCCATTCTTGGCAGCTTGAAAATCCGCTACTATCGAACGGAATTCCCAACACCGTTTTTCTGCTAATGTCTGGTGTTTGTTAGAGGATCACTCAGTTGCCCCTTTTGTGTTCGACGGTCGGTTGACATCTGAAGTTTAATCTTCAATTCTTGCGACAAGAACTGCCTGTGTTGGATTGGACGAGAGGGCGCAGTTTCTTGGCCTCCCCGCTCGCCCGATTTAAATCCCTTGGATTAATACTTGTGGGGACATATGAAGTCTTTAGTGTACACAGAGAAATCGTATCCCAGGGCTGAAATGCTCCGTAAAATTACTGATGTCGCTGACGACATAATAAGTACTCGTCTTGTTATTGGGAAAGCCACCAGTTACACTATTAAATGGGCTAGACTATGTTTACGATGTGAAGGTGGACACTTTGAACAACTATTGTGAATAGTTAATTTTTATTGTTCCTAGTAATTTTATGTTAAATAAAAGTAATTTTTTAACAATACTGTGGTTTTCCCACCATTAGCACCCTAAAAATTAAAAAACCATTATCTCGATAAGGTAGCATTTGCGGGCCCATGTTCATAAGATTTTTTCCACTCGAATGGACCTGAGGAACACGTAGAAAAATGTTGTCCCTTACCTCGCGGGACACCCTGTATAGAGTCTTCCGCGACGATTTGACAGTTCATCGATATGGAAAACTACTGTTACTTTTTTGAAACATTCAAGCAAACATTGCGCGAGATGCGTTTTTAAGCAATAATTTTGTCGTGCGCAATACTTGAAAGCAACACTTCAGTTAATATATTATGACATATAGCAAAAATAGTTTTATTGAATATTTAGAAGAATGTGTACCTGATTTGATCTAGAATGATTTGAAAAACAAATTTTTCATATTTTCATCAATGTGATATCCGAATGGTGGCAAAGTTGCCTATTTATATATTGTAGAAAATGCATTTTAAAAGTTTTGACGCTTCCAGTATCTCCAGAGATACACGGAAAGGGAAGTTTTTCTGAATTCATTTGAGGAAGGATTTCAAAATAAACTGCACATTGACATTGCCAATTTTTGGTCTCTGCAAAGTAGCATAAATGGAACATTAATATAAATTTTCGTCTCTTATCCCCCGTCTCAACTTTGATTTATCTTTTTGCACAGGCGCGTAGCTTTTAATCCTGATTTCAAATATTAAAGCAAGTCATACATTGTTATAAAAAAAGCTCTTGAGTAAGCCTTGGAATGATAATAATAATAATAAAACATCTTTATTGGACGAAGTTTAGCATAAGCTATTCTACCACTTAACCCGTAAATATCCCTTCAAAAAAAATATATACCAACCACTAAAATGCAGAGTTCCAACACAAAAAAATTAAATGGGTAAAACATAGATATGATCATATAGTCACATGTTATGCATTGATATGAAACTTTAAGTGCCTTCATTTTCATTCATATTTTTCAAGGGTAATAATGAAGACATTGAAACAGTATAATTTTGAAAAACTGAGAGCTGAGATGTTAGATCAAAATTCCAATTATGCCATCATGTAGAAGAGAGAACATTATTGCGCAATTTGTTTTAAATTTGTAGACAATGAAAAAGTTTTGTTTTGGGCTAAAGTCAGCGAAAAATAAAAATGACATTAAATTCGAAAATTCTTTGAATTTTCTGAATTGTTTCAGTTTCATTTTTGTATTCACCTACGCAGCTTGTCTCCATAAAGTACTCCGCGTCGTTTAGGCGAGTTTTATGAAACTAATGTAACATATACAGTGCTTTTAGCAAAATTAAGTGTATATCTAACATAGATTCCAACTAATCCTAGTAGTTTCTCATCTAATAGATATTGATTCAGCTTGTACGTGAATAATTTAATTTTTGTAAAAAAAAATTCGCTCCCCCTGCAAAACCACCCTCCCTCCCGTGGATACGCCCTTGGTCAGATATGTCTTCCAGATTTAGTTATTCAAAATTTCAACATATTTTCGGAGGTTTCTCGACTATTTTCATTTGGATTGCGATTCTTTATCAAACCTCTGTTTCTTTGTAATGCTTGTATCTTTTTTTAATTTTAGATGGCAGCTGTAGTGGTTACCTATCTAAAAAAGCACACAAACTTTTTCCCGTGGTTCTTAAAACAAAAAAATTGTCCAAAAAGCAACATGGTGGATCTAGTCAATTACACAGGTGGTCTGATCACAAAGCATATTGCACAGCTAACAACAAATTCCAGTATTATAGAGCATTGGACTTATTCATCCACTGACTTGCTATTTCCAGATATACTCGTTAATGTAGCATGTGGAATGTTTCCATCAGTTAGCATAATGAACCATTCATGTAGGCCAAATGTAACTAACTTGTAAGTAGATGTAAAACATATGATTGTTTTTTTTTGTGCTTCAAGTTCTCCAGATTTTCCAATAACAGCCCTTTGATCTGGTGAATCTCAATTTCTGCATAAAGATTAAAATTTATTTTAGCTTTATCTGTGATACTATAGTAGTTAAAGCCTTAGACGATATATCAGAAAATAAAGAGATTTATAATTGTTATGGAATTGATTATCGAATTATGAATAGAGAACAAAGACAGATGGCTTGTAGGAGTTTATACCATTTTGACTGCAAATGTGAAATTTGCACTAATCCATCAAAGGAAGTGGTAAGGATAGTATTTAACCAATTTTGAATATATATATATATGTATATAGGGTGACTTTGAAGTTGAGTCATTAATTTTCAGATAATGATTGTAGGAGGAAGATAAACCAAAATATGTGCGGTCTTGGAGCACCGGCATGTCCTCCTCTGTGAGGTCTTGAGTCACCTGATTCACGAGCCCTTTGTACTACATTAACAAAGACATGAGGGGTTGGTTGCACTCGATTGGGAAACCGATCCGCATTCCGTGATGCCGCGGCAGCATTTTGTTAAGACTCCCCCCCCCCGTAAATAAGAATCATGTCCACAAGTTCAGCATTTTCGTAAGCATGTGCCATTTTTTATTTCGTTTGAGCCACGCAACAAACACCACTATTCACTCACGCGTTACCGACTGACACATTGACTGAATACAACTGAATAAAATTGTAGTAAAAACATCGTGATAAGCGTTTCAAATTCCTTCGCTTTTTTGTTTCCGATGCGATGAACCGATAAGGCGGATTATATCCGTTGTCGCCAAACACGAGCACATAATATTATTATTAAGACACGGCGGTACTCAAACTTCTAAAGGGCTATAACTTTGTTACTTTAATTTTACCACAAAAATGTTAAAGGAAAAAACATTTCTTTTGATCAGATCTACTCGCTGTTAAAATAAATGACTCAACTTCGAAGTCACCCTGTATATACGCACTGAAATACTTGTCGGGAGGATACTTTATAAAACAAGGTAACATTTTTTTTTATTTTTACACATATTTTGGTTTATCTTCCTTCTACAATCATCTAAAAAATAAATGACTCAACTTCAAAGTCACCCTATATATATATATATATATATATATATATATATATATATATATATATATATATATATATATATATATATATATATATAATATGTTTGCAGGACGTGTTGGATAGTTATCTTTGTCCAAAATGTAAAAGTTTGATACCAGATTTACCTGATAGTTCGTTGAGTTTTTGTGTTAACTGTGGAAAAGAAGTATTGCTAGAACCATTAAGGAAAACAAATAAGAATGCTCAAAAATATCTAGAAGGTAGGCATCTAGAAATATTACAATTCCATGGTTCATAATGTTTATACTGTCAAAACTTAGATTCTAACATTATGGAATCATTATTTTTTAGTCTAAATTGATCTAAATTATAATTTAAAATATTTCATCTATCTATCCTAAATTTCAGATAAAAATGACAATCAGCTAGAGAATTTATTAAAATGTCTCAAACTGCGAAAAGAAATATTGTACAAACATCATAAAGACTTTGAGGATGTCTATTACAGTCTGTATAATTTTTTTGTAGGAACTGGTGAGTACGTCTCTGTTATTTTTCTGACATCTTTGAGAAATCTATGAATTTTTCTTCGCATAAACTATTGTTTAAAATACAACTACTTGAATATATTTTCAGGAGATGCAGAAAATATGTTCAAATATTTCCATTTTTGGCTGCAAAATGAAAAAGCAAGAAAAGGAGATAATTCTAGAGGTGTTGGAACTAAACTATATGAAGCTGCACTGGCTATATTACATTGTTTGCAAAATAACAATCCCAAAAACTGTTCAAACCTCAAGTAAGTATTCCTGTATAAAGAAATTGATAGATTACGATAGTTTCGATCCCGATTCCGATTCTTGTGGTCTCGATTCCGATTCCAGAAACTGGGCTGAACCATCAGGATGCCGGAGCTTAAAACGGGATTGTATTTGATGAACTGATTGAAAGGAAATTCTCGCACTAATGCTTTGACGATCTGCGAGGTCGGTAAATAAAGCGATGAGACTGGCAACACTGGAGGCGCCGGGCTTGAAGGGTAGACAGGGAAACATGTGATCCGCTTTCAGTACAAGTTTGAACTCGCTCGAGTCATTCGGTTGTCCGTACGATTTTTTTTTTGTGCAACAAATGTGTGTGCTGTCAGGTTTTGCTTCAGTCTTGGGCACAGTCCAACAGAAACTTCCTAAATAGGCCTACCGAGATAGTGTTTTGTGAAGAGCCCAGGATTTTTTAGTGGCTCAAGGCATTTTCAGAAGAGGGAGAGACGATTGTAGGTGAACCACGGAACAGACCCGATGAAAATATCGACAGAATCTGAGATCTTGTCCGTTCAGATCGTCGGTTGACAGTCAGAATAATTGGAGGAGAGCTAACTTTGACTCATACCTCTGTGCAACAGATAAAGAACAACAATAAACGAGTTTATGGCAAGTAAAAACGTTCCAAGTTGAAAAATCTCCTCAAGCGAACTCATTTTGGGATAGTTGAAAACATTTAAACACCTGTAACCAATCAGCTGAAGGCTATTCCAGTATTCGAGTTCCAGCACTATGTGGCTTTAGAAGGAAGTTATTTTGAGGGTAAAAATACAAAATTGTAAACATATTTGAATAAAAAAAATTAAAATAAAATCACTCATAACTTAATTTACAGATCTTATTTAATGTGGAGTGTCGACAGTTTTCAGAACTCGTGCAACTTTAATGTTGAATTTAAATAGTATTCAACAGTTAAACAATATGTGAATAAAAGTTTAGCGATATAGAAGAATGCAAACTGTAAATAATTTCAGGCAGGTTCAAACAATAGTAAGGGAAATTGTAAATGGGCTGAGAGTTACCCCAAAAACTGGACAAGTCACAAATTGTTCCAGGTTAAGTTAGAGCCTACTGATTGCTACAAAACTTTTATACAATTCGCAATAGGACATTAAAAATGTATAAAAGTGTCCACCACTTCCTACTTGTTTCAATGCCATAATCCCCATGACCTGTCATTGGTGAAATGTACCCACAACCCATATACGAGCCCCTTCCCACTTCAGTTGGCCCAACTATTGAAATCTTAGTTTTTTTCTTATCAAACAGAAATAATAAAAATGTAGCAGGGTGTTATAGGTTTAAAATATTAACAATGAATATTCTGATAATATATAGTAGAAAACACCAACTTTATCACTCCCTAATCAAATTTGCATCATAAAAATAACACATGTTGCAATTAGGCAGCAGCGGTGGCCGCAGTAGTAGACTCTTCGGTCTCCTGATCAGTCGCAGTGCGCTGTGCGGGTTCGAGTCCCGTCCCAGGAGAAATTTTTCTCTTGGCTATGGATGTTGTGATTGTCCGTAGGTGGTAGATGGTCTCTGACTGTCGAACGCGGAGGTACCACCCGGCGGATCTCGTAGGCGGAGCCAGAATGTGTGCATGTTGCATGCACACGTCTTCCCTCGCCAGAGTCCGTGTGGCGTCCCCCCTTTCCATGTTTCCCCCTATAGCCCCACGGTACCCAATGGGTGCTTAGGCCTTAGGCCTTCGTGGTAGTTGGAGTATAAAAAAAAAATACAGCATATCAACCTATTTTCATTTCAATGCATAGGTGGCTGTGAAAAATAAAAGCAGTAACAATTGTTTTTATTAATCACAGCTGCCAGAATACGTTTAAAATAGTTTTGGGTAGTTAAGGTTTACAAAATGGGTAGAGGAAAGGTTATTAGTGAGAAAATTCGGTTGCTGATAATTAAATTTTTTAATTCTGGGACATCAAACTCAGAAATTGCAACTTTGTTAGACTTATCGCGGTACAGTGTGAGAAATATTGTTAGAAGATATAACGTGACTGGATCAGTTAATATTAAGCCACCATATGTGAAAAAAAGTAATATCACAAATGCCGATCGAAGAGCATTAAGAAGAGTAATCGTGAAAAACAGGCGTGCCAATTATTTACAATTAAGTGCTCTGTGCAGAGACGCTGTTGGAAGGAGAATTTCGAGGTCCACAACTCATCCCACAAACTGAGATTTAGCACTTGCAAGGTAAGTTTTCCTATAAAAAAAAGTGAAGTAAAAACCCTAAAGTTGCACAACTTGTTTATAGGCCAAAGAAAAGCCACTATTAACTCCACTGCAAAAGAAAAATCGGCTTAGATGGGCTAAAGAACATAGACAATGGACACCTCAACAATGGTGTGCAACCCAATGAAGTGATGAGGCCCGATTCGAAGTTTGTGTTGGTGACAGTCGCAGTAGAGTTATTCGCAAAAAAAATGAAGCATTCCATGTTGACTGCCTGAAGAGAAAAGTGAAATTTCCAGCATCCATTATGGTCTGGGGCAGTATGTCATCAAAAGGAGTAGGAAAACGTCATTTTATTGATGGAAATGTGGATACAAACAAATATTTGGCAATTTTAGAAGAATCGCTTTTACCAGTGATGGAAGAATGTTTGACATCCGGCCAAGATTTTGTGTTTCAGCAAGATGGTGCAGCGTGCCATACCTCAAAAAAGGCTATAAAATGGATGGGCGAAAATTATGGACCACTTTTGAAATGGGTTTCTAGCAGTCCAGATCTGTCACCTATTGAAACTTTGGGGCACGAGATGAAAAAGGTTCTACGACAACATCCTGCTCGTACAATCACCGAACTGAGACAAAAGCTTCAAGAAATATGGGATTGTTTCACACCAAGTTTTTGCCAAAACTTGGTTAACACTATGCCCCAAAGAATTTCAGCCGTAATAAAAAATAAAGGTGATGTTACCCAATGGTAATCTTTCAATTGTTGCTTTGTTAACTTCTGCGCATTTATTCGCACATTGTTTATTTGTTCAGATGTTCTATTAGTTATAGGTCTAAGTGATTTCAAATATGTATTTTTTACGACTACAGTCTATCTAAAATGTTTTTGAGAAAATAAATTGTTTTAGAAGTAAATTGTTTCATCATGTTTAGTTTATAAAGGCGTATTTTGGTACAAATCTTGAAGTGGGAAGGGGCTCGTAGATTGTACTTTATGGTGAGTTTTTTAAGTGAAAAAGGTATATCCAAACCGTAACAGAAATGTGCCTGTTTTTTAAAAACCTACCCAGTGACTTTCATGTTTAACAGATCATCAGAATCTTTGACAAATTCCTACTACAGTATCTTTCCCTAGGATTGCACATTAACACTGACAGCATTTTGGAATTTGTTAAATCAGAGTTGAAAGGAATCAGGATTAAAAGGAATTGTGACTGACTGGCATAAAAACCATGGAATTCATTCACCAAAAGAAACAATTCGGCACAGCTCGATTTCACTTGTATGCTCTAGAGCTAAAGCATTTTTTTTATATTTCAGGACATTTCTCAGAGATGTGGAGCATATGATAAGGGAAGCCAAAATAATACTAAATTTGTATTATCCAGCTCACATCACAAATAGGTTGAATAAGAAGATCCAGTTTATATCAAACAAATAAGTCTTTCATAGATTTTACTAAACATAAACGTGTAACAAAATATATTTATTGTTATAAAATTAACTCATTAAATATGGTTTTTTACCAATGCTATGACTGCTTTTCATTTTCTGTTACAAAATTAAACCTAAAACTATTATCTGAAGGTTTAAAATAGAATGGGTCTACCTCCTGTTGTATTGTTAATTCAGTCTTTGAAGGATCATTTATAATAGTTTCTCCACTTGTCTCTATAGGTGGGTCAAAATTAAATCTGAATGAATTCCCTGTTGTAGAAAACCCAGATTTTTTGAAAAATGTGGACTTTTTGCTTGGAATTGCTGGTTTTACATTAATAACCATCTGGTCTGAAAATAATGTAAAAAAATAAGTTGGATAGTTTTGTTTATAGAATGGTGCATACATTTTAAAATTCCAATGATCTATAAAAATCTCAGTGGATAATCGAAATAATCCAATCAGGTAATGAATCAGCTATACTCACTTTTTGATTTTTTCTCTTCCAATGCCATTTTCGCCCTATAATCTCCAAATGATAGTCTCATTATCTGTCGCTTCTTAATCAATGGGGCTGAATTGTTCATTAGGGTATTAAGAGCATTTGTGTGATCTTTAACTAAAAGCAAAAATATTAGACTGAATGGAATAGTTCAGATAAAACTTGTTACCTTGTTTGTTATTCAATTTTCCCGATTGTAAGGCTATTTGTAATTGCTGTATGCACCAACAAAGCTCCACTTGGAATTGTTGTTCCTGTTCTGAAGTCATCGCAGAGGATGGACCTGGAACCTGTTCAGGATTTGTTTGAGAGATCTTGGGCTTGCTTTTTCCCTTGTCTTTGTCTCTGTACAATTTCGGTTTGGGAGGCATTTTTATTTGGAAAGATGTTTTGAAAATTTACAAATACCTGATACCTTCAAAATAAAGGTTAGGAGCACAAAACTCATAGAAGCAGATAAGGTTCTTCCCCATTTCACGAGTATTCATCATGCTTTGACGTTTACTGAGGCGAACAACTGATCAAGTGACATTTTTGTGATAGTCTGCGACGTTGGCAACAATGAGTCGGGTTTAAATCTAATAAAACTTGTTTACAGCGTTTTGTTGTTTTTTGTATGCAAATTAACTTTTCTAAACAAAACAGCTGTTAGCAAGTACAAAATGAATCTGTAGCGAACAAAAAACTAAAACACAATACGGCTGTGACTACGTGACGTTGACGGATCCGTCAGAATTATGTGTGCTTTGCCGATATGGGAAATTTTGAGATATTACTAGATAATCAGCTGTCATTCTACAGGGTGACTTTGAAGTTGAGTCATTAATTTTCAGATAATGATTGTAGAAGGAAGATAAACCAAAATATGTGTGTAAAATAAAAAAAAATTTACCTTGTTTTATAAAGTATCCTCCCGACAAGTATTTCAGTGCGGACCTGTATTTGATCGTGAGGTCTTGGAGCACCGGCATGCCGTCACCTGATTCACGAGCCCGTTGTACTACATTAACAAAGGCACGAGGGGTTGGTTGCACTCGATTGGGAAACCGATCCGCATAAACATGTGCCATTTTTTATTTCGTTTGAGCCACGCAACAGAAAAAACATTTCTTTTGATCAGATCTACTCACTGTTAAAATAAATGACTCAACTTCGAAGTATAGTGATGGATACTCGTCAAATAATGTTTACAACTAGTAGAATTACATGTCGTGCTACTGCGTTTTTACCTTTTGAACTCTATTATTTGTTTCAATCTGCGTGACCAACAATGATTTTGATGATAAATATACTCGTACAAGTTGGAAACAAAATGGCAGATGGTCGCTTTTTGCTCATGTTACCTGGTTCACATGGCACAGAACAACAAAACGCACTTAAGACAAACGTGAACTAACCCTTTTTACATTTTGGCGGGAAAACCACGTAAAAATACAAACTATATTTTTTAGTATCCTTAATGTTCTGATTTATTTTTTTCATTATGTCCACAGAGAACAGCACTTTAAGAACAATATCTGAGAGGCTAGGGATTAGAGATTCAACAACAATAAAGTAAAAAGTCTTCTGCTGGTCTGTGCATGTATTTTAAAGGTTGTTTGTTACAGAAAAGCAGAAGAATATTTGAGATCTTTGCAGAATAAAGGGTCATCCTTGAAGGCATTGAATGATTCAGCAAAATCAGCTTTGTGCCTGAATTTGGCAGCTTCGCTGCTAGGAAACGCTTTTGATAAGGCAAGTGGAAGTGGTTTGCATCACATTACAATACTTTAATTCAAATCGATATTACAATATTTTTTGAAGCGCACTTTTTTGTAGGATGCAGCAATAAAGATATCCGGGTTAAAAAAGTCTTTATACCAAAACAACTTGCACACAATTGAGAAAGTCCTAGGATTAGATAAGCAGTTAACCATAGCAGCACTATCTGTACGGCTAGGTTGTACCGTGATCAAAGAACTTGCTGAAGAGATTTTGGATAAATATAAAGCCTATGACAATAAAATAAAAGACCTAAATCACCCTCAGTATGTAGCTGCAGCAACATATACTTCATGTAAGCTAAAAGGTATCAAAGTTCAGAAAGACCAGCTTGTTGAAGCTAGTAGATTGAAGCGGGCGCAATGGAAAGACTTGGTATTGGAGTTTGAGAAGTTTGCAAAGTCTTTAAGTATAGGATCACCAAAGAAGCATAAAAAGGAATTCACATTTGCAGTTGATGATTTAGCTACTGAAATAGGTATGTGCAAAAAGATAATACCATTGATATACAAGGTATCCCAGAAATAACACAGGAGGTAGATTGGCTTCAGGTCAATCGGATAAAATCAACATAACCTCAGTAAAAGTTTTTGAGATATTGCCACTTTTAGGTTTTTACAAAAAATCACTATTTTTTGCCTGATATGGCTATTAAAAACTAACTTACAAGTTTTTTCCTGGGCTACCATTAATAGTTGGTCAGACACCAGTATTCATTTTATTGAAAAAAATGCTACAAAAATTAATACATTTTGTTTATATGTGAAAACCTTTACTAAAGTTTGACTAATTACTATGAAAAAAATGTACCAGACTCAATCGGCAAATGATCTTAATTTAATTTAATGCTCTTTCAAGAATAGTATAAAATTTGTAGGTTCTTTATACTAAAAATTGTATAACTTTAATAAGCAACCCAGTAATAAGCTTTCCTATCGAGTCGACTTCTCTTTCTAACATACGAGGGCGGTTCAATAAGTACCCGTGTTAGAAATGAAGACGCCATTTTTTCAAAAAAAAATTTTTTTCAACATAGTCCCTTTTTAGAAACGTTCCTGCCATTTTTTTAACCGGTCCAGAAAATATGTTTTGGCGAACTCTCCAAAATACGCCTCTGTCTCGGCGACGACCTCCTCGTTTGAGCTATTTTTTTCCCACGAGACATTTCTTCATGTTAGGGAACAAGAAAAAGTCGCAGGGAGCCAGATCGAGTGCGGCACATATCGCAGTTAATGCAGTTTGGCGGCGACAACTCGGGATGAATGTGCTGGTGCGTTATCGTGGTAAAACAGCCCTTTGTTTTTCGCCAAATGTGGCCGTGTCTCCTGGAATTTTTTGTCCAAGCGGTACAATAACTCACTGTAGTGAGTCCAGTGATCGTTCTTCCTTTTCCTAAACAATCCATCAGGATGAGGACGGCCGATGAGTCCGTCTTCGCCTTCTTGGAGCAGATTAACCGGGAGAAATCTATTCTTATGACTGTTGCTTAGTTTCTGGTGTGTAATGATGAATCCAGGTTTCATCAACGGTGACAACTGGACGCGAAAACTCCGGATTTCGCTTAAATTGCTCCAAACACTGCTTCGAAGTTAACAGCCGCATCCGCTTGTCCACCGTGAGCAATCGCGGCACCCATCAGGCCGAACATTTTTCATCTCCAACTTATCAGGTAAAATATTCATTGCCGTTCCGGTTAACACACCTACACGCCCTCTGCCACTTCGCGCACTTTTAGTCGTCGATCAGAGAGAATCATGTGGACTTTTTGAATGATTTCCACGTCTGCCGACCGTCCTGGTCTCTCCTCATCAAAAACGGATGTTCGCCCACGTTTAAATTCGTAGAACCAGTATTCATAAGTCCTTTGAGCTGGAAGAAAAGGAATAAAACCAAACTAGTTACATTATGAAGAATTATTATATTTTGTTATCATCTTTATTGAATGGGAATTATGTTTTAAAAATCACATCGTCTAAATGCAATCCATTACGATCACGGCACTCATATAAACGACGTCTAAAATTGTCGATGACTGCGCGGCAAGTCAACACTGTAATGCTTGCCATTTCTCTTCGGATATTTTCTTTCAGGACATCAACTGATCGCGGAGTGGTGTCGTACACTTTACGCTTGAGGTAGCCCCATAAAAAGAAGTCCATTGGGGTCAAATCTGGACTACGGGGTGGCCAGGAAATGTCTCCTCTTCGAGAAATTACTTTGCTGGGAAAAAGTTGACAGACGACGGGCATAGAAGTGTTGGAGGTGTGGGCAGTTGCTCCGTCCTGTTGAAACCAGGTCTGCGTATTATAGCCTGGAAAATTCTGCAACGCTGGTGTCAAAAACTCTTCTATCATTGCTACATACCGCTCCGAAGTAATAGTTAACGCGCGCCCTCTGTCCTCCTCAAAAAAATAAGGGCCTAAGATGCCATGCGCTGACATAGCAGCTCAAACTGTAACTTTAGGGCTGTGTAAAGGCTTCTGATGCTTACGCCTTGGATTTTCGGGGCTAGAATAACGGCAATTTTGTTTATTTACATGCCCGTTTAAATGGAAGTGAGCCTCGTCCGAGAACAACACATTATTGAGCGAAGAAAATCGATTCAACATTTCATTCGCAAAGTTTAGTCTCTGAATAGCGTCATTATCTTTTAATTCCTGCACTAACTGAATTTTGTAAGCGTGCAGACGTAAATCTTTCCTTAAAATCCGCTGTAAAGATGTTCTGGGTACGTTTAGTGCACTGGAACGCTTACGAGTAGACTGGGTAGGATTTTAACGAACAGACTGTGCCACAATGTTGATGTTTTCTTCAATACGAGTTGTCCTTGGTCGACCCCACCGCTGTTTATCTAACGTCGAACCAGTCTCCTCGAACTTAGCAACCCAGTTCTTAATCGTTTGAGCTGTTGGACACTTTGTAAAATTGTGGTATTCTCGATATTTACGCCGCGCAATGGTTGCCGAATCATTATTTTGATAAAACGCGCGCACACAAAAAGCACGATCCGCTCCAGTGAAACACTCCATGGCGACTGAATTCCCAGACACTGAAGATACTGCCCCCATCTCGCCCGCGCCGCTCACGCTCACCCGTTAAATTTTATTCAAATTTGAAATTTCAAAGGACTTATGGACCACCCTGTATAACACCATCTTCCCTCAGGAACGACCGCTGTCGTCAAACAGGGGTACTTGTTGAACAAGCCTCGTATGTGTCTAGACACACTCCTCTCTCGTACATATTGATCTCAAGGTGGCAGACAAATTTGGTTTTTTCAGTGTAGACTTGCAAAAGTTTGCACGATTGCTAAAGCATTCCCTACTCTATTGTAAAAACAAAATACAGGACAAAACTAAAGTTTCCATGTTACAGCTGCTGATGTATACTTAAACCTGTGTCAGTATAATACAAATGTCTGCCCGACGACATTTTGTATAGCCAAGAGATTTTAACAGCACTTCTTTAGAGACTATCTTGATTAGCACATATTTCAAAACTTTTTTTTTTAGAAAAAGTTTCTGTGAAGAAAAAAGATGAGCCTGAAATAGAAGATTATGAGATATGGAAGAAAAGGATTTTGGATGAAGCCTATGCGGCATTAGGGATGAAGAATCCATGTAAAGAATCTTAAAAATAGGAATTAAAAAACAATTTATTTACAATTTACGTGAAACAATGAAATGAAAAATGTAGTAAATATTTAATTGAATATTCACACCTGATAAAACAAAATTGCATGTTAATGTACTATCATCCAATATATAAATTAATTACATATTCTTCTAAAATAAAGACATGCTTAAAATTTCAACCAAAAAATGAATATATCTTAAATTCGATAAAGTTTAAACTCAAAAAGCGAGTTAAAAATCACAAGAGCATAAAATCCATAAACCACTACAAAATTAATTTGTAACTAATATGAGGCTATGTTCTACAATATTTTGAATGGTAAAATCTACTATAAATAATTGGTTTGGGAATTTTGAAGGTCACGTGTCAGTCACTGTTTAGAATCGTGCGAAGATTTTGAAAATATTTTAGCTGAATTTCTCATCAGTTAAAAGCCCAAGTTTCCATAATTATTAATTAACGTCAACTTTTCGAGTAATCGATCGCAGCAGTTCTACGTGGGACACCCTGAATGATAAATATTATAATTATTATTGTATGGAAAGATGTACTGTAAAACGGTTCTTTCGAGAATTGTCTGATACTCGGATGGAAAATTTTTCTATCTAACCCTAAATGTAATTCACATGAACGACATAGTAAAGTAACTAAGACTTGACCTGACAACTATAGATGACCACCATAATTAATTTTTATTTATAAAGCCTGGTTTTTCAATTGCTGGTTAAATTTCTGGTTTGGTAATAATAATTTGTTAATTAACTATGGTATGCAATAGTTGTCTGTAAATTTTCAAGTTCTGGTTAACTGTCAATCGGGCAACGCTGCTTCTAAGTCTGAACTACCGTGTTTTGTACGGTGGCCGACCCTCGACCTTGTGTCTAATGTCATCATTAACAACTCAGTAGATAGACTGGTTAAAGTCAACTACCATTAACAGGCGAACCCGACATTGAAAAAAGCTTTGCGAGTTAACTTCTGGATGACATTACAGAGTTAACATCTAGACAACAGCAAAACCACAATCAACCTGCAATTGAAATACTGGGATTTAGGAACCACATGCCGTATGAATAATCAGCTTGTGAGGATCAAACGAGTGAGCAATATGAATATCAGGTGACAGAGACATTTAGTAGCCAACCGCTGTAACTTAAATACTGTGAGACCGCCTCGCGTATGTAAGTTTCTTTAGGATAAGAGCTGAAGCTAATGCTGCTACTCGTAGAGGCCAATTTCTTGGAAGATGTGCTTCTGTAAAAAAAGATAAATACTTAATTTAAATTTGGAGCATCATGTTGCCATGATCAGCTGTGGCTATCATGTTTCAAAACTGCGGAGGTTTTTGAGATTGTATCTGCAATATAATTTGAGGACTATACATATGTCATAGCAGAAAAGAAAAAATAAATGTTTTATATTTACCTGAATATATACAGACCTCAGTCTTACAAAGTGAGCAGGAAGAATATCCAAACTTGCACAGAGCTGAAACAGATAAATTTATGAAGAACTTAATATTTCGAAAAAATTCAGTTGCTAAGATGTATATAAAAAATAGTTCAAGTACCCCCATTGCACAGCCGCATGTCTATTTTACTTCAGGAAACACTTATTTTGGACCAAATCACTTCAATTAATTTTGGTATAATTAGGAATTAAATATTTAGTTACGTCACCGACTTTGCATTTTCTCACCCACAAGGAAAAAATGAAAATGAATATAGAGAGAATTCGCTCGCAATAGAAATACGAGATAACCATAACTTATTTTCACAAAAAATGTTTAGTTTCTAGGACTAGAACCGGTTTTTCAATCTCTGTGTATGGGGACGCTGCACCATCATTTACCACAGTGAAATTTTAGGCAGCTGAATTTAAACGTAACCGTAAAAGCTTGGGACGTCCAAAAACTGAAACTACTGACGAAAACATCGCCAAATGGTGCTAGATGACCGCCAAATTAAAGTGAGAGATAGCCTGTCAAAAGAACGAGTTTGACAGTTGAATCAACATTTAGGCATGAGAAAGCTGTCCGCGCGTTTGCTCACGTTACACCAAAAACGTGTTCGAATGAACATTTCTAACGCTCTGTTGGCGCAGTTTAGGCGCAATCCGTGTTTTGACGCCGGCTCCAAAAAAAGCAAAAACTGCTGGGAAAGTGATGGAGTTATTTTAATCGATTAGCTGAAGGCAGAGTTTGCGAAAAAAGAAGGAGACTAAGTTGGAAAAAATCAGAAAAAATGTCTTGTATCCTTGTTAGGTCGGAAACTTTCCAGACCACCCTCGTAGTTATCTATGAAAAAGCGTTTCTCGGTATCATAGAAAACTGTAGTCATCAACAAGATCATCTATGAGTTAGCTAGAAAGGCTATAGTTAAATAGCAATTACTTTGATGAATTTGACGACCTGGATATCCTTGCAAGATTGCGTAGTACAAAAAGCACTGTAGAAACAGAACTTTTCTCTTTCCAGGAAACTGCAACTGTTTTTGCTCTCTATTATGCTTTTGTTATTACTGGCCAATGGTACATCTGTTCCTCATCCTTTGTGAAATTTTGAGCTCTTTTTTGATGTTCTCTTTCTCCATGCTAGAAGACAGTTTAGGAATAGCCGTATTTTTGTCTCCGCTGCTGAAGACATATTTTTGGGTCGTGGATTATAGAAGTGAGAGGTTGAAAAGACCATGGAGGGATGGTATAAAATGAGAAATAATATGATAATAAAACGGTACACGCATTCACTAACACTTCGCCCCTTGGGGATTGGGGAATCGCAGGCCCGTGGATCTACAAAACGAGCAAATCCGTGCAAAATCGCTGATAAGAAGAATAATCGTCTAGTTATTTCCTGCCAGTTCGCAGCTTAGTATTCTGTTTTTCTGTGTTTCTATAACTATGTATGCATGTCTACCAACCTACAATTGACAAAGATGTAGAGAAGATTGATTAGCGAAGATGTTTTGTGGAGATAGGTGTGACATGGGGAGAGAAAAAGCTACAGAAATATAAAATTTTTATCTAACAGTTGACAGTTTTTTGTAATTAAATATGGAAGTACCTCAAAAATACCCAAACATTTTATTTTTCCCAAAAAAATTCCCCAGAACATTTTATCCCCAAAAAATCCCCCAATATGGCAACCTTGAACTACAGATGCAGGATGGCAATAAATATAAGATGAACATCTGGTAAGTTCACTGGCGCTGTCCAAATACTTGAGAAACACATTTGCAGGCAATTACAATTTAACTTCCTGGTTATAGTTATAACTAACCAGAAAGTTAACTTGCTAGTGAAAAACCGGTCCTTAACAGAGTTTGATGACGTTATCAAATGCTTAGCTTTTTTCTCGCTCATCTGCAAAGACTGTATCAATTTTCAAACTTGTTTTTGAGGCAGGCAGCATTTCTTTTAGCTTCCAAGTGCTAGTTAATACAGACAGCTATTGTTTAATTCATCCATGGATTGATCAGTTTTATGCTAGCACCATAAGCTTGATGAACAAAATGTCGGATCTCACGCAATCTAAGAGCAGTAGTTAGCACTGGTCATGGGCAAGTCGCTGCCGAAGTACTTTCTAGCGCTCAGTTTGTCAACAAATAATCAATAAACAGCTTTACGTTTTATGCAGCTACAGCAGTAAACGAATGTTTATGAGACACGTCACAAATCGAAACATCTTATATGAGGTAAGATGATTAAAATATTGCTGCTCTTAACCTGTTATAGTTCCGACGCTTTGTATTGTGTTGACACCAACTCCAAAAAAATTATATAGTAGGTATTTAGCTTGAGTTTATAAATGACCGATACTTGGGTGCCATTTGCGTTTTTTACCGCTGGATGGCACCACCAATGCCAATTGCGGAATTTCCGAACCCGTTCCCATGCTTCCGGCAAACTGTCGGAAGTAGAAAATGTTGAAATTACCATTTTCCACTTTCAGTGAACTAAATTAGTAAATAATTAGTGAGAATTTAGACATTGATTCCCAATGATATTTATCAAGGACAAGATCAAAGTAGGACTACATCCGAGAACACCCGCCATTATAACATCGTACATGAGACTCCTATAAATTACTTTTTTACAATTATAAAATATGTACTGGAATTACAATACAACCTACCATTATCGTAAGAATATCCTTTCAAAGTTCAACCAAAATATTTTTCGAAATGATGGCTGCCATTACCTAATGATTCCTTTTGTGAGTAGAAGAAATTATTGTTAACACAGATTTCGTGGGCAAATCTAGTGAATCTTGCTTGTAGCGTTTTTTTTTATACAAATGAAATTTTCTAAATAAAAGAGTTGTTAGCAAGTACAAAATGAATCTGTAGCATACAAAAAACGGTTCTGTCTACCTGGCGTTGACGGATCCACTAGAATCATGTGTCATTTGTTGATATGGGGAATTTTCGAATATTACTAGATAATCAGCTGATGGTAATGGATCCTCGTGAAAAAGACAATATTTCACATGGATCCAGCATGGCATTAAATCTAACCAATTCAGTTGCATACGTACCTGTAACTCATTTTTGGACAGGAGCCGCCCCATAGGCATACGGTGCAACGGCACAGGCTCTAAGAGCGGCTCCTCCTCTTCCACTACTCTATCCATCCCCTCCATCGCTGTCTCCGGATCCGCCGCTGCCCCCGCTTCCGCTGTGGCTGCCCCCGTCGTCGATGACGTCATCGTCGATGTCGCCGCCCACGCCATGCTGCTGTTCGCTGAGCAACTGCTCAGCGGCTGCGCATGCTGCGGCATGGGTGGCGCGGAACCGCCGGCGGCTGGCCACGTGCAGCTTGCGGTGGGCGAACTTTGGCCGGCTTCTACGCTTCTTCTGCAAATTCGAAAATGCAGATATTGACCAAAATACATGACACATCGAATAGAGAGATTTTAGTACTCTTGTTATCGATATAAGAAAGCACCGATAATAGAGAAGGACTTGTTTCGTAAGGTTATATTTTCCTTATTCGGCTCTGTTGCCCGAATTTGTAAAGCTGGATAAGCTTAATTAATATGATTTCAAGTTATAATAACATATTTGTTAAAATATAATAAAAACACGATACTTAAGGGAGGGGGGTCTAAATGTGGTAGGGGGAGGAGGGAACGGTTCCCTGGATCCGCGCCTGCGTTCATGACACTGTGTAGTGTGCAAAGACCTTCGGATTACGTATTGCATTGTAGAAACGATTATATATATATAATATATATATATAAAGCAATGATAAGAAAGTTCGACACTGGCCTATTAATACAAGGTGATTCAATGAAACAGCACCATTTCAAATAAACATAAAAAAACTGAAAAAATACCTTTTTATTAAATTTAATAAAAACATATACTAAACAGAAGGAAATTAATGTGTAAGTGAAGAAATGTTCAGTTTCGTGCCGCTTCACTGAATCACCTTGTATAAAAAGAAACAGTTTTTAAGGCAGAAAGACAAGTGGTTGATATGGAATCCATGTCATCGCTCCAAAATGATGGTAAGACAACTTCAAATATACCATATTGAGATAATCGCTTTTTTGATATTCATTAGGCTGTATTTTTTTTATTATTATAATAAACTACAATATAAGAAATAATGCATTAGATAACTATGAGTGTGTTACAATACCATTCATTTTACGCTATCCGTTATTTTTTTTTCTATAGAATAGTTTAAGTTGTCTCAGTATAATACTGGAACACCTTAAAAAATTAAATGTTCTTTTTTTTAGTGAAAATTACCGTGTATTATACGGAAATTATGCTAATATTTTTAATAAAATCTTTTTTATTGTAAGTTGTCTGACTATTTTACTGAATATTCTATAAAAACATTGATATCATTTCATGATGTTACTATTCTGCAATATTAATCATCAATATATTAATAAAATTTTCCTGTTTGTTTAACCGTAAAACTTTCAATAAAACAAGAAATTCGTGAAGATAAACTTTATTAACAATAAAATTTTGTTAACTCGCATAACCTCGTTTAGACGTAATTAGGTGTAGTTTTAAGTATACAAAATAAACACAAAAAAAGGAACAAAAACTAAATTTGAATTATTTTATTCGCCATCGACTACTTCTTGTCCTTTCTTATAGGCTTTAATTTTTCTGTAAAAATATGGATGCTCTTCTGGTATATGTGGAAATAAAGAAAGTACACTTTCTTTTTTCTTGAACAAAAATTTTTGAATGTGAAGATTCAAATCATATGATCCAAAATGGAAATGTAAAAGTGCAAGCGTACGCTGAGGACATTCAGGTTTATTTTAGTTTTTTTTTATAAAAGTCAGACCTGCAGCGGAACAAACTCTCAATAAAGAGCTTCAATCGATCTATATATTATCCCAGCAGCACAACTTAAAGCTCAATTCTGAGCAGATGAAAGTTTTTTATTCTGGCAATAAAAATAACATAATAAATTTCATCCAAATCCGAGCAGTACTTTCCAAATTATAGGCGGTACAAAGATTAGCGGACAGACAGACTAGAATGAGTGACATGTTTTTTCGTAATGTACATGTCACACCATGTATTATGGAAGTTTTTCGCGCTTAGAATACTTCTCTGCCCTTTTAGAAGGCATTAAGGTTCTTTTTTCAAAAATACCAAACAACAATATGATCTTATCTCAATCATGCTGTCAGGGAGACTCAAAATTTGACAATTGTCAAACATTTCTTTGTCGATTGTGAAATCCACCGCGCGATAATCAGCACTGCTTTGGGAACTCATTTACATTTACATAATGTATAATAACATTTTTGCACCAAGTAAAAAAGTGACTATGCCAAGAAAGATTAGGGAAGTATTTATGGCATGTTTAGGAACAATGAATTATAAGAACCATTTTGGCACAATTTTTCCCATAACTCTACTTAGTACTACTACTACTCTTATACCATTAGTTAAATATAATAAAAACATATCTTACCCGTTTTTTAATTGCGAGTCCATCACTGCAGCGCCACTGCTGCCCTAAGTGAAATGCAAACTGATACAATCTGTTTCTGTTAACTATTGCTGATGTTCTGTTATCTCTAGCCTGCACATGAGAAAAACCAAACCAATATGTGATAATGGGACAAAATGAGACTGATGAACAAAAAACGAATCCTATGTTCATGCAAACATATACTGTTACAAGTAAATTTGGAAAGAAATAAGTGACAATGAGTGTATTAGTGTGCTGTGAAGTGATGCTTATGAATACTGCAGACCAGGTATGTTTAGGACACTTTTGGCCAACAGTATATATTGAGAACAATAAGAAAACACCAGGAATACATGAATAGAGTTTCATATTCACTTTACTAATTTAAAATTATACTTTTGGCCATAAGTTGATATCACTAGTTGTTTACTGAAGGCAATGAAGCAAAAGCTTTTTACAAACAATTTTCAGAGTTCAATAGCTGTTTTGAAATCAAATAGTTTTCAGTTTTAGTAGAAACAAGAAACAATATAACAAATTTTATAGTAAAATATGTAACATCTACTAGAGATATTCTTTTGAATCACATATATATTATGATCAACACTCTGGTACATTTTAGGACAATACTATTTTTATAGAAACTTTCAACAATGCTATTTGGGAGACAAATTTAAATGTTAATATACTTCCATAACAGCAATAGCTCTGAAAATATTAATTGCAAAGCATATGCATGAATGAACATATTCTGACCCCACACTTACAGATTTCTGCTTGTTCTTCTGCTGTCTCATATATGCAGCATGTTGCTCATAATGGACTATATCTTCTTGTGTAATCAGTCCAAGACCCCTATATCTAATCAGTTCATTTAATCTATGTCTCAGTTCTCGTTCCCTCTCAATACTTGCCAACAGTCGTTCATGCTCTCCAGATGGCATGTACTGTGAAAAAACGCGCATTTTTTCGTGCAATTCTCTGAAAACAAATCATGATAGTGAAATTTTGCGGATATTCAATGAATCATATGGAGAAAAGTATTTCTGATATGTATACCTCTGTTCTTTAGTCATTGGCCTCTTGCTAGGATCTTTTCTTAGATTAGCAAAATATTTGGCCACTAACTGATAGTCTTTCACTATTCTTTTTCGCCTTGCTCGTTCTTTCAGCCTTCTAGTATACATGTCTACTATAGCTAATTTCATTGCTATCTCCATCTCAGTATCTTCATCTGGATCTAATGTTAACTTAGAAACTAACTGCTCTGCTTCCATGTTATATTCCTGGAATAGTGAAAATATGTAAAATCATATGTCTAAGATACTAATAAAGGATGCTAGAATGGGATTTCAATTTATAGCCATCTTAACTCGTGTCATCTAAATACACCAGAATTAAATTATAAATCATGCATTGTAACCATGCTTGACCATTGATTTTGATTCCTCAAGGATAAAGTCCATACAAACAAATGACAAAGGATTAATTATCTGAAGAAAACATTTCTGGACTCATGATTGATTTTTATGTCAAAAAGCTACTGTAATGTCATTTGAAGTATTGTCATCTCTAGAAATAGCTGAGAGGTGTTTGAGAAATATTATACTGAATGCTTCAAATTCGACTCTCCCCATTGGGATTTTGGAAGTGGTAATAGATATGAAGTTGCTTAAATGGGGACAGAGTGACATATTTGGGTAACTAAGAAGTTTTTCAATTCCTAATATTTCCGGAGAGAGGCGGGAAAAACTGAATTTGCCCAAAATTGTTTTAATCGTTTTTTACCGACTTTATTTGAGATGATAATTCAAAATATAAAGCACATTAACATTGACACTTTTTTCCTCTACAAGATGTCATAATTAGAATTTAAATATGATGTTTCATCTCTTTTCCTCAATCATCAACTTTTTTTTTATGGATGCTATCTTGTTGTCAGATCAGACAGCATGGTGGTGTTGCCATCTCTGCTAATAAGAGTATTACTGCAAATCATGTTAATGTTACAAATTTTTATGTACCTTCTTATGCTGAACATTGTGCAGTAACTATAGGTAACTCTGGTTCTGTAACTACATACAGATCTTCAAGTTCTGGAGATCCGTCAATTTTTATAGAATGTCTAGATAAATTTTTAGATAACCTCCAATGCAGATTCAAGTATCTTTAATTTTTTAGATGTTATTATAGTAGTTCATTTCCTTAGTTACCCAAATGCACAACTTTGCCCCCATTAAATGACTTCACATATCTTACTATTTTTGAGATCCCAATGGTGAGTCAAATTTGAAACACTATAAAACATCACTCCCCCAACTATTAAGCACATTTTTTTAAAAAATTGTTGTTTTCTTTTAAACAAAATTCGAAAGTACCTATTGAGACACCCTTTATAATAGACACAAAATATATGGTAGAATGAAATACAACTGTTATAAATAGGCTTGTTTTATAAAAAGCTAAATACATGTCAACAGGTTCCGAGTCTAGGCAATCCAAATGCAACTGGGATTCCATGTACACAGCATGAAGGCTATGCCTTTTTTATGCTCTTGAATAATTCACAATTGTTAAGTATCTGGTAAATGAAAGCTTTATATGCAGAGGGTATGACCAAAGAAGATAGTGAAAGATTAACCTTTTTTCATCCATCATATTCATAAGATTACAAAGTTTTGATTTGGGCTATCCTAGAAATCCTCACGTATCTTTATTTACATTTGGAATATAATAATAAAAAATAAAATAGCATCAAGAAAAAAACTTCAAACCTGGCATGTCTATCAAAATCTAGCCATTTGACGAAGTGCTTTTTATCTTTTATTTTGTAACTATTGAGAAACTGCTCCTCAGAGTTGTAAAAACAAGATTGTAAGGTAATTCTAGCTTAGCTACACTAGTCTCATTTGTTTCTCCATCTATAGACACTAGGTTTGGGTTGGAAATGAAATTAAAAATGCCTGCAAATGGGTTAGTTGCAGAATATTAATATTATCTAGCTTTTAAAAAGTATAAACACCCTGACAATCATCACATTTGCAGAATGGAACAGATCCTATACATACCTCCATATTGAATAAATATAAGATAATTAACGAAAATATGCACTTTTAAGTCAATACAAATTTACTTATTAAAAATACTCATCAACACCAAAAACCTAAGTAATGAAATCTGGCAACATCACACAACATATGGAAACAAAGGCCCAATAAAAACAATTATATAGTAAAATATTTCAGAACTTCTATCAGCACTCACTTCAGTCCATTTCTTTCGTTAAGACTCAAAAACTAGTGTCTGAAATAATTTTTTCATCAAAAACAGCTGGTGTAGCTAAACTAGATGTTTACAAATTGTAACTAGAAAAAGAAAAACAGGTGGCAGTAAACTGAGGTTAACTTACCCTCTCATAATCATCCCTATGGGGCTTGTAACCAAGCAAGCAAGCTTCATCTAAAGTTATATCTAAAGGAGGTAATTTAGCAGTTGTGGTAGGTGATAATGGGCCATCATCGTCAGGTACGTGGTCAACTAAAACTGATTTATGGTTTGCTAAGGGGGCCCAGGTAGCTTTACCAATGTTGCCATCTAGGTAATGTGATATATACTCCTCTTTAACCTCTACAACAATTAAAAATATATTAGGTATGATTATTCCTAAGTGGGGTAACTATTCTGAATGTGGACAATCTGAAAAGTACCTTCAGGGGTCCTGGTTTCAACATGTTTGCTAACCGATTCCCAGTTTCCAAATCCATAAACCTCCACAGCATCCAACAACTGCAGTTGTTCTTTCCCTGTCCATGCTCCTCTACCTCCGAAAACGCTAGAAACGCACTGGTCTACAAATTTATAGGCGTGATCGTTTTTGTGTGGTCCGATTTCAGCCCCGACTGAGAAACACTGAAAGAAAACATTTAATTTTTAAATTTCCCGCGTCAACTACAATACACGTCACGGGGTTTACCTGCAAGCAAATATCAAAATCCGGACAAACACAACACTGGATCCTCAAACCATTTATCTCTTCTTGGCAGTAGGTGCAAGTAGATTGTATTTTTGCAAACAGATCTAAAAAATAAGTTTTTAAAAGGAATTTTTCGTTCAAGAAAATGGATGAAAAGCGTCACTCACCTGCCATGTTTGATGTTGTGCAGCACAGAACACAAAAGCACTAATAAACATAACACTGACACAAAAGTCATTGACAGCGTTGCCACATGGGTTAGACAGAATTCGACCAGAACAAGCACAAAGATCCAGAATCCTAACTAAAAAACAATACAATACAAAAAAAAGCCAAATCACACTACTGTATTGGATAGTGGTAGGGTTTGGTTAGAAGAACGCGGGGAGGTGGTGCTTTCTATATGCAAAACGTGTGATTTATATGACTGTATAAGAACAGAAGCTATTCGTAAAACCTGTAAGTGGTCCCTTGGGGGATTAGCTTTTGTGGCCTTACGCTGGAAAATTATACCATCCGTCAAACGGGAATTATCAGTTTATAATTGGTTTTCTTTTTTTAATACAAATACTCTGTGATCGCGGCATTAGTTTTTTCTGCCGTGGTTGCTCAGGAACTCAAAACGTTAAGAGCATTCGCTATTTGAGCATTGCGCGAGCGCAGACTCGTGAATCTACAAGACGCGCAAATCGGTTTAACATCGCGGAGAAGAGTAGTCATCATTAGATCACTAGTTTTTCTCAAAACTCGTGTGAGACATGAATAGCCGGGTCATATCTTACTTTTTTTCGGCTTTATGACTGTGGATCTCACTTACAATTGACATTGTTGGTGTTTTGTGGAGATTGGTGCGAGTGGGACAGCGAGGAAAGAAAAAGCTACATAAAGATAAAATTGTTATTCAGGAGTGTACAGTTTTGAGTGGTTGAAAATGGAATAAAATACCCAGAGGTTTTATATTGTCCCTGAACATTTTATCCCTCGAATAATTCCCCAAGGGAATAAAAATCTCCCTAATTTGGAGAAAATTGCCTAATACGGCAACCCTGGCGATTGAAAGCTCATTAGCCATAGAACTCAAAATTGTTTTGAAACGTTGACAGCACTTTGACAGAGATCTGACATCGACAGTATTTGAGTATGAGCTGACGATTTCGATAAATAGCGAGTCGATATAAATCAAATCCAAGAGAATAACCAAAATTTCTGTGTTATGTAAGGCGTATTTTTTAATTCACCGGTGGGCCACCGGTGCAAGCAATTAACCAATTTTTCTTCTTTTGATTTCCGTCTGTGCGACCGGTTGTACACCAAACTTGTCTATAAACTTGTGTATATAGACAAGTTTGGTGTAGAACCGGTCGCTCAGACGGAAATTTTGGTTACACCGGTGGCTCCACCGGTGAATTAAAAAATACGCCTGTACTGCGGTTATAATATGGTTCAAGATGATACACAGGTTGATGACGTCAGTTGTTCGAATCGCTTGAACGAGTTGGTTTTAACCGCGGTTTTGTTGCAAGTTGTTTACTTTCGAAAAGCCCGTACATAATTTCTGATTATTTTTATTATCACTTAATAATCGGTTCTTTTTCGTGTACAACGGTGTATGGAAAGTGTAAAAAGCAACATTTCATAATATTAATGGGAGAAATGTTTTTTTTTCAGAAAAAATTTTAATAATGGAACCATGGCTTTCTAGCTATGATAACTTTCAATTCTCTAAACTTTTTCGCATGTCAAAGAAAATATTTATTCATTTAGCAGAAATGATAGGAAAAAACGAAAAAAGATATTAACAAAACCGCGCATACAGGTGGACATCATCCAGTGAGTTTATATGGCCATACATATTTTAATATTCTTGTGGTATATGGCTACACAGGATACTTTGTTAAGCATAGGAACTAGATTTAAAGTGTCCCCACCAACAGTAATGATTATAACTAATAAGGTGCTGTACTTTATGCTAAAACTGAAGTCAGCCTGTATCAAGTTTCCCAAAAATGAAGCTGAAGTGCAATAAAAATATCCAATACCCGGCAAAATTCTAACTTGTCACATTTCAAATAATCAGAAATATAAAACTACTCCTGAGTTGGGTAAATACTACAATTTTACGGTGATAACTATGACATATAACAGCTGATTCATGACGTCATGGACCTTATAACCAAACTGATAACCACACTCGCTTGAACGGATCGGTAAATACCAATCCAAAATGGTAAATAGGTACCATTTTCATTTGGTTATCCGCTTGAATTTGATTTTGATTATAGTCTGAATTTCGATTATTGAAATTAATGTCGATGACATACAAATTGGAAAATTTTCACGATATTTGTAATAACGGATACAGAAGCGAATTATCCGACTACTGTTTAATCTGTCTTGTAAACCGACATTTATCAGAGAGCGTGTATTGACTTTACCATGTATTTACATATACATATTAAGCTGTCTTATGTAGGTTAGGTTGTACGGTGATGAATTTAAGGTCTATATTACGCGCCATAATTTCAACAGTTTATTACAAACACCAGTGTACATAACCAAATTCGAAGCTTCACCCATCTTCAACTGTATTTCCTTTTACAATAAATTGCCTAGTAGCATAAAATCAGCGCCTGCAAATAGTTTATGCAAGACAAAAATTACTGAACTGCTTCTGACTAAAGCATATTATAGCTGTAGAGAGTTTTAGGATGACTCTTTAATATTAACGAATCTTACCTACCTTTTCTAATTATATTTGTAATGTTTTCTTGTGTATTATCTGTGTTTATATTGTAGGACGTTTAAAATATCTTTTGAAATGTATACTCGTGTAGTACTATTTATTGTTATTTATATTTTACACATTTCCTAATTTGTAACTCTTTATGTTACCTACTTATGACCTGCCAATGTATATACTGCACACGTTTGTATCTAAGGGCCGTATCGTCAGTCTTTCCTATACTTGTAGGATGCCTTTATGGCCTTGATTTTAAGTTTTTGACTGCTCCGTGTCAGCCCTCTATTTTCAGGTTAGGTTACAAATATTCGCATCAAATTGTTCATGCTTTGGATTTATATCATCAAATTTCCTACAATTCAAAAAGAAAACATAAGTCAAATTCAAGCGGATAACCAAATGCAAATGGTATTTACCATTTTGGGTTGGTATTTACCAATCCGTTCAAGCGAGTGTAGTTATCAGTTTGGTTATAAGATCCGTGACATCACGAATCAGCTGTTATATGTCATAGTTATCACCGCAAAATTGTGGTATTTACCCAACTCAAGAGTAGTTTTATATTTCTGGTTATTATTTGAAATGTGACAAGTTAGAATTTTGCCGGGTATTGGATATTGTTATTGTACTTCAGCTTCATTTTTGAGAAAAATGATACAGGCTGACTTCAGTTTTACCATAAAGTGGAGCACCTTATTAGTTATACTCATTACGGTTGTTGGGGACACTTTAAATGTAGTTCCTATGCTTAACAAAGTATCCTGTATAGCCATATACCACAAGAATATTAAAATATGGCCATATAAACTCACTAGATGATATCCACCTGTATACGGTTTTGCTAATTTCTTTTTTCATCAGTTCTGCTGAATCAATAAATGTTTTCTTTGACATGCGGAAAAATGTAGAGAATTGAAAGTTATCATAGCTACAAAGCCATGGTTCCATCATTAAAAAAAAATCTGAAAAAAACATTTCTCCCATGAATATTATGAAAGGTTTCTTATTTAAATTTTCCATATACACATGTAGACGAAAAAGCACCGATTATTAAGTGATAATAAAAATAATCAGAGATTAAATACGCGCTTTTCTAAAATAAACAACTTGCAACAAAACCGCGGTTAAAACCAACGCGTTCAAGCGATTCGTGTAACTGACGTCATCAACCCGTGTGTCATCTTGAACCATATTATAACCGCGGCACATAATAGAATTTTTGGTTATTCGCTTGGATTTGATTATAGCCTCCAATAGGAGGGAGCTCACGCTGACACAGAACATTAGACATTTAAAAATACCCCACCTTTCTGAAGGAGAGAAAATTCTATGGAAATCAAGCAGGCACAAGATCTTGATTTAGTCAAGAAACGAGTCTTTGATGAAATTGCTGATACGCGACAATTTTCGTGTTTTCATACTATATGATCTCTTTTTCAGTTGTATACAATTTTATCAACATTAATAAATGAAATGAAGTGTGAAGCAAAAAATAAGTCATATCATTGAATAATTCCTTAGGCGGGAAATATACGGAAATTAAAATGAATTCTCCTCCAAAGTAGGGATTTCATATACGTTTTTCTTCCTTTGTCGTCTTCCAAGTTCTGAATCTTAACTACAAATAAAAACACCGCTCATATCATCATTAATTTATTGTTTTCACAAATTTACAAGGTTTTAGTAATAGTACGAAAAGTGGATACAATAAGCACATGGAAATTAAGACATTGTTTATTTTTACATCCATATGATAGTCAGTCAACTAGAGATTCAGTATTTTGATAAAATAGCAATAATATTTTTCGGATAATACTGATAACAATAGTGTATGTATGGTGGATAACACTAATAAATAGTATCCAAGATACATGCATCGGAAATATTTACAAAAATTGTAGCGAACAAAACAATTTGCACAATAAAAACGCGGTTCAATTACCAATGACATTGATTTCTGATACTGTTTTAAAGATCTATACACCAGGAAATAATATAAAAATAACAATTAGGCTCTTAAATATTAAAACTTATTCTAATAATTTGTACACTTTCTCAATAATTTACATTTCATATAAACACATTTTCACTGGACATTCCTACAGGTAGATCACGTTTACGAATAGGTCACCTGTGAGTCGTACCATCATTCATATCATATAACACTTGTGCTATTGTTCTAGAAGATTCTACATTGCTTAAAGCTACGTTCGCTAAGTGTGACTCATGGGACTTTAAGTACCTGAAAAAAAAAATAAAAATACTGTAGTCAGAAAAACATAGTCTTGAGTAATATATTTTTTCTGATCAGATATCAGTACATTGCCACTAGTTTTTCTGCAATTTCTACCTGGTGTTCCTTAATGACATGCTAATATTTAAGGAGGTGATTCTTGGACCCATCTTGCGAAAATAATATATATGAATGTGTGTCGAAAAACATTTCGGGATTCAGAATGTTTCACGATTACAATATTTTCTGGACAATTGACGTGGAAGCAACAAAGTCTTGTGGTTTTAGCTTACTTAATGCATTATGATCTTTAATTTTCGATTTAGGGGCAATTTAATATGTCTTGCGGAAACGCCCCAAAAATGATAAAATGAGTAATTTATAAAAAAAAAAATACTAAAAAATAAAGGGTGATAATGAGAAACATGAGTCCGTGGTCACCTTATGCGACAATAAGCAATTTTTTTTTAAAAAAAATCGCCTATATTCAGTAGATCCACAACAAAAAAGATGCCTTCTCAGTGGTCCAGTTTGGTTCGGATCAAGAATTTTGATCTCTTGTTAGTAAATGATAATATCAAGTTGTATCCAACACAATCTTACCTTTTACAGTGGCTGCTATATATAACGAGATTCCGTAAGATCAACGATGCAGTCAGACGAATACTTTTTGTAACTGGACCTTCGTTGTCATCCTGAAAAAGAAACAGAGACAATCATTAGCACATACTTATTAAATCGCTATTAGTGCATGGATAGAATTTCGGTCCCAGACAAAATATAAAATACAGAAGACGCTCGATAACGTAAACACGGGATAATGAAAACTTGCGGTAATGTAAACACAAACTTCGTTCTATAGGATCAAACAGAACGCGCGATAACGTAAACAATGTGTACGCTCGATAACGTAAACAACTCTCGGCGCACGGAAACAGCGCGACGGTAAAATGCTGAAGCCTCGATGATTTATGTCGGGCGTCGGGGAGTCCCCGATTTATGATGTAGAGTGTAGGGGATTCACCTATGCGATAAAATACGACAAACTCGGTCAGTCGTATGATCGTTTAGGATACGTTTATACGTACGTATGTATTTCATTTTTGAACTTAAGTGAATACATTGCACGCGTTAATATATTTTACGACTATGGCATCCACATCCTATAAAAGAAAGTGTTTAAAGTTGAGTGAGAAAGTGAAAATCATAGACGAAGTTGCACTAAGTGCGGGAGTGACACAGCAAAAAAATATGGAGTATCGAAAACAACAATCTGTAAAATTAAGCGTATGAAAACTCAAATTTTACAAAGAACGTGCAATACATTTCGAGGTCCGGGAAAAAGAAAAACTTTCTATATCTGGTGAAAAATTATCAGCACAACCACAATTAGTGCAACCATTCAAAGAAAAATTGATGAAAACAATTACCGAGCTAGATTTAAGAATGGAACAAATTTACAACGCAGATGAAAGTGGCCTTTATTGGAAAATGTTACCAGAGAAAACCTATGCTGCATCATTTGAAAAATCTGCCCCGGGAAGAAAGCCGGAGAAACAACGAATAACGTTTCTAGCCTGCACTAATGCTAATGGTTCACACAAAATAAAGCCACTGGTAATTGGAAAAGCAAAAAATCCGCGCTCATTTAAAAATGTTAATATCCCTGTTGATTATGACTGTTCAAAAACCGCTTGGATGACTAGCAGTATATTCCTGAAATGGTTCCACAGGTGCTTTGTCCCTCAGGTATGACAATCAATTATCACAAATGCTCTATTCATAATTTGAAGATGTGTTTTCAATTTGTAGGTAAAAGGTTTCCTAAAACAACAGAAGCTTCCAATAAAAGCGTTGTTACTATTGGATAATGCACCAAGTCATCCTCCCGAGCAACAACTGAGGAGCAGGGATGGGTCAATTTTCGTCATGTACGTAACACCGTTAATTCAACCGATGGACCAGAATATAATAAGACTCACCAAACTATACTATAGGAAGTTTCTACTTTACTTTTCTTATCAAAGAATCCTGAAAACTTATCTGAGGCTTTAAAAAAAGTAACATTACGAGAAGCTGTTTTAGATTTACATATGGCCTGGAATGAACTTAACCAGCAAACTATTCAAAAATGTTGGAACAATCTCTTTTGTACCAATAATGAAGATAATGAAGAAGACGATGTCCCCTTAAGCGTAATTAGAGAACGTTTGCGATCCAATAATGATAATGTTATTAGTATGTCATTAGATGTTGTTGATTTATTGAAAACAGTGAATCCCAACATTGTTTGTACTCCTGCTGATATTAATTTATGGAACGAAGATAAGCAGACGAATGATGCTGATAAGGAGGAGGATATGGACAGTGAGGATGATGAGAACGATCCCATTGAAGTCAGAAGTGTAGTGACTGACGCGCAAGCTATACAAGTTTTTAACCAAGCTTTAGATTGGGCTGAAAGAAAAGAAGTTTCGTACACGGATATTTTAGTTCTTCGTAAATTACGGGCGCAGGCATTGGAAGACAATGCTAAGCGCAAATTTACGCAGACAAAAATTGTTAATTATTTTTCTTCTAATTAAAAAAATACTTATCGCTGTTAGAATATTTATTTTGTTATAAATGGTATGTATTAAACGTTTCTTTTAATAAATCAAATATTATATAGATCGCGTTCGCTAATGTAAACATTTTGATAATGTGAACCACACTTGGATTGAATTAGTTTACATTATCAAGCGTCTGCTGTATCTCTAATATATTTGTAAAAAGATATTTGATAGCATGTTAATAAAAATTAAACTGGATTAAAACAAATCAAGATTAAAAAGAATCCCCAACTTTCAAGCATTGCTTTTTTTTTTTTTTATTATAATATTATTACAAGATTGTCAAATGTCTAAAACATGCAAGTAACTATTATAAAATAACGTTATTTCATAAAAGATTTAGAAAATTTTCAGTCAGGTATCTCTCATTAATAGTGATTTAAAACTTGTATCAGCGTGGCTAATATCTAACAAATTGAAATTGAACACAGACACAACAAAAGCTATGATTATTGAAAAAAAATGATATTACCAATTTATACGTAAATATTAGTGGCAAAAACATTGATTTTGTAGATTCTTTCAAATACCTTATATATGTCTTACATTTTGAACTACATTGTGGAAAAAATATCAGTACAGTTAGTAGTATACTATATATCACGTATCTTCGAGAGTTTAACAGAAACTTCAAGAATATAATTTATAATACAATTGTACTGCCAATTTAATTGTATTATTATTATTTAGCTTTAAATAAATACTTCAATTACAAAAATAATCTAATTATATACATAATAATTATTTATGTTCCACATCTAGCTATTTGAATCCGTTTACCAAAAATTACAGATTTTACAAAATGAACGTATTAGAATAATCCAAGTAAAAATAAATAATATACGCCAATCAATACATTAAAATGGCTCAAAATTAAAAATTTCATCAAACACTCAGTAATGATTTTTATTTATAAATGCAGTAAGTGAAGACTATCATTTTTATGATACCAGATACAAGCATGATTTCCATTTAAACGCAAAAACGTAGTGTACTCGTATGTACGAACTCGGTTTTCCATCAAGGAAATAAAACGACAAATTAGCCTAAAAAAATAAATCAAAACTGAGAAACTTTATGTTAGAATTGCAAATATATGACGATGCACCATATGGTTTGAATTTATTACGTTTGATTGTTTGTGTAGCCAATTGTGCTAAATAAATCTTACTATTACTAATAAAATCAAATCATGACATCATTATAAAAACATCAGCTGAAAATAACTGAACTGCCAGAACTTCTGCACCACTAGACTTTTTCTGAAGGTTCAATATTTCGTCCACTCTGGAGTCGCTACAACTAAGGTACAAAAGTATACAAAATATGAGTGCCTCATATTTTTACAATGAATATAAGCTGAGAAAAAAAATTAGGGTGCCATTAATCTTGTTTCGTCAAGTTTTTTTTATACCATTTTCACAGTCCTCGTGGTAAATATCAAGCATGATCCACAAAATGTTTATGACAGGACAGGTATGTCCGCAAGTAGGAAAAAATATATCATTCATTCTGTGGAAATACACATAAGCAGGTACATTGAAAGCAACAAATAAAAAAAATTGATAGACATCAACGAAATAAAAAATAGCCATGCTGTATGCCAATGAAAATAAACTTATTGTACACACAAGCCTCACCTGATCACATGGGGGCATCGCACCAGCATGATGTATGGCAGATGATATACCGGATGGCTTTATCTTAATAAATAATAATATTAATACAACTCATATTTACATTAATAAATTATAATTTACGTGACAAAGGTTCGTATAGTTTTAATGCTGCGTGTAGTCAATCGATTTTTTTTTAAAACAAAACTGATGAATAGTAAGTCAGCACGTGAAGTAAGGCTGTTGTCAAAATAGATTTTTGAGATCATTCACGAGACGCCAGAATCAATGTCGACCTCTTGTCTTTCTATTAAAATGTTTTCCCGATTTCATACCATCTGAAAATATACTTACTTGCAATTCCTTAGGGTTGACAAACTCTAACGCGTGTCTCTTTATCGCGTGAATAGCAGCATCGGGCGCATATCCGGGATGAGGAGTTGTGGAAGTTGGTTGAGAACTTTCTACCTTTACTCCTTGTGCTGTTTGCTTCCGCCTCAGAAGACTCTGTTTCATCGCCTAAACGATAATAATAATTGTAAGACAAGTTTTAATTCGAGGAGCTACAGCTTTTCTGTTAATTGCACTCTCCAAGATCAATCTTTGCAATATAAATCCCTATTATGGAACATCGTTCAATTACAAAGTTCTTCACACATCAATATGTTACTCTCGATGAGGGAGGGTTTTGAGAGGTAGGATGAAAATCTGCCCAGCAAAGGTATGAAAGAGGGTGAAGTGCGCCAATGATTTGTTTGTCTCCTGATTCACATAGTCTGTAGTGAGGATCAAAGTGTACTTGACATAAGTCAATTTTTTGACAGTTCTGTCATTAAATTTTTATATTTAGTGTTATTTTTTAAGAGTGTGAGTTATTGCAGATAATTATGGTGTTAGACGATTACATAATTTGCATAGAATGGCACAAGCCTAATGAAGGTATATGTTTCCACCAGTAAGAGTTTTTATTGTGTTGATACAATGCTGTCACCTTGGTAGGCATTGGTACACTAATGAGTCAAAGTATGCACGAACACAATGCAATGTAAACATATTGGCATCACTTCTCCTAATCTATTCGATTTTTTTGGCAGTGTCCGAGACATTCGTCGCTGCCAGACCCTTATCAACACTGACAGTCCCTCGATCGGCATTAGCCGTTTTCCGTACACAGTCACACGAAACTGCTTTAAATCTTTTGAGACATTCAGAATACATTAATAGCTTAAAAAATTATGCAATAATTGCATTAATACAATGCTTTTCTTTAATTTCCCCCTCTCCTTTGATTTTTTAAACGGATGAATTCAAAAAATTAAAACTTGAGGTAATGAAATTGATGCGTAGATACCATATTTTAGAGTAAAATTGACAGATGAAAATGAAAAAAAAATATATGAAAACGGGGGTCTTGTGGCACATCATTTTGAAGGTCCTGACGTGTACTTTATAACCCTAGAATACACAGTCAATACCTTTAGCTACTATAAAATAGTGGTACATTTAATAATTACCTGAATACATTGTCATTTAACTTGATAATTAGAATAAATACGTTGAGTTCAGTTTAGCAGATGCTGGAAATGGCTGCCTTGAACTTCTTGACACAATAAAAGCCGGTCCGTAATTTCGCGTCGAACATTTTCAAACATAGTAACATCGATATTTCTACAAATATTTGTTATTCTCAGCCGTATATCCAATATTGAAGCAGGTCCAGTTTCGTACACCTTTTGCTTCAAATAGCCCCATAAAAAGTCTAAAGGTGTCAAATCTGGCGAGCGGGCTGGCCATTCCACAGGACTTCGATGCCCAATCCAACGACCGGGGAAATTGTTATCTAATTAATTCCTAACTTGTCTGTAGTGGTGTGGTGAGGCACCATCTTGCTGGAATACAATATCAGTATCGAATTCATTAGGATTTGCTTCGACGATTTTGGTGATTAGATGGTCAATAGTATTTTCCAGCATATCCAAATACAGTTCCCCGGTTAAGGTTTGTTCGATGAATAGAGGCCCCACAATATGATTTCCCAATATCCCAGCCTAAACGTTAATTTTTTGTGGATATTGAGTATGACGTGAGGATTGGTGTCCCTCCAAAAACGACAATTTTGTCTTTGCACATTACCGTTGAGAAAAAATGTACATTCATCACTAAATATTTTGGATATAGGTAGGATGCCGTGCAATGGTTTCCGTCATAGTCTCGCAGAATTCTGTTCTTCGATCAGGGTCATCTTCAGTTAGCTGATGTACCATTTGAATTTTGCATTGGTGATACTTATTCTTTTTCAAAAGTCTCCATACAGTAGAAGGACAAATCTCACATTCGCGATGGATGGAGGTAGTAGACTGTTGGGGATTTACTATGATTTCACCAATTCTTTGAACTTGCCGTTCCGGGATGGTCGGATGAACTGGGGGCGTTTTGTTGTTAACACTACCAGTAGCAGTAAATTTAGATTTAGATACAAGTTCCCTTAAATATTTTCTACGATTCGGGAAACGATCATTAAGAATCCCTTCGGTCTCATGAAAGTTACGCGTCGCACCATAAATAAAAATCGCTTCGATTTCTTCTTCCAATGGACGAGAATTGACCATTTTAAAAATAGTTCAAACAGTATCTAGAGTATCCAGCACTAAAACCGAATACTAAATAAGAATATTTTAACTGTATAATGATGTTTGTTTTTGTGCTGATATTCTTGTCACTGTCAACAAAAAATAACAAAACAAGTTTTTATCGCTGTTGCTGTGGATACGGCAGGGAATTACAATTATTTGTAGAGATATGCATGTTAGTGGGTTTGTGTTCAAGTAATTATTAAATGTACCACCATTTTGTAGCAGATAAAGGTATTGACTTTATATTCTTGGGTTATAAAGTACTCGTTAGGAGCTTCAATAATAACAATACGAGTTTTTTCCAAGATGGCGCCCAGCGGCCATCTTGACATTTCCATCTGTCAATTTTACTCTAAAATACGGTATCCAGGCTTCAATTTCATTACCTCAAGTTTTATTTTTTTTAATTGATCCGTTCAAAAAATCAAAGGGGAGGGGAACATTAAAGAAAAGCACTGTATATGTCGGGTAGAAAATACGTTCCATACGTTCAGTAACATTTTCAATGAATACATTCCAAATTACAGACCAAGAAATATATTACATGCACAATATCTGAAATCGCTTTTTCCCACCCGCGTTTCTTTACCTTACATTCTGTCGCTGGGCAGATGATAACAACACTACTTTTTCTCCATCTAATATAGATTTGTTACATACCTCGGCACTGCAGTGTTTATCCTGGATATGCGTCATAAGTGAAAAGCGTTTTCGTTTCAGATTATCACATTTGTCCCATTCGCATAAAACTTCTTCCGTGCCCGTGGGACAGTGATCAGAACAAGCATGAAGGAATACCTCATTTGGAGACCTAAACTTGGTCGCCCTGCAACGGAAACAAAGAAGTTGCTCAACACGGAGTGTCAGACGTGGGATCAGAAAAAATCACGGACGCGATAAACAGAATTTTGGATACTGCTTAGGATTTATGAAGATTTGGCATCCTGTTCACTTTTATCACTAGAAGACAGTAAGTCTCTTTGTATTCAGCATCTGTCTCCTAATTTTCTTGAATGGTTAAAACAGCATAAGCCTACATATCTACACCAATACACCTAAGGTCCAAATGCAGCTTATATCTCATACTATTATGGGAATGTAAATATTTTGTTTTTTGTTATGTTTGTTGCTGCTAACAAATTAATCTATGTATGTCAAATATAGGGAAACGCTAATGAGGTTTTTTGACAATTTTGGCTGACATCTCACCCAGAAAACTACGTTAGAAATTTATAGTGCTTTCTTGCTGGCATTAACGTGACTACGCAAACGCCTTGAGTCAAGGCGTGTTTGTGCTATCATAGCCTCACAGAAATACACATTAGTTGAATGTCCCATAACCTATGGAATTCTAAATTCTTTAAAATGCAAAAATTATTCATAAAAATAATGCAAAACAAACCTTTATTATATCGCTTCAAATATGTGTTTATAGAATCAAAACTTTTGAATTATTTTGGCACAATCTTATAAAAATTATGAATATGATACTAGAAATAGAAATAATTTTTTTATTGCAACACCAAAAAGGCAATACGGTTGACAGATTTTATATTCTTAAGTCCAAAATTATATCACAACTCAGCAAAATATATTAGAAAGAAATCGAATAACATTATTAAAATATATTTATACGAGTAGCTATTGAATACTGATATATGTGTTAGAATGATATCCACACACAAGGATATTTTCATTTTGTGGCATATCAATTTATTCACAACTTATAGTTGCTGTGAATAAATATTATTTGCCATAGGCGTCGACTGAAAAACCTAGTATAACATATTTCTCTATTATTGAAGCTTGATGCAAACTGAATTTGAACCATGACTTTATTGGAGAGGTGTTGCGAGATCCAAGTGCAATTGAGTTTAGCTATTAAGAGACAAAGTAACCAGATAAAGGACAAATGGAATTTTGCAATTTCAACCAGGAAAAATGGATAAGTTGCCAAATCTACCGGAAATTTATCCGTTATCGAAAATCCCTTGGATCATGTATCATTATGCTTTTAATTTAATTTAATTAATCTTTCCTCAATGATTTTTTAGTCCGGAGTTTTTTGATATAATTGTCGAATGAATCTGCAAAACAGGATATTGAAATGCAGCGGCATCATGTATTCTTCATCCATAATTCATGATACAAAATTAATCGAAATAACTCTTGACACAACAAAAAAACCATTCAGAACTGGCAACTAGCCATTAGATATTCCAGGAGACAATTTTAAAGGAATTTTCCTTGCAAAACATGCAATAGCTGACTCACAATGTACAAAACGGAAAACGTGATAAATTGATGATGATACCACAACAATTGTGAACAAAATTGAATATTAAAAAGTTATTATAGATCAAAACTCCCGTTTCAGTGACCATGTGGATTATATGTGTAAAAAAAATTGGAATAAGTAGGATTTTTCGGCAGAATTTCATCTAAATTGTCTCAGTAGTGTAAAAAGTAATTTATAACACATTAATACATACCTCCGCATTTCAATTATTGCTCATTATTGTAAGGATATTTTCCTTTTGTCGCAGATGAATTTGTTCACAATTTGTAATTGATATGAAGAAATTATTATTATTATTCCTAATTTCTTGTTCCGTAGATGCTAAGCGGAGGTTCGCAACTTTGATTAAATAAAAGTATGATATTACTATTAAATTGTAATAAGTCGCCAATCGAAGTCATGAGACAAAATTATTTTTTTTAACAATGCAGTCATAGAAGAGGCAAACTTGATTTTGTTATATAAAATAAAAATAAAAGATTTGGTATGCTATCATATGACATAAGATCAAAAGACCAGTATTATACTGAAAGTTTCAAGACTAGGACACTGGAAATCTCTTTTGTTGAAGGTTTAAGAACTTATATGGTTTACCACTAGAGATAAAAACAGCACAAAATGTAACAAGAGGAACCTGAGGACTTTACATTTTTGATCCAAGTGATATGTGATTATTTTGTTCATGTTAATGTAATATTGTAGTTTGAAGCTAATTAAAAAAATAAACATCTAAACACATGAAAGTTCAAGAGAAAAAATGTCAGATGGTATTGACAAGCGTGCGACGATAGCTTTTTTCCATTCTTGTAACTGTAGGCATTTCAGAATGGAACGGCGGTAATGAACGTTCATATATTCTCTGCAAATAACGTAACATCCCGTAACGTGAGAAGTAGGGAATATAACACATGACATCAAGCAGACTTTTATATCTCTCTGGCCTTTTTCTGGATCACAACCGATCAATCTTCCATGAAATGGTTTGTGTTTAAAATATATTTTTGCACTTACACATCACATTCGCCCCACTCGCACACATAAGGTGTCGTGAGGTCACGAACAGGCTTTTTCTTCACAACTTCCAGTTTTTTCTTCTCTTGCGTAGGCGTCGGCGCTCGAGGTTGCGACAGAGCGTTTGTCATGACGGGTTGTTTCACTGCAGAAGTTTTGTTTACGGTTGAGATCACTGTTGTATTGTTCGATACGGTAGTTGTATGAGCGGGTTGCCGTGGTATTTGCGCTACGACCACTTGCTGGCCTTGAGGCGTCATAACCACCTGAAGACAAAATATAACAATTTTCAAATAATTTAATGAATCTCCAGGAAAACCTGATGAAATTTGGAATTTGTTAATAATACTAGGAGCGGAAATCGTTCCACCTGAAACGATTGACGTTCTAAAAATACTACCGTTCAAATGCGAAAATATTATTTGGAGAAAATGGACATCTTCAGAAATCAGTATCGATGTAAAAATTATTTGAGTTAGTTGACATGTTAGCAGGGTTGAAAAAAAACATGTTAAAAAAACAAAAATCACGCTTTTTTTGGTTAATCTGAAACAACCAAACCCTCTTGATATGATACATGGGCCAACGATTAGCGGACAGACCTACAGAAATTAGTTAACCGATTTTTCGAGATGTATATGTCATATAACATCCAAAAGAGTCAGATTTCTAGACCTTCCTTGAGGCGTGACGCTTCCTTGAAGAAAACAGATTCCAGATACCTCCCTGGACACAGTTAAACAATGACGTTTCCTTGAGTAACGTTTAAGGGAGGATCTAAATTCTCATTTCACAATCGGCTGTAACAGTTCTAATCAAAAGCGGTCACCCAAAATAATACAATGCATACATAATAGCAAGCAAACAACTCAAAAAATATAGGACAAAATCAAATAAATGCAAGAAGAACTATTTTGCAACAGATAGGTGAATAACCATAGTCTCCATGATTTAATTGTGACAAATCTATCTTTTTCAATTGGCAAGGCTGCTTGGTAAACATTGATTCATAGGCTGTTACAAAAATGTTCTACTTACATTTGTTTGATGTTATCCCACATGTGTTTAGCTGCATAATCTACTAAGGAAAAGGGAAATAATGAAAGAAAGGGAGGAAGGAATAGAGCAAAGAAAACAAGTAAATCAATTGAAATAGCTTGAGCATTATTGCTTTGACTACTCGAATTAATTTTGTAACTAAAAAAAAAAAATATTTCTATCGTATTTGTATACTGAAATAATTGGTCTGAAATTTAGAATTTAATTTTGATCACAGTGCGGGGCGCGGCCCGGAAGCTGCTTACTCATTCTTTTGGGTGTACTAGTCTCATCATATATCTTTGTTACTTAATCCTAAGCATTGTTCTTTAGATGTATGGAGGAGCCGTCAGTTTTCTTACTTTCAATGGTAAATTAAAATGTGTCTAATATATATATATATATATATATATATATATATATATATATTAACCAGAGACAACTTCTCTGCACAGCCTAACTTCTTTTTCCCCCGTCCACGGCTTATTAAAATTTTAGAGATTACAAAATATTTGAATTTGAATACGCTGAATCTGACAGACATAGTCCACAACCTGCAACCAGTAGAGCAGTTGGGTACAATGATTGCCTATATTCAGTTTTTTACTCCTCGCGATTGCACTGTAACTCAATGAAGCAAACATTATTTTGCATTTTTTATTGATGTTTAGCACAAATAAACCAAATCCTCTCAATTTTATCAACAAAATGCAGTGAAAAATGAAAATTTAAATCGTCCCTTCCTCCTCTCCCTCAAGGAAGCGCCTCTCACTGTTTCCAATGAGATATCTGATATCCATTGTTTCCAAGGAAGTCTCACACCTCAAGAGAGGTCAAAAATAGGCGTTACATGTAAAAACGGTAGAAATTAAGCGTTGTAGCCGAATAGTAAAAACTGCAAATCTGACAGTACTGTTCTCTTACCTTCTGAACAGGCGATCCAGCAGACCCAGAAACCTGCTGCTGTTGTTGCAGTATAATGATAGTCTTCGGCGGTCCACCTCCCTGCTGCTGCTGCGCCTGCGCCACGAGTACCGTCTGCGGCTGTCCATGGACCACGGCGGTCTGCGACTGCGCGGCTACCACGTACGCGCCCTGTTGAACGTACGCCGTCGGTTGTCCGCCGGCGCTGCTCGTAGCCACCAATTGCATTTGGGGTTGCGATAGCAAGACGTGCTGACCGCCGGCTTGCTGGATCAGCATCTGGCGTTGCTGACCGCCGCTGGTTACGCCGCTCGAGTTTTGCACTATCACTGCTTGGCCGCTTTGGGTTTTCACTGGGGCACCTGCAACAGAATGGCCATGAAGAGAATTCGACAGCCTACGTATTAGGCTATGGATGCGAAATGAAAAGAAAAAATATTACAATGCCAAAATTGATGTGAGTAAAAATAATAGCAAACAGATGTGGAAAACGTTGAAAAACATTGGTTCTCCTATTAAAAAAATACATTATCTAAAACGAAATTCTTCGATGGGGTAATAACAAATCATCATCATATAGAAAGTGTCAACGAAATTGTAAGATCAATTATTGACGGGACTCTGGCGAGGGAACACGTGTGCATGCAACATGCACACATTCTGGCCCCGCCTACGAGAACCGCCGGGTGGTACCTCCGCGTTCGACAGTCAGATACCGTCTACCACCTACGGACAATCACAACATCCATAGCAAAGAGAAAAAATTCTCTTGGGACGGGATTCGAACCCGCGCAGCGCACGGCGACTGATCAAAAGATCGAATATCTATATTTCAGCGATTCAGATAAATAAAGTGCGAAGATCATGAATTAACGTCAGTTTTTTCGCCAAGATTGGCAGAAGGCCTCAAAAGTCCAATTTTCCCGCCACAGAAAGTTTTCGCGACACTTATGTTTGATGACAATATTTAAATTTAGCGTCTCAAATATCCTAAGTAAACTGAATTACATTCACTTGCTACAACAAGTGTTATTTTTGCATTAAGGAGCTACAAAGTTTAAATAGGCATACTACTGGAAAAGATCAAATTTTTGTACAATTGATAGTTCTTTCTCGGATAATTTTTGAGCGTAGATCACCGAGGTCTCATGACAGTTTCTGACTGAAATCAATGGTAGCCTCCAAAGACTAATGCTTTAGCATTTTTTGATGATAATATACGAAACCACCGTCCCAAATTCCTTTGTGTACCAAATTGTTTACTTGTAGACACGAAAAAAAGAGAATGGATATTTTTATTTCAATTCGTATCAGATGTGTGAAAATTTTCGAGATCGTTGAGAATCTGTGACCGGCAGGTTTATTACGTAAAAAACCTATAAAATGTCAAAAACATCGGTAAAATGCCAGCTTGTGCAATAAAAACCTACATAATGTCAAAAGAATCTCCCTATTGTCATAAAAAACTACATGCTGGATATTTTGTATAGAATGAGTGAGAAAATCTAAAAAGCTAACCACGCCAAAATGTTGACTTTTACCTGCTGATATGACCATTTGTGGTTGAGACACAATAATTTGCCGTTGTCCAAGTAACACTTGCTGACTATTGTCCATAATGATCTGCGGCAAATTACCCTGCGTTGCGATCTGTAGAGATTGCGTTGCAGGCTGTGCAGACTGCGCTTCTTGAAGTAACTGCTCCTCATCTTCATCTTCAAGGATGTCTGCTGCTATATCAGCAAAGAGTTTTGCTGCTGCCGTTGAAACCGTCGCCGGAGCCTCATCTAAAATTTACAAACCGGAAAATCATATAATCGCTAATACCGTAAAACCAGCTCCTAAGGTTAAGTATATTTGAGTGAATTTTGTACCAAAGCAAGCATTAAGGCCATTTTTTTTTCGATTTAAATCTCAAATATTATACCAGACTATACCTGGCCCAAATACAAGAAAAAATAAAAGATAACTCGCTCAGCAACAGGCGGACAAGGCAGTGCTCATTGGTGAATTCGTGTGGCAAAAATCAAACACAACCCGTTTAATTATTTTGTAAATAATACAAAATTGCTGTATCATATTTATACTGTGTCGATTTTTTATAGTCTTTGTTAATCCCATATACCATAAATTATTACTATTATATCATGTGTTGTAATGATAGGCACGCATAAGGACATTCTCCTTTTGTGATATTGATATATTCGCAGATTATAATTAGTGTGAATAATTATTATAAACTATGAGACATTTCATCATGTCAAATCTTTATGATGTAGGCAGTTTGGAGTTCAGACAGATACTGTCTTCGATACCATTTTTATATCAAAATTTGTACAATGAAATTGCTTGCTCAGATCTTACATCCCGAAATAAAGTGAATATTCCACAGTTTAATTCCAGATACTGTACAACTTTTCACTGTCCTGTCGCTAAAACAAATCTTATTCATAAATCGCCCTTAATAATACGTACAACGTATAATAGAATAAAAAAATCTGCTGATATTTTCAATTGTAACGTTAAAGACTCAAGCTCTGCTGCGAGTTTCTATTTCGCTCTGTAAATGCATGTAATCTGTTTCTGAATACGACCCTGTCCAATCAGTTTACAGGTATTTACATTCATTCCATCTTTGATTTGGATGGGATATAGCTACTTTGATACCTTAGGTTATCTAAACCTTTAAACATTTTAATAAAACACTGATACATACCATTTGAACTAGATACAGAATCTGGGTTGGGCGAATCCGAATTTGAGTTTCCATTCATAGAAAACATGGCCTTTTTCGACTTTCCATCAAGGGCTTCATCTGATAAACTCCTCTTGAGGTTGCTTGGAATTTCAGGCTGATCTATCATTTCAATGTCGGTGTAGGTTAACGGTTCCTCCTTTAAGGTTATTTCGTCGGTAGATTCATCTTCTATTTTTATTTCTATGTATTTGTCATTCTCACTGTCCCTATTTAGTGCCTTTTCTATATGATTTTCCAATAAATCTTTCTCTCCCACCTTTAAATCCCTCCCTAATGAGCCGTTTAATAACGGCGGACTTTTTTCAAATTTCTTTTCTAATAAATCGGCTAATCTAAGGGGTTTATTTATAGATATCTCACTATCAATGATTTTTACAGAATCTTTGGAATTGCTATCCTCGTTCAAAGGATTTTCCATCGTATGGATACCATTTAACAATCCTTCAAAGCAAGTTAAGGAATTATCACCGTCTTCTGTCGAAAATATTCCACTTATTCCTACAGCACCTGGAACAAAATAGAGACAGACGAATAGAAGTCGATACCTAGCGAAATAAGTAAAACCGCTGATTTTTCTATCTATCTATTCTTACCAGAAATCGACGCTATCGAATTGGCTTCGATCGAATCACTATCCTCGCTGTCTTGTGGCCTCGTTTGGTGTGTTTTGGACATGCCTCCTCCTCCATTACTCAAAGGAGCTAGAGGAGGAGGCGGCGGTTGCGGTGGTTCTTTTTTACCTTTCGTAGCATCGGTAAATGACGTTGGAGTTAACGCCGCCAGGTAAGTTGTGTTTTCCCTATAAAGAGAAATCGAAGTAATGTAGAAAATCTGTATCGACAATATCAGAAAACAGTATTGCACCATCGATAAACTATTCCACCAAAAGATACCAACTCCAATTGAAAGCCGTGCCTACGCGAAAGTAAGACTCGACACGTATCGACCACCGTCTTAAGGTGTAAGCGTTGCCACATCTCGGACTGGTGCCGAAGGTTATGGGATCCAAAATCACAGAATAATTACGAAAGGAGACGAAGGTTGATCCTACCTTGGAAGATTGATGTCATATTCAAGTTTGAACATTTTTCTTTAGAAGGAAAATAATAATAAAGTCTTTATTAATTAAATTACAGTGTAGCGAGCGAGGTTTAGCTTATTAGCTACCCTACCATTCAACCCCATTATTTTTACCGTGGCGAACCAGTGTAAATACGCGTTTAACATATTTTATGAACTCCAAAAGAGAATCACAAGGTTCAATAATGAATTAATACCAGAATACACAAGACTAGCAAAAACTAGACATGGAAGCAATTATTTCGGTGTAACATCATTCAATGTTCTGCCCAGGTTTTGTCAAACAGTATAGACAAGTTTTTAAAGAATGAGTTTACCGACTTTGTTCCATAATTGTGGGCTATTTGTTGGATTGCTTTGTATTTGTTTTTGATTTTGTTTAAATGTTTTTTCCAGTGCATTTGTTATTTTTTGTATTGCTTTATATTGTTTAAACGCTTAGACTTTTCTTGACGTCGGGATCAAATGTTTTACAGATTTGTGTAACATCAGCAAAAGGCATTACTTCAGAGGAGCGAATCATTTTACAAATATAAAGGGTGTTCAGATAAGGACGCTCGAAAGTTAAAATGGAAAAAAAAGGAAAAAAAATTAAGTCAGCACTAAAAGTCTATATTGATCGTAAATAGCATTCGACGACATTATGTATGGAAGATTATATCGTTTAAATGGCCACCGCGACTGCGCAGTACAGCGTGCATTCGCATGGTCCAATTTTCGAGCACTTTTCCGCACATTTCAGCGTCTACCTGTCCGAGGACGCGAATGATGTTGGCCCTTAATGCTGCAATTGTTTGTGGCTTATACGCATACACTTGAGACTTCACGTAGCCCCACAGGAAAAAGTCTAAAGGCGTTATATCGCACGATCTTGGTGGCCAGTGCACATCGCCGCCGCGCGAAATAATGAAACCGTTGAACTTTTCATGCAGTAAATCCAGCGTTGCGCGTGCGGTGTGGCACGTAGCGCCGTCCTGCTGGAACCAGATGTCTGTTAGATCCATATCGTCCAGTTGAGGCCACAGGAAATCATTAATCATGGCGCGATACCGATCTCCATTGACCGTAAGCGCGTTGCCCATAGCGTCCTCAAAAAAATATGGACCGATTACGCCGCCAGCCCAGAAACCGCACCATACAGTCACTTTAGCAGGATGCATAGCAATTGAGCAAGTCACTTCAGGATTTTGGTCAGCCCATATACGGCAATTCTGTTTATTGACATACCCATTCATCCAGAAATGCGCCTCGTCGCTGAAGATGATTTTTCGTGCAAATGCAGGGTCGACTTGCAACTGCTCTAGAGCCCATGCGGCAAATGTACGGCGCTGTCCATGGTCTTGCGGTTTCAATTCTTGCGTCAATTGAATTTTGTACGCGTGCAATTTCAAGTCTCGACGCATAATTGTCCATGTTGAGGTCTTTGGAAGGGCAAGTTCTTGTGCACGTCGCCGCAATGACTGATTCGGGTCTTGACGCACGCTCTCTCGCACAGCAGCAATATTCTCGATTGTTCTTACTGTTCGTTGCCGTACGGGTGTTGTTTGGTCTGCCACTGAGCCAGTTCTCTCAAATTTATTGAGCAGACGTCGAATAGTGGACTCAGCAGGACGGCCATGCGCACCATAAATTGGACGCAATGCGCGGAACGTTTCACGAACCGAACATCTGTTTTGATGATAAATTTTCACAATTTCCACGCGTTGTTGAATCGTGTACTGCTCCATGATTAAATGTCAAGACTAACTTAATAAGCTCACAAAATTTGACAGCTGTATCCCCACCGGTTTGGGCGCGCGCGCCGTTCAAACATCGAGCGTCCCTATCTGAACACCCTTTATGATAATATAGAGAGGAAACAGTAACGGCCTTAAAATTTGTTTTTATAACTTATAAGAGAATTACTCTGATCTTACTTGACTACAGGCTGTGACGATGGAAACTGGATGAGAACATTCAAATACATCAAAGGGTTGAGGTTCTTCTTGGAGAAGATGTTAATGATGGCATACATTTTCACTTTATAAAAGTCGATTTACCTGTTTATAGAATTCGACGTGGTCGAGGAAACAGAAGAGTCGCCAGTTGCAACCGCATCAGTCACCGACGTCGCTTCCTCGACGGAAATCTGCCTCATGCCATTGACACGAGACACCGCCGTTACAATCGTCTGTTGGTTATTCGTCTTGGGCTGCTGTTCGCAACCTACTTGAGCCAATAGTCGTTGTTGCTGTTGTCTCGCAGCCACCTACGCATAAATATGTTATTCAGACTGCAACAGTCATACTTATTTCAAATTTATTGATTTGAAGTGACCGATCACGGAGCCTACGAGGTCTGAAAATTAGGTGATGAGAATGGCAACGTAGCGTTCAATCTGGCAAGACTGGAGGTGCCGAGCTTGGGGGGAAACAGGGGAACATGCGATCCGCCTTTGGTTCAAGTTGGTTGATCTTATCGATTTTTTTTTGAGAAACAGTATTTTCTATTGTGTACTAAAATGAGTGACATTAATTTCAAGCAACGGTGTGCAATCAGGTTTTGCTTCAGACTTTGGGCCCAAGTTTTTCGGTGGTTTAATGCACTTTCAGAAGGGAGAGAGTAGACTGAAGATGGATGAAGGCCTTCATCTTCAAGAACCGATGAAAATATCGACAGAATCCGGGATCTTGTGCGTTCAGATCGTCGGTTGACAGTGAGAATGATAGAGGAAGAGTTAAATTTGACTCTCACTGTCATTCATCAGATCAAGAATAACTGGGCGTTGCCTCACGATAATGCTCCTTATCACATAGCAATTTCAAAAAACGAGTTTTTAGCCAGTAAAAATATTACTGTGGCTCCTCAGCCTCTTTATTCGCGTGACTTGAGTCCATGTGGCTTTTTTCCCCGAAGCTGAAAAATCACCTCAAGGAACACATCTTGGGACAGTCGATAACATTAAAATGGCTGTAACCGACCAGCAGAAGGCTATTCCAGTATCGGAGTTCCAGCACTGCTATTAGGAGTGGCAGAACCGTATCCAGTGCTGTGTGGCTTCAGAAGGAAGTAATTTTGAGGGTGACAAAATTAGTCTCATCACTTAGGCCCGTATCGTCAGTCGTCCCTACAATTGTAGGACACGTTTATGGCCTCCTTGATTGTCATACTCCTTTCTCTCCTTCAAAAATTTCTAGATTACACTTGTCCCGTGTCAGCGTCAGCGCTCTCCTATTGTGAAGATATGTTTTCTTTTTAAATTGTAGGAAATTTCAGGCTGATAAAACATGATATAACTCAAAAGCAAGCACAATTTGATGCAAATAGATGTTTGTGACATAACCTCAAAATAGAGTTCTGACACGGAGAAGTAGAAAACTATGACAATCAAGGAGGCCATAAAGGCACCCTACAATTGTAGGGTCGACTGACGATACGGGCCTTAATTTACAGACCTCATAATATACAAGGAGACGCTACGCCAATGCTGTTCGTGCTGTAAAAACGACTAAGAAACTTGACGCCTGGAGTACCAGTGCCGCTTGACAGGGTTGCAATGTTGGGGGAATTTCCCCCAAACTTGAGGGATTTTTTCTTGGGGAATTTTATGAGGATCCAGTGTTCTGGGGGATATCATACGATTCGCGGATAGTAAGCACCCCCGCTCCTTTCCATTTATTAACTGTGATTGGGGATTTTTTTAACTAGTAGCAATTCTGAGGGTTTGTTGTGCTTGGTCTGGGGATATTCTGTCCCACTCATCTGGCAACGCTGTGCTTTGACAGATCCGCCATATTAACACCAAAAAACGGATTGCCACTTAGTACTTTGTAAATTAAATCAACAATTTTTCCTTATTTCTTGTCAATTCTTGGACCTTGGTGAAAATAGTCGGACATCTGTTGGAAGTTATTAATTATTTACTTATCTGTGAAGAAGCCTCCCTTTATGCAGTGATGAATTGTTTAATGAGGGGAAACAGTATTACGTTTATTGTTTGGAATTCCAATAACTCAGGATTTATGGATTAAGTCATTGAATATGCATAATATGCAAGAATTTGTTCCAGGTGTTTTAGGATAGGTACAGTCGTGAGTGTGATTTATAATTATGAAAACAAAAGCTATTCATAAGTCCTAATTCGCTTTTAGGGTCCTAAGGAGGAGATTTCACGATTTAGTTGAGCATAAAACTGTGGTATAAGCATAATTTTTCGTAGACTCAGATACCCTCCGCCAGCGCAGTAGCTGGTACATACACCGATCATAACTGCGCCCTCAGTCAGGCGCCAAGTTCTGGGGTCATTTTATTTCCGTTTTGCCGGATCTCCTGGTATATATAGGCTCCATGCAACCAATGTTCAGTACACATTCCTTATTGAATCATTTGAGGTTAACGAGGGAGAAACTTGTGAGGTCAGCACGACCCGTAAGTCATATGACACATTTTGTGGTAACATTGGCTCGTGAAAATACACGCTAATCAAATATTTAAGTGACTTTTAGAAATAAATGACAATAAAACAATTTACTAAAAATCGTTTGAATTGAAAAATGCTCTAACAATGTTATACAACTCTCACGTCTATTTTACGTATTATTTCTACTAGGTTAAAAAACGCATTTCAATCTTGAAACCTTCGTATGTACAGTCGCTACCGCTTTCTACTTTTGTGAAATATCGTGTACTATTTTGTGTATTGTTGCGTTTGAAGTCAAATTAAGCATAGTGTCAAGCGTTTTAGTTATAATTCTGTTATTTGCTTAATCTACCAACTAATAATTTTGTTACAATAAACATATTATTACAACAACTGTTATTGCAAAACGACAAACTCCTTAATTAGTTCAAAATGCATACACTCAAAGACAAAAATTGCTAAGAAACGTTCCTATGCTGAAGCCTTCAATTTCAGTTATGCAGTTCCTTGAATAATAAGAAGCTTTATCACCCAAGCAAACTTACGAGGGTGAATCAAATATGAACCGGACTTTTGTCGGGAAAAGGGGAATCAGTCGGTTTGGCGCGCCGAAGTAGATGAGCTGTCAGTAGCATCATGTCTGAGCAAGAGGTGCACACGTCTGTTGCGCAACGCATTATCATAAAATTTTTGTCGTGGGAGGGCGACAATCCTTCCAAAATTTCGCGTCGATTAACAGCATAGTTCGGCGATAAGACAGTTTCAAGGACACAAGTATACGACTGACAAAAAATGTTCCATGGAGTGGCGAAAGTCTAAAGAAGGAGCACCGCGAAAAGCCAAGACCAGTCTTTCTGCAGGAAAAGTTCTTGTAACGGTATTTTGGGATTCCAGAGGTGTACTGCTAGTTGATTTTCTTCACGATCGTTGTACAGTTAAAGCTGCTGACTACTGCCAACTGCGTATCTGCGGAAAAGGCGAGACATGCCTATTTGAAGTGCCATTCTGCTCCATGATAACGTTCGGCCACACACAGCTGCATTGATCCAAGAAAAATTATGCGAAATTTATTGGGAAACCAATGAACTTACAGCCCCGATTTGTCGCCATGTGACTATCAATGTTCACCATTTTGACGACGACGAAGGTCGTACACAAGCTTCATTCTGAGATGGGGTAATTAAAAAACTCCCGATCCGATTCAAAATGCATCATCAAGAGACGAGATTATGTAGAAAAATAAGATGTAAATGAACTTGTATTTACTATACCAATGAAATTACTAAAAAGTCCGGTTCATATTTGATTCACCCTCGTAACAACAAAAAACTTTTGCACTTACAGAATGCGAACTTCCTATGTGTGGACCCCAATGGCTGTTTTTGTTAAACTTCCATGTAAACATCAAGTATCAAAATATTCAAAAATATCAAACCAAAAAAACAATTCCGTATATGAGTTAACATGTTACGACTAAGATTTCAGTATAGGAATCGTAAAAACATCAAAGATATTAGTGTGTTACCTGAGCTACATTTGGGTAGTCTGTCGCAGTCCTCATGCTCACTGTTGATGACATGCAATCGTTTACCTTTGTTGCCAGGAGGCTTTTGATGAGAGACGTACTACTAGCCTGTCCTGAAGCTGCTGAGGTTACCGGTGGGGTCGTGGTGGTAGTCGTCACTAGTGTGGACTGGGTTCCATTGGCGCCTGCGCTGACAGCCGTTGATGAAGTTGAAGAGGACGATTGGGATCCTAACAAGGCTTGGCTTAGGTGGGGATGGTTTACCGCCTGCAAGTCACAACGGATTCTCTAGATTCAGGGAATATGATTGCGAGTATATTGAGATTCAGGAATATACCGCCTAGTAAAATGGCTGCAGGAGCGCTACAGCAGGCATTTATAGGAGTGTTCTGAGTCAAGTTTGGTCCGATAAGTACTTAGCCTCACCGCCAGACGGCGCCACTATTGTAAGAGAAATTTACTATCGTGTAGTATATCCTCTTAGACGGCTGCTGTCAAAATTTCAGCAGAATCTGACTCCTAGTTGTATTTCGACCGCGTGTGGAGGCGGGCGTGTCCGCGGTCGGTGATTCGTGTTTTTGGAAGGGAAATCACGCAGCGATATTACTAGAAGTGGTCTTCACCTGGTTAATGTGCTGCGATGAAGGCGAAGACTGTTCTATCGGCCGGCAAGGTGATGGCTACCGTTTTCTGGGATTCACAAGGTGTGACCTACATCGACTACCTGGAGAAGGGCTAAACGGTCACAGGGCTCTACTATGCCGAATTATTGTTCCGATTCTACGCCGAATTGCAGGAAAAAAACAGCCCCATATACTTGAAACAGTCACTCGCCGGGCAAAAATTTGAGTCGAATGAGGATGTTATCGCCGCCGCGGAGGCCTACTTTGCAGACCTCCAGAAAACGTATTTTCCAGGCGGGTTAAGGGAGTTGAAGCACCGCTGGGTCAAGTGTATCGAGCTAAAAAGAGACTATGTCGAGAAATAAATAGACACTTTTCAAAAAATCTCGTTTTAATACTTATCCGACCGTCCTTGTAGTATTTAGGGATGGCCATGTCCGGCCAAATTTATGTGTCCGGTTTTTGGTAGACTTTTTTTGCAGAGAAAAATGTTGGTTGAGTTTGTTTAACTCTTCGGCTTAATAAAAATAATCTTTGGCAATTAAATAAGGGCGAATTGGCATCGACCTCGACCAGCCGCCGCTAGCCCCCACCTCAAAGTTATTGATGCAGTCCAGTTGCTGCCAACAGCCCCCCCCCCCGCTATTTAATTTCCCATTTTCAACCAGCAAGAGTGAGACTGGAACTGACCCTTGCAATTAAAGGTGCGACTTTGAGTGCCAAATGCCTGGAGAAATACAGTGCTGAGTCCAACTTTTGTATTTCAAGATGTGGCAACTCTAGTAGCATTGTAGCCTGAATTGTTGAATTCTTGGTCACTGAGAGATGCCGCTTGTTGCTACTTGTCAAAATAATACGGCAGATATTTGTGACATATGAAGTGTTGATTTTACTGAAAGACATGTTTTCATAGTTTCCAATCTAAGGAAATCAGCATCAGTCAATATAATTTTATTTACTGCTATTGAAAACTATTTGACGGGTTGCCGAGATATGCATGGGATTCCGGCGGCACAGCGGCGAAATGATGATTCGGAACACTTTCATAAATTTTTAGTATTATAAAGCACTTTTATACGAAGGAAAATACAACTGACAACCTGACAAAAGTACGTGAGGTTGTGCAAAATGCCAAAATGGTGTTAGGTCCACACTACTAGCTTCCTTAGTGTAACTAGTTGAGCTTTCGTACTTCCCTTCGTAAAAAGTGTGACAATGCTACATATTGCCATTGTATAAGGTTAACAATAATTTGTGAGTATCGGCTGATGATATATAAAACGTATGCTGGTTCCCGCACTAGTAATTTGAAAGCTGGCTTTCATTTCCTCATACGAAAAGGCGAATTTCACTCTGACGTGAAGAAAATTGACAAAATGCAATCAGAAATATCAGAGAGTTGTTTTGAAGCCTCAAAGCAGGTGCGATAATGTAGAAACATGGAAGCAATACATGAAGACACCTCCACCAACTACCCACATGCAAAAACCCAACTACTGGACTAATGGAGAAAATGAAAAACTGGAAAAAATTGAAGAAAAATGACTTGATTTATGACTATTTACTACGATACTTCAACATGTCAAAATACGACAAACGTAAAGCTGTCCAGCGCTTTTATGCTGAATAGCAATATCCATGAGATAGCTTTGCCAGTTTGACAACAGTGTTCACTTGGATGTCAGACTTGATAGTATGTTGGTTAATTTTGCAAAATGTCGTAGCTATTCCATGGCTCCTGCTATTCAGCATAAAGTGCTCTACCTTGGCTGAACAGCCTGATTGATTAACATATTGTACCTGAAGATAGCTAACCTAATATTGTATTCCAGCCTCCAAAAATTACCTGTGATGAAATGAGATACAAGGGCGTCATGAGAATTTGTCACAGCTATGCTTCTCCTACCCGTAATAATTATAAATCTACTCTGAAAATGTTAGTGTCTCTAGAAGGCACTGTAGCCAAATAAATGTTCTTATAATTAGTTACAGCGTCATTTTATGAGACATTAACGTATTCAAAGTAGATTTATAATTATTAGGAGAAGCATAGATATGATGAATCAGTGTATAATCCAAAGAATGCAAAACAACTGCTGTAGGTTTGTGTATGGTCTTCCAAGATATAGTCATGTCTCCCCTAGGATCAAGGAGTTGAAATGGCCGAGAATGGATCAATAATAATTTGAATGTAATCTTAAGGTATTTATGCGTAAGATAATATCCATTGCAAATTGATAGCCAAAGGAATCATTAATCTTGGAGATCTGAGGCATTTCAATGCAGTGAGGTTGTACAACTCAACCGACCCTGCCTGGAGAAGAAAAAGTTGTGTAACGTTCAGGAAGCTGGTTAAAAATCTGCTCTTCGATCTGTTGCGATCTTTTTGTTTTTTATTTTTTAATTTTCATCCAATCATTATTAGTCCTCATCTGGTTCCTTTTTGGTAAGCCAACAGAGGGTGGTTTAATTACATCAAATTGATTTATTTATTTTTGTATTGTATGCACATATTTGCTTATACAATAGGGTTGGGTGTAACAGTATCCAACTGGTTAAACTTCGCCTTATTATGATGATTCTAATAAAGACATTTTATTATTATTAAATTCTCATGACGCCATGGTGTGTCATTCCATCTTTTTTAGATGCTGGAATACATGATTAAGTTGGCTATCTTCGGGTAGGATATATAATAGTACAATGGTAAGAGTTATTTTGTGTTAGTTACTTGTTGAAAATAGATTAAATGCGCTATTGACTCTCAACATATTCACTACTGGCAAAAATATTAACACCTTAAATGGATGTAAGAATGTGTTGAAGTATCGTGGTATAGTTATTTTTATCATACTTGCGTGTTCTATGAATGCATTTTACTGTACTCGGTGATATCCAATAACATACATTACAGTTACGATGTCCGTGACCAAAAATGATCTGGCTGATCAAAATGACAGAAAAAAGGACATGAGTTGTTAACACAGAGAGATGAGCGATAAGAGGAAAGTACCCGGAAGAAACGACGTCACAGAGGACATACTGAAATGTATACCTGACTGTTGTGATCGCCCTTGAGAAAAACGCTTTCTCTATGCTTAGTACCGATGGCGGCGCTGAGCTGCGCTTTGAGGATCGGCGACGCGGGCGACGGCGGCGGTAACGAAACGTCACCGCCGGCGATATCGTCCTCAGACAAGGACGACGACGCGACATTCAGCGGCTGCGTCTGTTCGTTCTGTTGTAGTGGTATACTTATGTTGTTGCGCACCTTTATGCCTTCGTAAAACTGAGGATCGTTGGGATTCGCCGGCTTCATCGGATTCGGACCCACTGTTCCACCAAACACTGACCTGAAACATCAAAAGTTTCGTTTGAAAATAATTGTTGAAAAATATATATGCGACGAAGGAGTCACAATTTTGCATATGAGAAACCAAGTAGCTCTATAACGCCTATCATGTCGATTGCATTGACAGTTCAGCAACACATTCTCTCATGTGAGATATTGTCGCATGCGACACTGGAATGTTTTTTTAGTGATTTTTGTTATCGCTTGTCACTGTGCTGCCACTTTTGTAAAGTTGATTTTAAGACGTGTGTTGGAAAAATGTGGTCAATAACGAAGGTAAAAAAGTAAGTACTTTCAACCAAACTGTTGCTTTGTCGTCTGCCGTTTTGTCGAACGGTGAAAAAATCTCTAACGCGTTATTTATTGTTTATTTATTTATTTAACAAATCAGGGGCGTCAAATAGAGAAAATCTCCAAAGTAGAAATCCACAGTATACTTAAACAAATTAAGTTGTAAGCGCTGATATTTATAATCTACATATATGAAAAAATTCAATTCAGTAGCGAGAAACATAAAACAGAAAATGGGAACGTAGCTACTAGGGAGTGACCAACATTATATTTTTTTATCCAGTATATAAATGTTTCACAAGCAAAAAATATCAGCAAATTTACCGTAGTTGTATAGATTCTTTTGCATTCGTACCAGTGAAGGGTTTAAACCAATATCAGCTCTGCCAAACGGAATATTGAAGTACCTACAGTGTCTAGGATTCACTCTTATTGGTACATTTATATTGATTTTCACGAATTTTGTCGAATGAAAAATGTAGATTTCGAGATTCAAGAAAGTACTTTACAAGTTTTTTTTGTTTGACGGATTATTATGAATGTTTCTACTTTGTTCTACAAAAAAAGCTGAGACGCAATCAGGTCCTACACGTTGTAATCCGTTTTTCCACACCCTCTCCATAGACTGTGACTACTTTTTTTACACTGAAGCAGCCGCGCAGGCAGAAGCCTGAATGCTAGGGCATGAGGACTTTAAAGAAACTTTGTTAATCCGATTTTTGAACTGCCCAATGTTAGTAGGAATGGGAAAAGCCTCCTCCGTTGCTTGTTCTCAATACAAGGATTCTGCCTGGTAGGAAATATGACCTACACAGTATGTCTGAAAAGTTCCAGAACTGAATTTCTGTATTCGATACAGGCAGCGTGATATGCCGAACAACCGGAACTGTGTAGCGCGTTGTCTGAAGTGTGTGTGTGTGTGTGTGTGTGCCAAATTTTACCGCGTTTGGTCACTCCAGACTCGAGTTATATTCCGCCGTGTAAACTGTGTCCATATGACCGTGCGCAAACCCGCGACATGGAACAAAGAAGTGCGATAAAGTTTTGCGTTTGTCTTAAAAATTTTTTTGAAAACAATTGTAACGGCGACGAAAGCTGGTCTTTCATGTATGATTCTCAAACAAAACTGGGCAAACTGTAAATTCTAGGTTCTATTTGGAGGTTATGGAACGCATGATGTGCCGCATTCGTCGAATCCATCCCGAGTACCGGGATCCGGGCAGCTGGACTCTGTTGTATGACAATGCGCCGGCTAGCTCTGCCACCCTTCTGAAGCGTTACTACGCGACTAATCAAATCACCGTCTTATGCCACCCGCCCTATTCCCCTGATATGGCACCGGCCGACTATGTTTTGTTCCTCAAGCTGAAACTGAAGAATTTTTTGATGACATTTCGGCTATCCAGAAGGCTTGTACCGAGGAGCTGAAAGCGATCTCAGAAAATGAGTTGTCCAGAGCTTTCGACTAGCTCTAGCGGCGCTGTAACGAGTGTATTACTAGAGAAGGTTCCTATGTAGAAGGCAGATTTAAATAAATTCGTGTATCTTTTAATTTGTATTTTTTATGATTTTAGTTCGGGAACTTTTCAGACATACTGTGTAAATTTAATATGACATCTGGACGATAGAAAAACGGAATGACAATAAACCTACCGGAAACGAAAATAAAAAATAATTCCATAATTTTTTTCTTGTATTTTATATAACTCAGACAATCTGAGATTTTATCTATCACGAATAATGCATAGCATTTGGTAAAAGAACCTACCTGGCCGGTTAAATAGAAGCAATGCCAAATTTAGCTCCCGCTTGTGTGGTTTGACGTCAAACTGTCCAACGAATAAACCGTGATAGATAGATGCAGATTTGATGAGAAAGTAAGCTGTTTATAACTTTAGACATGTGGTTTGTTGGTACAGCCTGTTTGCTGACAATCAGCAAACTGATAGTCGGCGACAAGTCATGACCTAGTTTACGGAGTTAGACGTCGCTGACTGAATTGACTGCGTACATGAGAACGTCACGAGTTGGCTGAGAAAGGTAAGACCGATAACCGACAAGTAATCCGCTGTTCGTACAGAAACTTTTGACTGTTTGATGACTGTCAAATTAGTCAGTAGATAATTTGCCAGTAAATTGTCAGAGCTCGAAATCAACTACAATCGTTATTCGAATGTGAAATTCTTCAGAATGAAGTAGACAATTTTGGAAAAGTTGAGGTATGTTCACTTACTGTAAACCAGAATGATCTAGGATTTTTAGTCCAACTGCCTGAATGTGCCCGAATTTTCCTCTAGTGATGAAAACATGGACACTTTGTAGAAAAAATAACAGCACCCAAAAATGTCAAGTAGATTTACTCAGTAATTCCCATTCAATTCTCATATAAAAAGTATAAACATAAATTCGAAGAAATATGATTCCTCACATCAAATGACAAGTTGAAGAAGTGAATACATAGTAAGAATTCTGAATAAACGTATGCAGTGATTCTGTATGAGAAATGTACAAAGTATTGTGAATGACTTTTGATAAAACTAAGATAGTATTGTTTTTGTTCCCTTGTCACCCAGCCTGCGCAAACAGTATTTATATATTCTAGCTATGTAAGTCCAGCCCAATGCTGATGAACAAAAAAACAAAATAACGAATTCAAGAGATTTTGTGATACAGCTTTTTTCACGGGTGCCCACGGAGAGGGAGTGGCCGACTGTTTGTGCTGGGGTGAAAATAATAATGGGTGATTTAAATTGAGTTTCCACATTACAAATAATTTTTTTTTTGAAACGCCACTGAATTTGTCAACGTAAAAGTGCCATTTCTAACGTCAAAATATAAAAAAAACAGTCATGAAGCAATATGCGATCGAACAACGTGTTAAAATTATCCAAGCCTTTAATGAAAACGGCCGATCAAGGAAGAATACATTTCGTGCTTTACGTGAATTTTTTGGCGCACAAAATCGGCCTTGTTAGAGGATAGTTTTAATTTTTTGCAAAAATTCGAGCAAACCGGATCCGTCGCTAACGCCAAAACCCCTAGGCGTGCTAGTAAAGGTCGGTCGAAACACAATATTACTATTGTTGTCGAAGGTGTGGCCGAAAATCCAAAAACCTCGATTCGTCATCGATGGCAGCAACTGGACCTTACGTATTCCACTACACAGCGGATTTTAACAAAAGATTTGAAGATACACCCATACAGAGTGCAAATAACACAGGAATTGAAGCCTAGGTCACACATCAGGAGAAACGATACAATTACTGCGCGGCAAGTTTCCATGTCGCGTTGTTTCACGTAACGGCGATATCAATTGGCCGCCGCGATCCTGTGATTTAACTCCCTTAGATTATTTTCTTTCGGGGTATTTCAAGAGCAAAGTCTACAAGAATAACCCGAACACAATTGCGGAGCTGAAACAGGAGATCGACGCGAAATTACCAACATAGGACCTGATTTGTGCCACGGAGTAGTCGAAAATTTCTCGAAACGGATTACGTCATGCCACATGAGCCGCGGCGGTCATTTACTTGATATCATCTTTCAAGCATACTTGTAATGAACTGCCCTGAAAGGACAAATACATACTTTTTTATAATATTCAATTTCTTCTTTTTTTAAATACTTTTAATGTGGAAACCCAATTTGAATCACCCTATATTTTCCCGTTACAGGGTATTTTAAATTCGTCCCTCACCATTGGGATCTCAGAAACTTTAAGGATACGAAGTCGCTTAAATAGGGGCAAAGTTGCGTATTGAGATAATCAGCAAAATGTCAGTTCTGAAATTAAAAGTACTTCCGGAAAGAAACGTAAAATGACGGAATTTCCCAAAATGGTTTTAATCTTCGTCTGACATTATTTATGGTGGAATTTCAAAATAAATTGCTCATCAACTCTGCTACATTTTCTCCTCTACAAGACGGCACAATTAGAATTTCAATATGACGTTTCGTCTCTTGCCCTCCAGCATCAACTTAATTTTTTCTTATAGACGCCATATTGGATTCTTACACACATGAATAGAATTTTCATTCTGATTTCAAAAATGTATACATTGATATTGGAAAACCTTAGTTATTCCAGAAGTTCTTAGATAGGCCTTGAAATTATCAGATTTCATTTCTTTCCATAGCAACAGAGTTTGGAAGACTGTGAAGATCTTTGCTTATTTATAGTTATTATTGTTATTACCATCAATAAAATTTTCATTTCGTATTCAGGTTTCACCATATCTTTATATTGCCATACAATTTTCATACAACAACAAATTTATGGTCAACTAACGAAGTACATCACTGAATTTAGGGCTGAAAAGTCCATTTAAATGTAGAAAATTCCAACATAGTGTCCATATGAAAAAACAAAATTGATGATGTCGAAAGAAGAAATGTCGAATTGAAAATTTAACTACGTCATTTTGTAGACGAGAATAAGTAAGAATGCAAATATGTAATTTATTTTAAAATCTCATGTCGAATAAAGTCAGGAAAAAATAGAGCGATTTTGGGATAAATTTGGTGAGCTAAACAAACATCTGATAATTTCAAGGCCTACCTAAGAAATTGTTTTATATGAAGTAACTAAGGTTTGGAAACGTCAATAAATTTTTTGAATCAAAATTAAAAACTCTATTCATCCGTGCAAAAATCGACAAGAGACGAACCCTCATATACGTAGTCGTGCCATAAGTTCTGTCCCATGATAATCTCATGATAAAAATGAAAAAAGATAAGATATATTTATATGAAAGATATTATTTATTCGACAACATTTTTAGAATTCATAATCAAACAGTTTTATTCAAAATGTCCCCCCTTGGCCTTCACACACTGCTTCAATCTCGCGGGCCACTCATCTATCACTGCACGCACAGCTTCCAAAGGAATAGCTGCCGCTGATCGGATCAGATCCGCTTTCAGGGACTCGATATTGCGGTGGGCTTTGGAGCAGGCCAACTGCTCTAGCAGGTCCCACAACTTGTAGTCTAAAGGATTGAGGTCCGGACTCCCTGAGGGCCAATCTTCCGCAGCAATGAACTCTGGCACATTGCTTTCCAGCCAGCGCTGCGTACTCTTAGCCTTGTGAGCGGGGGCGGAATCCTGCTGGTAGACCCAGTGTTGGTTGGCAAACAATGTACCACTTAAAGGCTTGACGATAGGATCCAGTATGTCGCTCTGATAGTTTGCCGCTTTTGTTTTCACGCCCTGTTTACAGAAATGGAGCTGAGTGACCCCTTCGTAGGACACCCCCCACCAAACCATGACTGACGCAGGGTGGTGGCCTCTCTCAACTCTCGGAATGATCTCCGAAGCTTCCTGTGAACTCCTTGCATACACTTTGTCATTTTGTCGGTTGAATTTTTCTTCTATGGTGAAGATTTTCTCATCCGTGAACAAAATCTTTCGGAATCCCCCAGCTGCGTACCTCTCCAAGAGCTTCTTGGATCTTGTCGCCCTGATGTGTCGCAAGGTGGCCGTAAGTCGCTGGCCCGTACGTCTCCGGTAAGCCCCTAGCCCTAGGTCTTGTTTAATGATGCGCGACATCGTCCGGACAGGAATCTTCATTTCCCTGGATAGGATCTTCTGCTTCCGGAGTGGATTCCTTTGAATCCTGGCTTTTACGGCTTTGATGGCTGCTGGAGTCCTTACTTGACGAGGTCTTCCGCTTCTTGGCCTGTCATCAACAGAGGACGTCTCATTGTACCGCTGAATGGTCCTAGACACAAATTTACGCGATATTTGAAGGCCGCGTAAGAGTTCAAAAATCTGACTAGCACTGTGATTACACTTATGTAAAGCTATCACTGCAATACGGTTCTCTGCCTTGCCCCACTCCATCGTTATGCTTCGAGAGATCAATACAAACTGAGGTATATGTAATTACCCGAAAAGCGCTTAATCAACTGACACCACAATGTAAACAATCGGACAAGTATTAACAGGTCTACACTTGTTTGAAAACGAGGGACAGAACTTATGGCATGACTACGTAGAAATTGTGATTATGCCTTCTTGTAGAAGAGAAAACGTGGCATTGTTAATGTGCAATTTATTTTAAAATACCAATATAAATAGAGTCAGGAAGAAATCAAAACGATTTTGGGAAAATATAGTTTTTCCCTCACTCTCCGGAAATATGTACTTTGAATTTCTAAATTTTCTAAGCGTCATTTTGTTAACTACCCCATTTAAGAGACTTCGTATCCCTTACAGTTTCCAAGATCCCAATGGTGAATGCCAAATTATATGCAGACACTAGAAGAAAGAAGTAAAAATACTACAAGGATTTAATAACGTCTTTGAATAATAAAGGGTGTTATACACTAAAAAGCTAAAACAGCTGAACATAACTACTATTATCAAGATCTGCTTACATAACTATAAGTTTCACATAGTTCCCAACATGGACAAAAAGAACTGAGACTACGAAAATACATAGAAGTAAGACTTAAATCGCGTAATTTCGCATTTTGCAACTGTAACAAAAATGTAATCGTATTAATTATGGTTTTGGAAAGTAATGTCCTCTATTGCTCGGATTTTTCATACTGTATTCATAATCTTCAAATGCCATTACCGGGTCAATAAACAAAATATCGAGCACAAAGCACTTTCATCAAAATTTCTTCTGTCACTTGCTCACCCCAAAATGTTACAAAAACTTGTTTCTGTTGAATTGTGGCAGTGTTTTCTCTACCAAATTCATATTTTTGTAACCTCTCCTCAGCAGATCTTCAAAGTCTTCATCTTCTTGGTATATCGATCAGTTTTTTTACACCGAAGCAGCCGCGCAGGTGAACGCTACATGCCAGGGCACCGCAGCTGCTTTCAGGAGCTTAAAGAAACTTTGTTATTCCTATTTTTGAACTGTCTAAAGTTATTAGAACTGGGAAAAGCTCCTCATGTAGATTGATACACGATATCGACACCCTCGGGACAAAGGAGCGGTCTTATCGGCCAGTTCTATATGTACGAAGTTCATCTCGGTTACGATGGGAGGCCGAAGTCAGGCAGACACATCTTGCGGCGACACAATGGAAGAGAGCTCTGAGGAGCAAAGAAAGTGGGGGAAGCTAGATCGCCAACGGCCCGTCGGTCTCCCCAGACCGTCCATTAGAGGAGAGTAATCGATCATTAAATGCCTCTTACGAAGCAATTTTAGTCCTAAAGATAGTTTCGACACACTGTCACTGTCACTGGTTGACTGGTGTCCTCTGATCTGTCAGAAGGTTCTGTACGAACAGCAGATTAGCTGTCTGTCTGCAAACAGTCAGAAACTGTACGAACAGGTAACATCTCTCTGATTCTGATTTTGACAGTCACGGACAAGTTGCCGACTACTGTACGAACACACCAACCTAACGAGCGCCATTTATTTCTGGTTTCTCAGTTTACCCATATTGTGACATCATAATTATGAAAACGATTTCCAGGTAAATGGATTCTCTTACTAATGTTTAAACAATTATCATTCAGCTTTTGATATGGGTCACCATTAGCTGCTTGTCTTATTGGTAGAAAGGGAAGTTATAGACACAAAATAGCTTACCGCACACATCTGGGAAAATGCAAGGGAGAAATAACTCCGCGCCTGCCAATGCTCGTACACGAGTTGATGTAGTGCTTGTACAACTCTTGATGGTCGATTTTGCCGGACTCGCAAGGTTCGTACGTGGCGCGCAACCAGGCCAAAGCGAACTGCTCGTTCTCGTGAATGGCCTGTTGATGGGCGTGTTGTTGTTGGATCAGCTGTTGGGGCGTCAACGGATGTTGGTGGTGCGGTTGCGTCACTTGCGGTTTTTGAGGTTGGGCTGCTGGTTGTTGCTGCTGTTGCTGGTGATTTGGGAGCTTGTGTTGGTCTTGAATGACGGTTGAGATCGTAGAGGCGGCTGCTGTAGGCTTGACTATTCCATGAAATAGAATGTATAAAAATATTGATTCCTATTGAGGTGTAATAAAATAGTCATTCCTTCAGGTTTCCGTATTTGTGTTATCACTTGGGAGTGGCCTGGAAGCTATATCTTCCTCAAGGTTCGAGTCCTCCTGATTACATTAAAACATTATCTGACACACAAGGTATTGTAAATCAGTTTGCTCAGTGTGTTAGTGGTATATGTATACAAAAACGTATGATAAAAAAGAAATTAGTGGAGACATAACTTGTCTTCCCAGTTCATAGAGGATCTAGGTAGATTTTACTTCTAGAGAAATTGTATTAGCTGCAAAAAAACAATGAAACAACCTTAAGAACTTTATTTCAAAGTTATGTGTGTACAAAACTGGATTACTGTTACAACATTTGGAATTCGTATTATCTGTGATATAAAAAAAGACTAGGGAGTCTTCTGAGAAAATTTCTGAATATATATATATATATATATATATATATATATATATATATATATATAGGGTGTTCCTTAATGATATGCGAATATTTAGGGGTATGAATCTACATGAAAAATTAATATTAGTTTGCTTTATAAACTATGATCCAAAAATGTTTCCTTACAAAAACTCGGAGAGTTGAAGTTTTAGGAAAAAAAATGGAAATTAATTAATATTTTCAGAACCGCTTCAGATATTTCACTGATATTTAGTACGTAGTGAAAGTTAATAAAGCAAACTAGCATTAATTTTTCATGTAGATTCACACCCTTAAATATTCGCATATCATTAAGGAACACCGTGTATATGGTATTTAAGAAACTCATATATATAGTAATTCAGCGGATCGGTCTTTCCTTGAAGAAGATATTTGACATCTCTCCTATCACGTCTAAGTGACAAAATTATTAAGTCAAGTAAGGCGTACTCGTGTGAAAGAATGATCATTCATTCGGTCTTCAGATACAATGTTTTTACTCACCGGGTATATCGCTAGCAACCGACGCTGCAACGGTGGGACTTGGTGCGACACTGAGTAACCTATGGGGTACTATGGCGACAGGTCTTGTTGGTGTACTTGGTGGAGTTACCTTAACAGCTATAGGACCACTACTGCTGGGCAATGCGCTCGTTGAGGCTTCACCACCTGCTGATAATACATGCATTAAAATAAGTTTATAAAATGCCATAAATGCGTGAAACCTCCTCTTTAGGATAACAGAAGTTCAGCCATTCTAGACTGTGATGCACACTACATTGTTTCGCTGATTGTATAAGGACAGCTGTTAACTGAACCGTGGTCAAGCATCATCGTGAAAAGGAGGCACATGAAATAAACAGGGGACTTTCTTCACATAACATATAGTTCTTGTAAAAATATACAAAATTTCCCCTTAACGCATACGCCAAAGCCTTAATAATGCCGAAATATTAGGTTCTGTAAACAAAATATGAAATGAAGCTTTACCAGCGCGCAGCAGATGCGAAGACATGACGCGCGTCCGCGTTCAACCGGGCGTGCTGCTGGTTGCAAAGTGGATTCGAAACAAATAAAATAAAACTGCACACTCAGCAATTACAAACTTTTAATATACTGTTAGTTTAAGGTGTCTTCAAAATGTTACTGAGTTTGTTTATTTTGTAGAAAGAGTAAGGCCACAAGTCGTTTGCAGGTACACAGAGGTGGAAGCAGTGGGAGGCCTAGACAACCCAGAACAATACAAATGTCGAGTACAAACACAGTTATTTCACCGCATATTAGCTTTGTCATTCCAAGTTCAGCCCCAGCTTTCTTAACGCACTGTATTAACATTTGTAGGTAGACCCCAAAAGGCCGGCATATTCTGACAAAAACTTCTTGATCATCACACGTAAATAAGAGTATGTGGTGTGCTCCTGGTTACGTGTCTATTTATATAAGAAAATTGTACTGAAAACTATAACAATTAGAATACAACTACAGAAGACACATAGCCATATGAACTGCAAAACAACCACGTATTTTTAATATGTACGAGTGTAATAAAACACGTTAACGCACACACACGACAACAATAACATTCCTGGATAACAAACGAAATATTCTATAGTCTGATAGCCAAATACAAGAGTCCAAGAAACGTTATGACTGAAGAAGACAAAGGCATTTCAAATCAGCAAATGTATGACTTCTTGCGAAGTGTAATGATAAGAACTTATAGATGGAGCAAGAACTCCAAAATAATAGGAAGGAAATCAAAAGAAATTCAAATCTTGAGACAGGAAGTTACAAAAGAGTTGCAAAACTTAGAACTGGAAAACAATAATTCAAGAGGACATGTAATAACCAAATGTATAAAATACAATTAACTTACTTGTAGTGTTCGCAGGTGGTGCCGGCGTTTTCTGCGGCTGTTGCTGCTGCTGCTGAATCGCTGTGCTTCCGCTCACTGCAGCTGGCACCGTTTCCACCAGTTTCATGCCAATGCACGCCTTTGGTCCATAACTCTTCCCTTCGACAGTGACCAGTGACACCAAAGTGTCGATCACGCCGTGGTTGACAACTATGAAATGACAGGACCGTTCTCCCAACGAAGACAGAGAATAGAGACACTCCAGTGTGTAAATCAGCAGCATCACATCGTGGATGGTGAGGAATGAGCAGACGTTCCTATACACGCTTGCCTCCAACGACCTGAATATGGTCACCAATTAGAGACTTTCGTATCAAAACATTCTATCTCTATTCCTAACTGACCCTCATTAATCATCTCATTAACATGCCATTATTTATATTCTTATATAAATTCTATTCATTTATTTCTTCAGACATTTGACCCGAGAGTTTACAAATTACAATAAAAAATGTATCAAGGCGATACTGCCAAAGGACGCTGCACAAAACATATGGAAAACGGGTCCCAATCGATTTGTCTAAAAATTCAGTATGACATATTTCTCGCCTTCCTGAACAAAAGTTCTCATGGGACCAAAGCAATCCTATAATTAGTTTCTGTGAATCAGGGAGATCAAGTTTTTTAAATTCCTCGAGAAAACCGTTAAAATGCAGCATGTACCGAATGTAGGAGGCCTTTAGAAATTAGATGGTGCTCTTAATTTTTCCAAATCGGCCAAACTTCATTGTCATATTTCTCAGAAACTAATCATATAACTGCTTTGGTCCCTCGAGAATTTTCGTTCCGGAAAGCGAGACGTATGATTTTTAGATAAATCGACTAGGGCCCCTTTTTCCATGTTAGGTGCAGGTACTTTGAGAAATAGCATCACGTCGGTATTAAAAATAAACGTCCCACATTCAATCAATCAAAGTAGACTATGATTTAACAATGCATTAACAACATACCTGAGTAGCACATCTTCATTCTGTTCATTCTGGCTGAGCTTATTCAAAACTTCCAATGACGATAGGCAGCAAGCCCTATCCTGTTTCGTCAGTCCTCTCGTGACAATCTTGAGTAAGTCAGCGGCAAGAATATCAGTTGACAAATCTCTGATGATAAATTCCGGAGCTACGTTCCCTAACATGTCCATCCCCAGATTCTTCAATATGCCCCATTGTGCTGTACAGCACAACAGACAAAACCTCAAGAAAGTCGTATTTTTAGAGAGAATCACCATGTTCTCTTCAATAAAACTGAGGTTCCTCAATATCGTCGCGATCTGTAGCACTCGTTGTCCGATGTAGTCCTGCGTCCCTAAAGACCGTTTGAGACAAAAGAGTTCCTTATCGGATTCGGTGATTTTAAACTTTAAGCTACTATCGAAATGGTCTTCAGTATCCATTGATATTTCGTCACTATCACTAACAACCGACTCGACGTCAATACTATCACCAGAGAATTTTTGAACGTCCACTTCCATAAGCAACGACGAGGTCGTGTCATCCTTAACTAACATATCACATACTGTTTCTTCGGCGTCGCGTCTCGAGTTAAACTCATCCTCGTTGGTTAGTCGGAGAAATTCTTTTGATTCGACCACATCTTTCCAAAAGGTGTGGATCGGCTTTTTCCTTATGTCACTATAGAAATGCGTAAACAGTTGTCTTAGAGAGCCTGAAAAAACAAAATACAAGTGTCACCACACACAGCTTTTCCACTGGTATGCACATTTGTACTATTTACGAAATTTTTTTCTTATTAGAATCTTATGCGTGGTATAGTACTTTAGCGCATTTTCTCTATTATAAAACTTAATTTTTATGAATGATGAATAATAGTAGAATAGATTGCAGCAGGTTTGTCTAGCAATATTTAGGCGCAATTACCTGTAATTAAATACAGGTGAGTTTTTAGTGTGAGCTCCGGTCGATACAGGGTGATTCATAACTATGTGTTGACCTAAACATGCATTTTTTTCAAGCGGGAAGCATTACATTTTATTAGAGATTGTTGAGATATTGGACGATCTATCGAAAAAACTTCGACAACTCGCACCATCACCACTGCTAGGAGCACTTTTTGACTTTATTGCATATAGTGCTTGGTAGATTCAATTTATAATGAAAATACGCCAATTCTAAGGATTTGCCGTTATCAACTAAATGCTATTGTTTAGCTTTAAAGGTATTGTTTACCCTTGATATCTGATTATATCGAAAAAAGGCTTTTGTAGAGAAGAATCAAGGAATGTGAAAATGCACAGGGTATTCCATTTAATTTTATTTAATTCGTTCATTTTGCGTTCTTGACTAGTCTTTATAGACTGTTAAAAAACTGGAAAAGTAACTGGATAGGAACCAGATATTGCATCATATATAATTTAAAAAAAAAATACACACTCTAGCTAGGAGCAGCAAGTTAACAAAGTTGAGTGTATGTTTTTTTATGTTATGTCAAATTGCTTTGTTTGAAAGGGTGTATCCAAATCTGCAACAATGATTTCCATTTAAGTAATGCATGTTTGTGTCACCGCATAGTTATGAATTACCCTGTAAAAAACTTATCCTGTATTTAATTACAGGTAGTTGCGGCTAAAGTTTGCCAAGCAACCCTGCTGTAATCTATTCTGGTATACACAAGAATCAAGATTTATAAAAAAAACAAGATACCTGTAGGATCTTAGATTAATATGAGTACTGAAGTGACCAGTGCATACCAGTGGAAAACGCTATAATACAGCATATTTTATATTTGTATTTTCAATATATGACGCATATTCACTATTTCCCTCTTAAATGCAGTGTGGAAATATCCACTTATTCATGAAAATTCTAATAGTACAAATTCATGAGAGCGTCGAGAGTGAGAATGTGGTTAATTAACGCGAGTTTCTGTTACACAAGTACTAAAACGTCATTTTAAATTGTGTAAACTGTATTTAACTTAAGCGGTCCATTTTGAGAGTTTGAACATCGTTGGGTATCTTTACAATAGGTTTTGTTGTTCGTTTTTCCGCTTCGTGGCTCTTGGTCGCCTCCTGTAATATTTTTAATCTTCACGAATGGTTTTTATTAACTTTGAAGATATTTGTAACAATGATTTGGTTATATGTGAATGGTTTTCCTATAAGAATCATCCAGAGAAGACAAGTTTAACAACTGTCAGTTGTTATAGTAAATTTCATTTGTACTGATTCTTTTGAATATCCTGCCTGAAATTGAGCATGAACTGGACGATTTTTCAATTATCTAATTATTCCTATATTCTACTCAAAACTCTAACTAATTAATCTTTCTGGACAGTAGTTCAGCAATGAACTATTACAGTTCGTATCGCTCCCCTAACTTGTTTGGGGCGGCCCAAATGTCGCTCTCATCCGTTTTTTATCTTTTCCGTCCGATTAAAGTCCCCGACGGCACTGCAGCCTCTAGGGCTTACTGTGCATCGCTCCTCGAATTTACAGTGCCCAATCCAAGAGTCTAATGTTCTGTATCAGTTAGTACAGTTTCCCTGACGGTACTGTTCTAAGCCCCCTCGGTTCTAGTTTTGGTTCATACTCATTGAGAGACGTACTGCAGTCTCGTTTGGACATCGTCCATAGATGAAATCTTTCCCATGCCTGCATCCAGTCACTAAGTTCGAATATTCCTTGTGCTGGTTTCTTACTCATTCTTGGACTTGATCCCTTATTATGCTTTTTGGCACCTCCAATGCAGGTTATCGGTCTGTATAGGGTGTGGATGGTTCTGAACTGGACGATTTTTTAATTATCTAATTTATCTAAATCTCAAACAACAACGAACAGTATTTCAGCAATAAATTGTTTCAATGTGTCGCTCCCTATGCCGTCCTTATCTTAGCGGCAAATGTTTGCTCTTCAATTTTCGCCAATGTGGGTCCGCGGTTTTCACTCTAGTTTGGGCTCCTCTTCAGCCGCGGGCCCCGAGCTTCCTGTGTGCTCACAGGTCCCTACGTAGCTCAATACTGGCAATATGTCACGCTTTGTGCTGTCTTATTTCGACAGATCTTGTGCTCTAGATAGAGTGGAGTTGATCAACTTTCGTTCGTTGTCCACCGAGACCAAGCCTACACCATGCTGAAGAGTTACTAAATAGCATGAAACAGCTGTTTATGGTTGGCCGTCTGTGGTCGAACTGATGAAATCTATATTCCTAGTTTTTACAGATCACTCTCCAAACTAGTTGACCATCTATTTTTCTCACTTTATAGGGCTATATTTTCCTTAATCTGAACCTAAGAACATTATTATTCACTGACTTCAACAAATGATACTTTCATATTTATTGCTAGCACTCCCACATTCTAGGCAAAGAATGTTTAGTTAACTTCGGGTTTCCTGTACCACAAACTTACACCTCGCGATCTGAATCTCAACTGGAAAAAATCGATCCATACTGCCGAAATCAATTTCTCTTCGGTACAATCCTTTTGGTAAGCCATTTTTGATATTATTTCCGATGTAAATATTATAATTTTATCGTATGATTTATTTTTCGCACGTTTGAAATTAATCAACGTGAACAAGGAACATTTAGTATTGGATTGTTTAATTTTAAGAACAGCTTAGGCGTCCATGCATGATCCATACATTTTTTGCTGTTGATTTTTCATTTTTTCTTAAAATGCACAGTAATTATTTTCTATCTCAATAGTTTGTTCTTATATTTTCTATTAATTATCCTGTATTTTTCGGAGATTTGTAAAAAGTGACATCATCGCAGCGGTTCAAACGAAGAGCCGAATTTGTCCTGTACATATTAGACGAAAATACCACTGGTATGCGAAATAATTGTAAAGTCTGGTTTTATTGGTGCAAGTTGTTCAAGAGGGCATTTAAAACATGGGCGCATAAAAGGGGTACACCAATTTTTGTGGGAAAAACTTTTTATTCGTCAACAACGAATGAGAAAACGTGTTTTTTTGGGATTCAATCAAAAGTGTTGGCAGGAACGGAATAACTTTTCATATAAGATTTTTAGGTATTTATGAGACGTACACAATGAGACCACACGTAAAAAGATCCGACTAATAGCAAAAAAGTTATGGCCGAAAATCGAGGTAAACTGCAGGTTTTGGCACTTGTTCGCAATGCGACTATGGTTTCTCGCAGATACTGGAAATTCTTCAAATTCGTAGGCTTCGTACTTTTAAATAACCACAACAAAATTGGAGTAGATTGGTCAAGTAGTTTTTTAGAATCTCTAATTGTTTATCCCAAATCACCTGTTTTCCGGCCATCACTACTAGTTTATTGAGCAATCTTCAGGGTTAGTTCAAAGGGCAGTTCATAGCTATATATACTAGTTTACCTTGCCAATAAGAATCACAAGCCATTCCGGAACATAGATGTTATTTTTATGCAAAAAAGGATGGGTTACGTTTTTCCTCTAAACAACTTCAAACATTTCGTATTTGTGAGCAATTCGCATCAAAAGATGATAGACACATCCATAGACATGTTTTAAAATGTCTATAGTAATGTATGTTTTTCGAATATCGTAGCGCATTTGTTCAATTACTCAAAAACACGAAATGTTTGAATTTGTTTTGAAGAAAAAAAACGTAACCTTTGTTTCTCGCATAAAAATAACATGTATCTTTTGGAATGGTTTGTGATTCATACCGGCAAAGTAAACACGTGTATTTTGCTGTTAAATGATCTTTGAACAAACCATGTATATTGCTCAATAAACGAGTAGTGATGGCCGGAAATCAGGTGTTATGGGATAAAGAATTAGAAATTCTCAAAAAACTACTTGACCAATATACTAATACCTAATTTTGTTGTGGTTATTTAGACGTATGAATCCTACGAATTTGAAAAAATTCAAGTGAAATTATCGTCGCATTACCAACGAGTGCCAAAACCTGCACTTTTCCTCGTTTTTCGACCATAACATTTTTGCTATTAGTCCGATCTTTTTACATGTGGCCTCATTTTGTAGGTCTCATAAATATTTAAAAAACTTATATGAATTTTTTTTTTGCTCCTGGCAAGACTTTCGAATGAATCCCAAAAACCACGTTTTCTCATTCTTTGTGGTTAAATAAAAAGTTTTCCCACAAAAATTGGTGTACCCATTTTATGCGTCCATGCTTTAAATACCCCCTTGAACACCAATAAAACCAGACTTTACTATTATTTCGGGGAAATTTGCTAATATGATTAGACTATAATTGCACGGTCCATGAATGTGTGTCAATCAGACTGAACCAAAGTAGTTATTATTAGTCCAAGATTGTCATAGATATAAGTAATTTTGACGATATTATGTTTTAGAAGATCAAAACGATCTCATTCCCCGATTTAAACCACATATTACAAAATATAACCAGTTTTTGAAAGCTGGAACCTATAGACGTGTTGATACCACTCCCGCGCCAATGATGGACCACCTAATCTCTATTGACGTTCGGCTCCGCCATGAAAATGCCGCTTAAAAAGTAATTGTGTGAAATGATACTTCTACTTTCTACAACAAACAACTTACTGTGAGAAAAAACTCCTGCATGCGCCAACAAATAGTTAACAATTCTAGGGTGTTTACGCAACCTCAACGTATGCTTGCCGTCGTTTGACAACAATGTACACACGTTGATGGAAAAGTCTTGCTCGTTAGGCAACGGGGACACCAATGATAACGCTAGGCGATCGTAATCGGACGGTCGATACAAGTTCGTAGATAGGTAGCTCACTTCGCGGTTTGTGTCTGGAAAATAAATGAAAGTTATTTAAATTTTAGTTCTGTAAAGCTCTCTCTTCAAAATGGTTCGGGTTGAGCCACTGTAATGGATACTGCTGTATAAAAGACATGATTGCTTTCTGTCCCCTGGAACTACTCGTATGACCAGCCGCGTCTATGAATGCATATATGCATAGAAAAAATTGCTGATTTTTCCTATGCATATATGCATAGAAAAAATTGCTGATTTTTCTCTGTAAAGGTACTTGAAACGTTGACCATAATGGTGCACAGCGACATCTCTGCGTTTAGCCTAAATGTTTAAAAAGGCAAACAGTATTTCACGAGTATCCATCACGTTTTGACGTTTACTGAGGTAAACAGCTGATCAGTAATTGACATCTTTGTATTAGTCTGTAACGTTGGCAATAACGAATCAGGTGCAAATCTATAAAACCTTGCTAGTAGCGTTTTTTGTATGCAAATGAACTTTTTAAATACAACAGTTGTTAGCAAGTACAAAATGAATCTTTAGCGTAGGAAAAACCAAAACACTGCTGCTGTGTCTACCTGGCGTTGACGGATCCGTCAGAATTATGTATTTTGTCGATATGGGAAATTTTGAAATATTATTAGATAATCAGTTTTTCCTCTACCGTAATGTATACTCGTGAAAAAGAGGTAGATTGAAAAAAACGGTAGATATTGAAACATGGCTGTCTAAAGGGTAACGGAAGAGACGGTAGAAATCTCGAGTTTTGTGGTAGACCGGTAGTTGATAGCTCAAAACGATGGATATATCATAAAAACGGGCAGATCTGGTATTGATGGTTGTTGGATTTATATTTAGTTGCCAATTTAATGTTTTCAATATTATACCCAATGAAGAAATGTTATTCCAGGCAAGCAGCAGAAATACCACTCGTACAAATGAAAAAAAAATCTTATTGGAAGTATATTTTTTTAAATATTTTGTAACAGGTAATACTGCTCAATACTCCTGTCCCCTTTAATGGTGTAACCCGTGACTCTCATACGTAACCATAGCCCACTAGTGCTACATGTAAGTAGTTCTTCATTCGGACTGTTTGCAATCAAAACCAACATCAGTTTTGAACAGTATCCTGCTTCTCAAACAATCCATTCAGATCTAATCAGATATTGCCAGCTGTCCTGGCTTCTATAGCAGTAACGCATATTGACCCATTGTGAAGAGAAGGCATTACTGAACTAATCAATAATCTTAGGCATCTCATTAGGAATTTTACCTGAGACGTTGTGCTGGCTATAGTTGTATGTGCTGGCGACCGAGTGAAGTATCTTTGCAGACAATTTCTTATGTTTGCCTTCTTCGTCATCATCACTAACACGGTCACCATCTTCATGTAGAAAATGCACTTTTTCCCATCTGTCCAAATATCTGTTGACAAAAATTACATGTCAATATTTACTATGCAAGTTATTCAGAACTAGGTAATCTTACGTAATAGCTTTAAGCTACATCAGTTGTATTTGCTTAACTTACCTTAAATATATCTGTTTAAGTGCAACGCTCCCGTTAACGCAGGATCGTGGCAGTTCCAGCTGCGTGAAGATTTCTGGCCAGATGTTCTTAAAATTGACCTGAAAATGTTTAATTATATCATGGAATCATCCCATTATTATGAGTTTATATACAGGGTGTTCCATAATTATTGCGACAAAATGATAGGGGTTGTAGAGGGCATAAAAATATGCAATTCTGCCTTATAAACCACTGTTCGTAAATATGCTGTTTGAGCACTACCGCTAATTTTACCTTAAAGCTCATAGGAGAAACAAAAAATTCACCAGCTGTAAAATGTTCGTCTAGCACATTTCATGGTCTCGCCGGATTGTAAAAAAAGGCCTGCTGTGTTTACATTTTTGTTATCGTAAATTCTCCACTCCGATTCATTTAATTTATCTGAGTGGTGCGTCAAACTAGATAGTAAATAACAGTACCTTAGTGTTAAAATGCTGCGTTATTCGTATGCGGAACTTGCGGATATGCATTTAATATACTGGTGGTAACGGAATACGAGCCTAGCGAATCTACGCCCAACGGTTTCCAGAACGTCCTCATCCGCATCACGCCACTTTTGCAAGGATTCATGGACGTCTTCGTGTCAGTGGCAGCATCAGACATCTCGCGGGAGCAGGGCGGCCATTCACGAGGCGCACAGTAGAATTTGAGGAAGCGATTCTGCATCATGTAGAGGCCAATCCGCGCACAAGCGTGCGTGCTATTGCACATGATATGGGAGCGTCTCAAACTACTGTTTGGCGGATTCTCCATGACCAGCAACTACACCCATACCACCTTTTGAAAGTCCAAGCTATGGGTGCAGAAGACTATCTGCCGCGTCGACGTTTTTGTCGTTTGTGGCTGCAGCAGGAGTTGAGGCAACCAAACTTTGGTCGCTACGTTTTGTTCACTCAAGAGTCCTGTTTTACAAAGGACGGTTATTTTAATAGCCGTAACACTCACATTTGGGATGAAGAAAACCCTCATGCCATAGCCATCCATAGAGACCAACATCAGTTTTCAATTAACATCTGGTGCGGGATTGTGGACGAGCATATCATCGGGCCATGTTTGCTTCCACCACGTTTGGATGGGCATGCTTATGGTCGATTCTTACAGCATGTCCTACCGGAACTATTAGAAAATGTGCCACTGAACATAAGAGCCAACATGTGGTTTCAATACGATGGCGCTCCAGCCCACTTTTCTTTACAAGTGCGGCAGTATTTGGACGACAAATTTCCAAATAGGTGGATAGGCCGAGGTGGCCCTGTGCCTTGGCCTGCGCGGTCACCCGACCTGACCCCACTGGATTATTTTCTCTGGGGCCATCTGAAAGCTTTAGTGTACGAAACTCCTGTTCCCAACCAACAAGAGCTACTGGGAAGAGTGATGGCCGCGTCCGCACATGTTCAGGACATACCGGGGGTATGCCACAGAGTTCGCCGATCATTGAACAATCGTGCACAGCTGTGTATTGAGCAAGGTGGAGGACACTTTGAGCAATTACTGTAGGTAAGCTGTTTCAAGAAACTGATCTTCTTTTTTGCTGCAGCCCAAACGGCATATTTCCGAACAGGGGTTTATAAGGCAAAATTGTTCATTTTGATGCCCTTTACAACCCCTATCATTTTGTCGCAATAATTATGGAACACCCTGTATAATATACATATGTTGTAGTAATTTTTATACACAATTATAATCAAACATCCTGTAACCTTTCTCCAAGTGCCATCCTGGTTTTTAAAGAAATATTATAAAAAGCCTCAGCTTAGCAGTATATGATAACGTAGCTTAGGTTTGCTTATCCAAGATTGTCTTGAGTAAGTTGACCCAAAAAGGTACCCTTTGACTTCTGAATACGTCTATACAGGATGTTCCTTAATGATTTGCGAATCTACATGAAAAAATTAATGTTAGTTTCCTTTATAACTATGGTCCAAAAATGTTCCTGACAAAAACTCGGGATGTTGAAGTTTTAGAAAAAGAATGGAAATTAATATTTTCAGAACCGCTTCAGATATTTCACTGATATTTAGTACGTCGTGAAAGTTAATAAAATTGCATATTTTTGAATGCAAAAATAATTTTTGGCTTTAACATTGCCGTGCGTACGGGTATTGACTTCGATATTTTTTAAGAAAAAATGGTACGCCAATAGTTTTTGCCAAATAAAAACTTTTTTTGAATGCCCCGTTCAATTTAAAACAAATTATCTCTCTTCAATTGTTTTGCTTCGATGCGCCATTTTTGAGTAAAAAAAAATAAAAACCGCTCTATTGCCCGAGAAAATTAATGTAATAATTGAAGAATGCAATTTAGCAATAAATATCTAGTTGCTCTGAAATATGTCACTGGCTTTTGATATTTAACAACTCTCTGTTGTTCAAATCTATTCGCTGTGACATCTTTTTCATTATTTAGTTTTTACAATCTTGTTAATAATGGTGAATTATTCAAATGCAGAAATGGCGGAAATGCATTACGTATATGGACTTGCCGACGTTAATGCTGAGCAAGCCAAACGGATTTATCACCAGAGATATCCCGATCGTGCTTTGCCAGATAGTCGAACCTTTTCTAATATTCATCGTCGTCTTGTTGAAACTGGTTCTGTTCGAAAAGGAACATCTGAAGGTAGACCTCTAAGTGTGATAACACCTGAAATTGAGGAAGCAGTGCTGCACAAAGTCGAAGAACATCCTGAAACGAGTACGAGGAAGGTTGCTAGACTCTTAAATATTTGCAACCAAATTGTTTGGAGAATTTTAGTGGATTTTTTGTTATATCCTTCCCATATTTTAAGAGTACATGCATTACTTCCCATTGATTTTCTAAGACCTGACCTTTTGTCAGTGGTATCTTCAAAAAATCACACAAAATCGCAATTTGAATCAATGATTCTGTTCACGGACAGAAACTAAATATCAGTGAAATATCTGAAGCAGTTCTGAAAATATTAATTTCCATTTTTTCCTAAAACTTGAACACCCCGACTTTTTGTAAGGAAACATTTTTGGACCATAGTTTATAAAGCAAACTAACATTAATTTTTCATGTAGATTCACACCCTTAAATATTCGCATATCATTACGGAACACCCTGTATATGGTATATAAGAAACAACATATATAATTCAGCGGATCGGTATTTCCTTGAAGAAGATATTTGACATCTCCCATATCGTCAGTCGTCCCTACAATTGTAGGGCGCGTTTATAACCCCACACTCTACCATAGTCCTTAGCCCTGTTCGTACAACTGTCGACAAACTCGTCAGTGATCGTGTCCAAGATCCCGCACACACAAATTCCGTTCATTCTGCTAGGCTATATAGACAGAATTTACATGGCCGGATCCTAGACCCTGTCATCGACCACTGTACGAACAAACCGCAAATGTTCGACTCGACCAGTTTTTATTAATGTTGTTGTGAACGAGTGCTAAATGCACTTTAGTAGAGCGACTCCTTTTGAACGACTGACAAGAAACTCCTCGGGCGATATGGAATAGAATAAGCCGTCAGTGTATCATTTACTAAGAGCGTACAATGATTTTTCGCGTTAACGGTGAAAGATCGATGCTCGAATGTGTTTTGTCTGTCAGTAGATCGCCTACTCGAGTTGGCGGACTAGCATGTTTACATTTTATACAAGCGCCTTCTTTGTTCATTGATCCGCTAAGCGATTACATTGGTAAATACAGCGGGCAGTTTTTTTTTGTATGATGATGATGAAATTGGTTATCCATATCCAACTGTAACACATGGTTCGAAAGCTATGTTTCAGGTAAACAATTGAAAGTAACGAAAAATTTTCCCGCTAATATAAATATCTATAGGATGCTACTGTAAGCCTATGAAATATCTCAGACACATTTTGCATGCGAGTTCAAAAGTGTAGCACACGAAATCTTTCTAGAAGGTTCACAAGTCTGGTTAATGTCTCCTCTGGGTACTTCTTCCCAGGGCAAGCTTTCAGTGGGGTCAGATATACGTGGACGGGTACAGCGGTCGCTTCTAAGAGCAAGTAGTGCGCGTTGTGAACCTAATTACAGTGTTGCTGTGGTATTGGTTGTAGTGTTTTGGTTACCTGAAAGGTGAGCATTCACTAAATGGTTCCTTTCCATCTTTATAAAGATGATGTGCTTTTTACCTTCATATTTTAATTTATAGCTTAGGACTTTATAATTGTTATTAAATATACGTAGGTGGAACACCTCCAGTTTCTAGGGATTGTTATGAGACTTTCAAAGACCATTTGCTCGGTTTAGGTAGTTATGTTAATTACTGCTCAGTTTCCTCTGCCAGAGGAAGTGTCGGAGCGCTTGGGATGTTGACACGATGACTTTTGGCCGACGTGACATCCTAGGTCTGAATGACCGCTTAACTATCTTCGCTTGGCAATTGCTGGAGTCTGAAAGGATCGCATGGCAGGATGGGTCTAGGGATTTTTAGTGTAAAGGATCAGGGATAACCTCGGAGCTTTTGTATGTGTATGAGTATGTGTCACGAATCCTTACTAGTAGTCCAATGCAATGGTAACTGGTAGATTTGTTCATGTCGTGAGTCAGTTGGATATGAGATGTACTCATGTCATTTTTCTAAAAATAGGTGTTGGCCCCGACAATCCGGCCATATTGACTTTATCGCTTGCCAAAGGAGGATAGCTTGTCGTTTCGTCACTAAATGGACTTAATATTATCTTGTCATTATGGCCCTTATCTAATTATTAATGTACCACCCTTGTAATAAAATAAAATGGTACAGGGTGGCACTTCGGAACCTTCTAAGGCGGCTTCGTTGTTTTCACGTTTATCGTTCTATCATTCTCTTAAATAAAATCCAAGTGAATAACTTAAATTTCTGTGTTATGTACCGCGGCTATAATATGGTTTAAGATGACACACGGGTTAACGACGTCAGTTACTCGAATCGCTTGAACGCGTTGGTTTTAACCGCGGTTCTGTTGCAAGATGTTTATTTTAGAAAAGCGCGTATATAAATTCTGATTATTTTTATTACCATTAAATAATCGGTGCTTTTTAGTCTAAGTACAACATTGTATGGAAAGTTTAAA